GAATATTATACAATAAAATACAAATATTATAATAACAATTGTGTAATACAGTGTAATTATGACAAAAAATGTAAATTTTATACCTTTTATCCCTTTAATGAACCTTTTGCTATTTTTGAGGTTATGTTCACTTCGATGCCGACATGAGATGTTTGTTATTCAAACCAGATTCGCAAATTTGATCATTGGTGACAATTTGCTGGTACATAGAGTATAGGTAAACACCATAAATGATTATTTTTAACTTTTTGAACTTGTTTTTTATGCTTTTTATCCCTTTCATTCTGACCCTGCGAGCGTCAAACGTGCGTTCGCAAGGAGCAATATTTGCACTACTGTCGCGCCCCTAGTGGATAACAACGGAACTACCTAACCGTTAAATTCAAAAATTTAAAGGGCAAAAAATCGATTTTGCTGATGCGTCGTGAAAATAAACATCAATAAAAAACTACTATTATTATTGTTATTGTTAATTGTAAAAATAACAAGTGAAAAAATTTCAAAGTATCTTCTAAAAAAAGTTAGTGTCATCATTGTTAAGTGATTTTTCAAAAGATTTTTATTTGATGGGAGTAAGAAAATAGTAAAATTGTAGTTAAAGGTTAAAAGGTATTTTAGCGGTGTTTAAAAAGAGCGAAACAGTAATTTGTCTGTGGAAAAAAAAATAGTCTAGAGGATGTTGAAAAACAAAAGTATTAGTGCATTCTGAGACAGAACGGAAGAAAACCAACAGGAATGTAAAAAAGTTTACCGGACTCGAAATAGCAACGTGGTGTCAAGAAGTTCCTTTGCGTTCCTCTCGACTGATTTCGAGCAGTTTTTTTTCTTCTTTTTCTTTCCAAGAACCAAGAACCGCTCTTTGATGAGAACTCAAAACATAATTTTCCAAAAAAAGCTCGTTCCAAAACACTTTTTTTTCACTTGTCAATTATCAGTCTTGACTCACGACGTACAGTAAGTTTTATTATTTAACTATTTTATTATTTTATTATTAATTTAATTTATAATTCATTTATTCTATTAATTTAATTTCTAAAATTAAATTCTTCAAATTTGACTAATTTTTTTTATTTTCGAAAAAATTGTTTATATTCTATTTCTTAATTCACTATAATTTGATATTATTCACAGGATTATAATTTAAATAAAATAGATTCGCACAAATTGAAAGTGTCAAAACTAAATCAACGCACTTGGAATTTTTGTAAAGTTGACGTAATTACAAAATGGAAAATGTGAAATATTAATATTAATTGGAATAGTAAATAATAACTGACGAGGAAATAAATATTAAAATTAATAGTAAAATTGTTGAATAAATAAATAAATAAGAGCGCGAAACGCGAGGAATGGGGCAAGTCGAGAGAAGGAATAATATTTTCCAAAAAACACCGTCTGACGTTAACTCGTCGACGGACTTGGAACGACTGCACCACGTTTCTTGGGCAAGTCTTTGAGGAAAGCTCTCCTTGCACCCTCCCTCAAAACTTTATCTTCATTTTTTTTTGTCACAGACTCGTGCGGCGACACTCAAGAGGAGGCACGAGTCACACAATGTCTCCTTCATTCCCCTATTTTTTTTCTTGAATTTTTTCCAAATTTTTTTTTTATCGCGCTCTTTTAGTTCCTTTTTTTTATTGGAGCGAAGTTTACTTAACCGGCCCTTTTGAACCCCTAGCTTCCTTTTTAAGAAATTATTTAAAGCATTGCTAACGACTTGAACTCGTCATTTTTTTATCTCATCATCTCTAGCATTTATAGAAATGTTAAACTTTCTTTACATTTCAAAAGTTGATATCTCCTACCTTTTGGTAGGAAACATATTGTGCTCGAAAAAAACTCATCATTCATCTCCGGAAAAATGATACACTTTTTTGCTCTCTGCTCTTCTCTCTTTTTTTTAATGTTATTTCTAGAAATCTGAGAGAGTGATTTTTATTTTTATTTCCGAATTTGAACTCTCCCTGAAATCAAATTCAAGAAAATAAGATATAATTGATTTTTAAAAAAAATTTCTCAAGTTTGCAAAATGTTTATTATTGTCAATAACTCCGGCTTTTTGAAAATAACAAGAAACTTTTGTTATTCAGTTTTCAAAAATTTATCCTTTTTGAAAAAAATCTGTATTTAAAAATATTTGTTGAAAACAATTTGTTGAAAATAATTGGTTTTCAAGAACAATAATAAATTTTTTTCCTATTAAAGAAACTAAAGAAAACATTTCGCAAATTCATTTCGAAAATTTTCTGTTATTTTCAGAAAGCCAAAAGTAATATTTTTTAAATTCATCCCTTAGAGTATAAAATTATTCAATTTTAGCTATTAAACACTCTCGCCATGAAAAAAAGATTATAAAAATAGTTTTCAAGCTCGAGAGGATATGAAAAAGCAAAATATGTATTACAAGTTTGTAAATAAATCCGAAACCATTGTTACTCTCTCGTTAATTTTTCCCCAGACAGAAAAAACTAAAAATATTTCAACTAAACAGTTAGATAAATTCCTTTTCTTTTAAAATTTGTTTCGATTCAGCTTTCAGTTATTTATTTATTATTTATCTCTTCAGAAAATAAAAAATGTGGAGAATTTAAAGTGCCTCTAATAAAATGGAATAAAAATCTAATTTTTTCTGCTCTGGAGAAAATTGACACTTTCAATAAACATTCATAACTCTCGATTCTCGTGGATTTCCAACTCCGAAGAATCATCATGAGGAAAATCGAGAGTTTCTTATAAAAAAAATCAGTCTGTACTATTTTCGGTGAAGAAAATATTCGAGAATTTATAGCCATTCGATAAAATACACCCGAACGCTATAAATTATTGCAAATTTGCGAATTTTGCCAAAATCGAGTCAATAGAAAAGCAATTTTTAATCAGTGGCAGAATGATGGAATACTCAATTATAAAAAAGATATCGATAAATATTTTCGAAAAGAAAGGAAAGAATTTTGATGATTTAGACAAATCGTCGACAAATTACCAACAAATTTCAAGTCTTGTTAAAATCATTTTAAATTATTAATTTTTCAATTTTTATCCTTCGCATTTAAAAAAGATTTAAATTGAATTGAATTTTCTACTAAAAAAATTAATGAATAATAATTTTTTCTTTCTATAAATATTCAATTCAATGAAAATTCTATTTAAAAATATTATTATTCATTTTAAATTATTAATTTTCTAATTTTTGTCGTTGTCAATTGAAAAAGAATTAAATTGAATTGAATTTTCTACTACAACATTAATGAATAATAATTTTTTCTTTAATTAAATATTCAATTCAATAAAATTCTATTAAAAATATTATTTTTCATTTTAAATTATTAATTTTTATCGTTGTTAATTAAAAAAGAATTAAATTGAATTGAATTTTCTACTCAAATTAATGAATAATAATTTTTTCTTTCATTATTAATATTCAATTCAATTTAAAGAATTAAATTAAGTTAAACTTTTCACTCAAATTAAACTTAATATTGAATAATTAATTTTTTTGTTAAGTCAATTGAATAAAAATTCTATTTAAAATAATATTTTCAATTTTTGTGTAAGTACTTCATTTGATTATCTTTTTGAAAAATAAATGAGAAATGAAATTTGTTGGATATTGTAAACGACTATGAGACCCGATGTTTTTCAGAAAAGCTGCCATTATTGACTCAAGTGAATTAATTAGATATTCAACAAATGTGCATATTTATGAAATTCTGCTTGTCTTTATAAACTGGTCCCCAGGCACCGTATTTATTATCCTTATTTTGCTGTTGTGTCGACTGCGGTCGCTGATGACTGCCAGAAGGACTTGCAGTTTTTTCTTTCCTAGGGAAACATTTTATGTTATCATTACGTAATTTTATCGATCCTTCTTCCTCGATTACTTTATTTTATCTATTTATTTATACAAATTCATAGGCGCAAAGAAATTTTTTTTTAGTTTTTATTAATTTTTTCTTAATTTTTGATAAAATTGTACATTTTTAGATAAAATTTTGCAATTTAATAAGTTTAGGAGAATTTGTAATTGAAAATACAAATGAAAATAAATTAATAATTTGAAAGTAATTAAACTTACTTGATTTCTTTGAATGGACCCTTAATTTGGGAATCGGCATATCTTCCATGGACCATTTTGTTTAAATTTCTTTGCAATTATTAATTGAAATTGTAATTAATTTGGAATTTTCAGAGCAGCACCAATGGTTCAGAAGCAGTTAATTTAATATTGCTATCACTGCTGTCACAATTTTCCAGAGGCTTTTTCTTTTGCTGGAAAGTTCATTTAATTATGATCCACAAGTTCTGAACGTTCGAATGAACGAAATATTTTTTATTAAATTATTTTTATAAATTACTGACAGCGATAAAAATAATTAATTTTTGTTGGTAGTGACACAGAGTTTAAAAATTAATTTGAAGAAGAAATAAATAAATTTCGTTAATTTGAAGGTTCGGAACTTTAGAAACATATTTAATTTATTTCTTTTACAAAAATCTAATATTGAAACTAATTTAATTTTGAAATTAAAAAATATTTAATGAGTTATAAAAAATTGACTGGGACTTACCCTACGGCACGTGATGTAAGTGAACTAAAACCAATAATTCTAAACGGTTTCCAGAATTACCACGACGACTCCCTTTGCGTGTCCGAAGATTCTTGGCTAGTCTAAATTAACAAAATTATTTATCACTAAAAATATTCATTAGAATTATTTTTAATTATTAAAAATTTAATTTCAATCAAAAGTTTTAGTCATAACTATTCTACAAATCGTCAAGTACTAATTTTAATTCTTAGAGAATTGAATAGAAAAATATTCTGCCAAATTTTTGAATATGAGAAAATTTGCTATTTACAATTTTTCAAAAAAAAAAAATGTTTTTTTACAAAAAAATTTGTAATAATGGACAATAAACCAGTTTTATTGTCCAGGAATTCTTACCTGATACTTGGTAAAAACGTCGCTGAGTTGCCTTGACAATCTAAAATCTTGCACCTCATGGACACATAAGAATGCGAAATTTTTGAATAGTTATTATCTCAATATACGTAAAAAATTAAATTCGCATTAATTAATCACTTTCCGTGTCAAGAGTCACTGATAAATTTCCAATTGAATTTAATTTTGCAAAAACTTCTCATCAAATCAATTCCGCAATTTTGAATGAATTCACACTGTCAGCCTCTCGGGTAGAGACTAAGAATCTTCCGGTGATTCCGAGGTTTTTACAAAGCCCCCTTCACCTGATCCCTTCCATTCTCATCATTTATTAGAATAAAAGTGGGGATTTTATGCTTTCTACGTTATTTTTTTTTTATAATTCAAATTTTCTATTATCTTTGAAAATTTTCTTGAATAAAATATTTTTAATCAGAAAGACGTCTATTGTATAAAATTTCTTCTTTTCTCGACGTGGAAATCTGAAAATAAAAAATATCATGAAAGTTGAGAATAAAAAATGATTTAATTAAAGCACTTACGTGACTTGAGTCACGAAAATTAAATCAAAGAGGGAAAAATACAAAAATATTTCTGTCAACAATGATTCAAGTTTAAAATCATCAAAATAAATATGCAAAATTTTTTAATTTAGCAAAATTCTGATCGTAATTTCAAAATTAATAAGAAATTATTAAAAATGGTTATAATTTCTTACTTTATTTCATTTACTTAATTTTCTACTTCAGGATTTTTTTATTAAATGAATATAATTTCAAATTAAATAATAAATTTCCCCTTGTGAAAAGTTTATGTATTTTTTCAATTCGTATTCAATATTTACAATTTCTAATTTGATATTTCCCAATTTCGAAAAATATTCCATTGACTCGTTTCGATTTTGTATTTAAATTCCTCTTTTATACAAAAAATAATTTTAAATAAAAAAAAATGTTTTAAAACAACGCAAAATAGTTACTCATAGTTGAAGTAGAAACTGTGTAGCTTCTTTAAAATGTTAATCATTTTTTCTAAACCGGTTTCGTAGCTTTTAACTTTACAAAGAAGAAACAAATTCGCAAAAATATCTAAATTCTTTTGAAAAATCATTTACCTGTATTCTATACATTTTTCTATAAATTGTTTACTCTCATTTTTCTCCACGATTGAAAACCAAAAATTTGCCATTCTTCTCGTATTTTGTATTATAAAAAATTGTCTTCTTGTGAATTAATTTTCATTATGAATTTCGAATTTTTGAAATTCAAAATTTCAAAATTTAATTAATTGGAATAAATTCAGTAGACTTAAAATTAATGTTCCTTGACACTGCAATTGGATTTTGTTTTTGTACAAAGGAAAACCAAACAATATTTTTCGATATTAAGAGATAATTTATACATCGTGGAATAAGTTGCAGTTAAGGCAAACTAGAATCTGATGCAACCCAGTTGAGAGTGTCATCACGCACATTTGCATATGTTTGCAATATTTTAGTTGTAAAAATTCGTGTCCGGTTTTAAAAAATCTCACCTGAAATCAAGAAAATATGGAAAAATTAAATTTTAATTACTTTTGGTACATTTTTCTTTAATAGAAAAGCAGACAACTTACGTGAATTTATTTTCTTCTCCATGCGAATTGAAATAACTGAAAGCTAAGAAACTATAATAAAAGAAGAAATAAAATAAAAATGTAAAAAAATAAAATAAAACGTAAAATCGAAAATAAAGTAAAATAGAAAACGGAATATGAAATAGAAAACAAAATAAAATAGAAAACGGAAAATAAAATAGAAGACAAAAAATAAAAGAAAATAGAAAAAATACGGATAAGAAAGAAATACGGAATAAATTGAAAATAGTAATTGAATTAAAAAGTAAAATTAATTTTTGGAATGAAATGTCAATAAAAAAAATTACTATGAAGATAAATAAGTCAATAGCCAGAAGTTTTCGCTATAAAATAATTTCTTTATTGAGCTTCTACCGTATTGCATGGATTTAAATTAATTAATTTATTAGAATGTTCTGCTAATTCGGTTATACTAACTCTACCTCGTTGTCGAACAAATTTCGCAACAGCTTCAAGTTCTTCCTGCGAAATATAAATGAATTTCCCCCGATCGTCAATAACTCCAGTTAAAGTGCCATCGGCTTGAAGATTTTGAATCCTTTCAATAGCACTCGCTGTTTTTAGCGAGAAATGACCAGCGAGATCCTCCAGGATAACAACTTTATTTTGCTTTATATAATTAATAAAATCCTGTAATAAATTTCTCTCCTCATCGTCGTCCTTTTCCTCGAATCCTTCCTCCTCAACGCTAAAAGCCTCTTTCATTTTCAAATATTCCTCGTACTCCTGTCTCTCCTTTTCCTCTCTCGCCTTTTTCTCTGCTTCCTCTTTTCTCTTCTCCTCCTCGCGCTCCTTTTCCGTTTGCTTATCGCGTTCTTCCTGCAATAATTGCTCTCGTTTCTTACGATCATCGCGTTCACGTTCTAAAACTTCCCTCTGGGCTTTCTTCTCCGCTTTCGCCTCGAGTTTTGCTTTTTTCTTCGCGCCTATTTTACCCTCGGGAATATCGGGTTTCTCGTCGGTCTCCTGATTCTCCTCGTCGTCGGATCTATTTTGTTGTTCTTGATTGACTTGTGGCTGGGCATCGTTTCGGATTCGTTGACGAGCATTCCTGACGCCTGCGACTCGACGAACTCGTTGACCCTGAGCTGCTTGTGCCGGTGGTTCGGTCTTTAATTTTTCTTAAATGGAAAAAGAGAAATTCATTTAATTTATTCTTTATTTTACGTTACATGTTTGAAAATACGTCAATAGAATTGTCTGTTAATTAATTCCTCTCTTGGAAGTAAGTTTTGAATTAATTCACAAAAAGACGTAAACATCCGTTATTTTTAAAATCTATAAATAATTAAAGCAGAATTCATTCAACTGAATGAATTAAACTATTTATTAAACTTCGTTTTTTAAATAAAGTTAAATTTAGATGTCATTGATGTCATTTACCATGTTAATTTTCTGATTTATTGAAAACTTTATAGAAACATAATCAAAAATAGAAATACACATAAATTAACAAAAATAGTAATTATAATTAGAAATATCAACAACAATACAAAAAAGGTTCAAAATAATCTGTAATAATAACAGCTGTCAAAAATTTTTGAGGTTAGAAAAGTTACTGAAGGGAAAATAGATCAGTTTTTAATAAAAAACATTATTATTGTTGGCAAAAAAGACTTACTAGATCCTTTACGGGAAAATATAGTCAATCCAACGATTAAAACTAGAATAATTACAGCAAGTGCTGCAAGTAGAACAATTTCCATTTTAATTTGTATTTGACAATAACAATAATGAGAGCGTAGCAAGTGAACGTGTTTATTTTCTTTTACCGATTGTTGATAACAAAATCGACAGTCGATAAACAATTTTCTCTCACTAGAGGCGCACCGCCATTTAATTAAAGAGGTTATGTTTGCACAATTTCCAAAAGCTGACGTGGGAGAATTTTTGGCATGTGTGAATCGTTTCAATTAATTTCCCATACAATATTATTTCTAAAATAATATTAAATATTAGTTTATTAGAGAACTTACCTTCCAGAATTGAAAATGTTGAAATATTTGAGTTATTTCCTAGTGCTTAGTGTAGTTTTTGAATATTCCTTAGGACTTTACTTCCACATCGGTGAGACCGAAAGAAAATGTTTTATAGAAGAAATTCCAGATGAAACTGCAATTATAGGTGAATTATCATTTAAATACAAGATAAATACTTATTTATAAAATCTTTGATTACTTTTTTACAAGATCGGGAGTTTCTTTAATAGAGAAAAGTAAATTGCGTAACATATTGTTCCTGACTTGTCATTCTTGTCAAACCTTATAAACAACTTATTTTTGTTTACTTTATGTACTTTATCCTTTTTTGACATTTAAATAGTCAAATGTAGTAAATTTATCTTTTAGAATTCCTTAAAATTCAAGTGGAAATTGTTCTTTCGTAAAATTTAGAACTATTTGTTTTGACTTGTGCTGCTTGTGCCTAACATATTGACGTTTTGATTATATTTGATTATTATTGATTATTTTCGTAAAGTAATTATTTTTGATAAAAATAACACTTAATATTTGTTTGTAGTGAACTATAAAGTGGAATTATATGATCCACGTAGTCAAGGTTTTATGCCAAGTAGTCCAGGAATTGGAATGCACGTTGAGGTTAGAGATCCGGATGATAAAACAATTCTTTCGAGAGTTTACAGTTCCGAGGGAAGAATTTCCTTTACTTCACAAACTCCAGGAGAACATGTCATTTGCTTGTACTCGAATAGCACCGCCTGGTTCAGTGGAACGCAATTGGTAAAAAGTCAAAAATAACCTTTTTTATCCAATTATTTACTTTTTTTCAAATAATAATACTATTAATGAAAAAAAAATAATTCTATACGTTTAATTTTTTCAGAGAGTTCATCTTGATATTCAAGTTGGAGAACATGCTATTGATTATGCAAATGTAGCTCAAAAGGAGAAATTGACAGAACTTCAGCTTAGAATTCGACAACTCTATGATCAAGTCGATACAATTACAAAGGAGCAAAATTATCAGAGGGTAATGAATATTTTTCTGTAAATAAAAATGAAATTAGGTCAAATTTCAAAGACAAGAACGAAATTTTTCAGTAATTAATGTAAAATTGCGAAAAGAACGAAGTTAATAAAAAATTTCGTTCCTTTCTTTTAAAAATTTCTTTTGATTGTTTTGATAATATTTTGAGTACTAAAATTAATAAAAAAGAAAAAATTTCCATTAATTTCAGTACCGAGAAGACAGATTCCGTCAAACTTCAGAAAGCACTAATCGCCGAGTACTCTGGTGGTCCCTCATCCAAACAGCTATTCTTTTAATAATGGGTGCGTGGCAAATGAAACATTTGAAGAGCTTCTTTGAGGCTAAAAAATTAGTGTAGATATACCTGACAAAGTGTACAAATATCATATTTAAAATTTGTAAGGCTTAAAATCTATGAAAAAAAAAAATTTCTTGTACAGTTTATAAAATAATATTCTACTTGAGCTTGAGTTTATGTATCGAAGACAAAAGTCTTCTTTTTCTATTAAATGTATTTCGATTTCATTCTAGAAATTTCTTACAGTCAAGATATTAATTAAAAAATAAATTTAATTTATATTAAAATATAAAATGGTATTTATAAAAAAAATTTCAATCAACGATATTATTTGACACATCCATTATTCAGAAACAATTATTAAATACGAGTCATTAATTAATTAGAAGTCATTAATTAGTCATTAAATTAGAAACTTATTTAAGAAGTTAAAATTTAATTAATACAGTACTTAAATTAAATTTAATTAATATTTAAATTTAATCAATTTAATTAATTTCATGTTCAAATTTAATTAATTTCATGTTTAAATTTAATCAATTTAATGTTTAAATTTAATTAATTTAGTCTTGAAAAAGAATAAAAACTGGTTCTTTGTTAAATAAAAATTGCTGTAAAATCTTTATTTTCATTGAAAATGATTTATTTCTTATAAAATAATTTAAACTTAGTTCAACTTATAAAAATTATGCACTAATTTTACAATTTTCTATTTACAATCGTGGTAATTTAAACATTTTTCAATTGCGCCCAGTGTGACGAAATTAAATATTTTTAAATTACTATCAATATGACATACGAATTGTGTGAATTTCAAAATTCACACATTTATCACAAGACCACAACTAATATACACTAGAGAAAATTAATTACAATGCTCGATAAAAATACAATTTACAATTTGTACTTCGGAAATTATCATAAATTTACGATTGATAACAAAGTTCCATTAAATGAATTTGGAGAAATTATTAAATTGGTTTTGAGAAATTATTAAATTTCTAAAAATTATTAAACTTCTAAAAATTATTAAATTTCCAAAAATTATTGAGTGAATAATTATAAAGAATATATAATTGAAAAAAAAATAATTACTGAAAGTTTGTAATGATTCAAAAAACAATTTGACGCATGAATTCGATATAAAGAAATGAGAAATAAAATGAAGAGACAAATAAATAGAGTTGAGTCTTATAAAATAAATAAAAGTCTTAAGTTTTCATGATCGAGAATGAAACAATTCATCTGATCATTCGTCAGGAAATATCTAAAATCCTTGGATTTTTTTTCTTTTTTTTGATGATCATCAACTTAATAATAACGTAAGTCGAAGGGAAACGTGAAGAAAATTGGTTCACGTAGTGGATAATTATTTCGACGATTTCGAATGAAATATCTTGGACGTTGATCGTGGTAGGGCGAGACCAGAGTATTGAGAGAATATCTCTCTGGTTTTTGATAGAAGCGACTGTTGGTTTTCGTTTCAATTTCCTCGATCGATGGGAGACGGGAAAATCTCAAATCTTCAAGATCGTCGTCCTTGGGGAAACTTTCGTCACCAGGAACCGGACGACCGTCTGGCAATACTCTCGACACCATTGGTCCCACCACAAATGGTCCCGGACGATTTGCCGGTTGGATGAAATTTGCAATTGGCGACGATTCCTCGGCGAGGCCATTTTCACCTTCTGTGTAAACTGAAACAGAAAAAAGAAATTTGAAATTAATTTTAATAAATAAATATTAGAAATAATAATTTAATGTAAATTCGATTGAAATTGAATTTTTTTTTCCAAACGTTTGGAAATATTTCCTTGAGGTGAACCACCTTAAATTTTTGTAAGATGAATGAATTATGATAATGAACGAAAATCATTTCAATTAATCGTTTCGTAAAAAAACAATTCGGATATAAAGTTTTTACAGCGTTTGTACGTCATTAAATTTTATTACTTTTTCAACCTTCACGTCTTCATAAGCAATTTTGAAATTCATTAGACATTAAAGAATTTTTATAGCCTTTTGTATTTTACCAAAAATAAATTTTTTTATGTTAAAATTTTCCGATATGAGATTTTTTAATGAATTTCGAATTCGTATCTATTCGACAATTTTTTTTCTTCTTTGTTTTTTTAATTAGAAAAAAAATTTGATAAAAATTTGACGAATTTAATTATCCGAAATTGATGGGCAATTACCGAAGAGAATGAATTTAATTTTCGAAAAGAATTTCAGATAAAAATCACAGAGGCAGTTAATTTTGTTTGGATTCAATTAAATGATTATATTCCTCGTTGGGAGATTGATTTGAAATTAAGAGATAGAGAATCGTGATGTATTTAACATTTGTAATTGGAAAAGGTCGCGAATCTTGTCGTTCTTCGCAAACTCCTTGCGAGACTTTCCATAATTTAGCATTTTGATATCATCGGACTTTTCATTTTCGAAAGTATCGGAAACTCGCTCGTGCATTTAATATCCGGTCGTCCGTGAAATCTCCGCCGAGAAATGCTTTCCTTCTAATCAAATTTCCTCCCTTAATAATAATTCTCGATAAAATTACATCCGATTAATTAAATTTCCAAAAACTAATTTCGAAAAATTATTTTCCAAAAACTAGGTCGTAAAAAATTTTTCCCACAAATTAATTCGTAAAAATTATTCCCAAAAACCAATTCGTGAAAAATTAATCGCAAAAACTAATTTGATAAAAAATTATTCCCAAAAAAAAAATTGAATGGAAAAATTCAACATTTTTTTGCAAATTGATAAAAGAAGAGGAAAAGAATTCAATTCTGAAAAAAGGATAATTTATTTCATTTCCGGATTGAGGGGAAAATTTTTTACGAATCTATTTTTAGCTTTTGGTTCTCCAAAGGGAATGTGTCAAATAAAAGAAAATTCTTGTTTCTACCTTGAGAAGAAGAATTCCTTCAAAGTTGAGAGAGAACAAATAAAAGAAAAAAATGACACCTTGGCCTACATGTCGAACTTTCGCGAATACCCAATCAAGATCAAATACAGCAAAGTCTTTTTAAAAATAAATATTCCAAAGAAGCTATTCAGGAAAAAAAATACAAAAAAAGAGGATATGAATAGAATATTATTGAGCATCTGAGCAGAACATGGTATCATTAATTTAAATTTGCACCTATTATGAATCTCTATATCAGACTTGAATGCAAGACATTTTTAATGAACATATTCTTGCTTGTGAAATCATTGACCTCCCGGAAACAGGAAGCGAACTAAAGTCCTTAAAGCAGGAAATTTGCATATTCGTTTAACCATTGCTATCGAAAGGAAATTTTTCCTTTTTTATTCTCAAATTTTCAAAAAAAAAAAAAAATAGAATTATTTTTAAATTATTTTTTCAAAACTTTTATTACAAAAAAAAAGTTCCACAGACTGTGAAAGTGAAATTTATTATCGTTTTAGAAAGTATTTTTTTTTCAACTTTTATTTGTTTGTTTGTTATATTTGTATTCTTTGAATATTTTTTTTTCAAGAGAGAAGAGAATTGAAATGATTTGTGTTTTGCACTTGGCACGTATCGTTTTAACAGAAGGGAAATGGGCCATAGAGAAAATGTGAAAGCCATGAGGCCTCCTTGTTGAAGAGGCACGTCGAGAAAAGTTTTGACCTCAATCAAACCCACCCAGCTTTCGGATTTCCGTGGGAATACCCATATAAAATTATTTATCATTATTATCGATAGATTTTCTCAGAATAGAGCGTTGAACAATTGTTTCTCAGTAACTGTCAGTAAACCGCAGATCTCCGGTCATTAATCAATCTTCTATTACGTTCCTCAATCTTGTAGATGATAAGCGAATTTTTCTTCAATAAAAAAAAAGAGAAAAAAAACCACTTGATCATTAATTTGATTTTGTTTTTTTTTCTCCGTTCGTCGCTATGTATTTTTAACATTTTGACTATTTTTCTATTTTTTTTTCATATTTTTTTATTTTTATACTTCTTTTCCTTTATTTATTATGCTTTTATATTTATTCTATTTTCCATACTTTTATTTTCATCTTTTTTATTTTTCTCGCCTTTGTATTTCTATCCTCGATATTTTTAACTCCAATATTTATTCTCTTTTTATTTTCGACTAAATAGCAAGCAAGTGGAAAATAAAAAAATCAAATTGAAAGAAATATAAAATGATAAAATATATTAAAAATATATTTTTAGTGTTAAATAAGAAAAAAAGAAGCTGTGGATGAATTCCTCAAGTTTTCTTGTATTTATAGTTTAATTTGTCGTGTCCATTGAAATGAGATAAAAACAAGCTTCGAAGACAAGATTTCAAGATCGCTCCATAGATTTAATGATAGGCAGGTGGAAAAAAAACGTCTAATAAAGAAATGTTTATGGTAAAACCACAAGTTGCTGATACTTCCGAATGCCACGAAATTTCTCCCGAGTATCCTTTTTTTTATTTACGTTATTTTCCGTTTTACAAATAGAAATTATAATCCGAATGAGAAATTTAATTATAGTTTGTGAAATTTCTTTCCGCATGAACTTGTGTTTTAGATAATAAAATTGTTCCGTAATTTGTATGAGATTTGGAAAAAAAATGTCAATAAATATTTCAAGTTAATCGACTGTTATCGGGAAAGGAATTTTGTTTATCAAAATAAATAAATTACCTGTAGATGTAACGGAGAAACGTTCATCAACGTCATCAACGTTTCCTTTGATTCCTTCTGTTAGCGCTTGCCAAACTAGAAAAAAAATTGAAAGTAGAATTAGAAATAGAAATAAAATTGAATAATAAAATGGAAATTTGGACATTTTTCAAAATTTAATTAATAAACGTACTCATTTCTTCGGAATTCCTTTGATAGGGGTCGAGGAAGTCCATTTGATCGTTGCTTAGATTGTTCAATTTTTGCGACGCTGTTAACATCAAATTTTTGTTACAGTCCGGACTCGTCGAATGGATGCAATAATTTTCCGCTTGTAATTTAAACCTGTCGAATAGTCTGCTCATCTGTAATTAAAAATTCGTAACAATTAGTAACAAATTCGCAACAATTAGTAAAAAATAGAAATTAATTAGTATAAACTTAATAATTATAAGCAAATTAGTAAACAAATTTTCAAATTAAAAACCAAATTTCGTGGATTTAAAAGTGTTTCGTTAACTTTGAACTTTTGGCAAAAATATTTCCGCTCTGTTGAAATGTGACTGAATTTTAATTTTCGTTAAATATTCATGTCATATAGAACTACGTGTCGGTTAGCACGTAAAAGTTTTTTTTTTGCAATAAATTTTCACAATAAATCTCAAAAAAACGTGACGTTGACAAAAATGTGTATCAATAAGTAGCTTTTAAATAACAAGGCACGTCGTTATTACTTTCACCCACGCTTGAAAAATTTTAATTTCAAATATGTTGATGATTTCAATATTGAGCAACACATCTCTCTTCAATCTCATGAGTATTCTTAATTAGTAAAATTAACTCATTAAACTTCCAATTTTCCACTGAGCGAGAATTTTAATAAAAATGTTACGCTACAAAATATATTATTATCTCAAAAAAAATCTTCTTTTACACGCGGAATAAATTAAATCCGTATATTTATCAAGTGTATAATTTTATCAATTTAATTTAAATATATATCATTTCAATTAAAATTTTTAAAAAATATTTTAATTTAAAAAAAAATACCAAGGAAAATTTTTCTCAGTTTTTTTTCATTTAAATGATGTATTTAAATTTTATTTTTTTCATACTTATAATAATATATTTAAATAAGAAAGACAAATTTTTCTTTCAAGTGTGAGATGTGACGAAATAAGTTTAAAGCGTGCCGAATTTACTTATGTTAGCAAATCAGGACTAAAACTGTGTAATGTATTTTTATTCCGGAAATTGAGAGAAAGTGTCGTGCAGAAAATGTTGAAAAATCACTAATGTATTAGGTACATGTTAATTGCTGTTCAAATAAAGGAAGACAAAAAATATCTTTAAAATAGTAAAAGCAGAATTTGTTTTCTATATCAACACAATTTCTTCTGAATCATTAATATTGAGAATATTGTGTAAAGAATGTAAAGAATAAAAATAAAAAATATAAATAATATAAAGAATTAAAGTATTACAAATTTATTTTTTATTTAATAATTGAAAACAATGAAGAAAATAATAAATATTATTAAGTATATTAAGTACAAAAAATTTTTTAAAATTTAAGTACATCATTTGAATAAAACAGAAAAAAAATTTAATTTTTAATTTAGATTATTTAAATTATTAAATTAGATTATTAAATTAAATTATTAAATTAGAAAATTAATCTAGAAATCTTTTTGCCAATAGATAGATTAAACTTGAACTTAAACTTGTTACAATAGCAAAATTATGTTTTCATGCTCGAGCTGTTTACATTTTACGATCTATAAACTTCCATCCATAAATAGAAAAAGTTCCTAATTTAAAGTCGATAATTTCCATTTTCCATTTTAAGTATAACTCAATTATAATTTTATATCTAATTATCTCTATTGTCTAAATTAACAAAATCCTTTTGTGTTTCACACGTACTCAGATTGTTTTGATTCAATTGTTCAAGATATTTTTCCAAAAATCGTGATTATAATGAAAATAAGAACAATGTTTGCCCTAATTTGCTTATCCGCTCGATGAATAATAAACCTGAATTTTAATTGTTAACTTGTGTTTGAAATTTGCTTGCAAAAACATTTAATTGTTTCGTAAAATGTTTATCAAGACCAAACAAAACGATTGTCTCACACTACAATTAAATATCAAAATTTCTCCTCAAATTAATTTTTGAAATTTGTTAATGAATGAAAAAATAAAAAAAAAGTTAAATAATTAAATCTAGTCCCTATTTGTAAAAAAAAACTTGTTAATTTTTCTATATTTCACAATTTGCACTTTTTTCCGCCACAGAATTTGCAAACACACATTAGCTCTGAAAAAAGAGAAAAATCGCTTACTTTTTCACCCTTGGAGAGACTTTCCCAAATTGGAATAGCAGATCCGGTAGCTTTGGAGATAAGACAAAGTCCCAGAATCGAGGCAACAATAAAAGAGATCTTCATTTTGTCTCAAGATGGGAATTCCTTGATGTGTTGTTTTTTTTATTTTTTTTTTTGCCACTGGATTCTTGATCACGAATGTTTTTTTTCCAAAGAACTTGATTTTTTTGCCACCGATAAATTGTTTCTTTCAAAATGAAAATTTTTGAAAATCAAAACACAGAAAAGTAATAATTATTATTGAATGACACTTTTCTTTAAGTTGACTTTTAAATCTCAGGACAATCACTGCTGAGAGCTCGCGAGAAACTGAGTTTACTGCCAGGTGGCCGGTTCATTTTATGCGGCACCCAACCACAACCAAAGGAGTCGTCTTCGTTTATAATCGCAGCATCTTCTGACGTCTGTTTATCTATTTTAGAATTTCTCAGTAGATCCCTTAATACAGGCTAACGACTCCTAGAAAAATAAAGAAGAATAATTTCTTTATTTTGCATAATCAATTGAGAAATGCAATAACAATTTTTCCCTTTGAAAAAAGGTTGTTTACTTTATATTTTCTACGCATTTACGTTGTTTTCAAAATTATTCACTGAATTTAGATCTTTCTTTAATTTATCTATTTTGAATATTTTTTTAAATATTAGATATTTCAAATTTTTACGTTTTTGATCGATTATTTTAAAAACAGAAATATTATGTTTATTTGAACCGAAGAGAAAAGAAAGATTTTTTTTAATCCTTTTACTTTTTTGATCGAAAACATTTTTTTAAAAAAAAGTATTTGTTTATTGAACCGAACAAAAAAGAAGGTACATTTTTTTTTTAATTCTGCCACGAACGAATTTTTACTTTTTTGATCGAAAACATTTTAAAAACAGAAATATTTGTTTATTGAACCGAACAAAAAAGAAGGAACATTTTTTTTAATCCTTCCACGAACGAACTAGTTTTGCATTCTAGTTAATCGTTTCAATTTTTATTACTAATAAACATGGTGACACATTTATTAAGGATTCAAGGAACTTTGGCGTGAGTCAATATTGGAGTAGGCAGAATTTTATAGTTCATATAGTTTTCTAAAAAATCCCGAAATAGAAATTTTTTCAACAATACGAATAGGGGAATTTTTCGCAGTCGAAATTGATTTTTTAAATTAAAAGCATTTAATTTAAAAGATTTAAAATAATAAATTTAAAAAAAGAAATGTCTCCAAAGTTTTGAACGTTCAAATAAACTACAATTTTTTTCAATAAATTCCCTTTTTTTATTCGGGTATTCTTTTATTCAAATTCGCTTGAATTTGAATTTCTATTAATTTTTTTAATTAAATTAGTTTTTGATTAAAATAGTTAATTTTTAACTAAATTATTTAGTTTTTTATTTTACAATTTATTAAATTATTGAAAATGTTGAAAATATTTAGAAGAAATATTTTGTTCATTAGAACGTTGATAACTTTTGGAAGGAAAAAACAAGAAAAGAATTAAATGAATTTATCGAAATCTTTTAGGCAATCTGGAAATAAAAATCAGCTTTTGAGAGAATTTTCATGAACCACGAGGTCATAAATAATCAACGACCCCGGTTGTTACCTAATATATAAAGTGCAGATGATTATAAATAAGAAATTAAGACATTGAATAATGTTAGAAACAATGCTGAGAAGATAGAGAAGAAGAAACTCTCATGGAAGTATAAAAAAATATTATAAAGTAATTACTGAACCTTGTTTTCCGAATTAATGAAATACAATATATTTGCAAATTATAGAAAAAGATTTTCTTTCTTTTTCTTCAGTTCTAACTATTTAGGTTTTTTTTTAATTTAAAAAAAAAAAGTAATTTAATGCAACTTACAATTTGAGACAATTATTTTTTTGTTATTCCTCGATGACTCTAAATTCCGTTAAAATATCTTTTTTTTCCTGTCAGAAAAAAGTCTGAGTCTGAGTTTGAGTCAGACTTTTGAAAGAAATGCACCAACTCTAAAGATCGAAATGAGGTCGAAAATTTTAAAAATTCCACACACTCTTGATATTGTATTCGCAAACATTTGGAAATATTCCTCTCAATCTGAAACAGAATCATGTTAAAAAGTTATTTACATTTTTTTTCGAAAATAAACCAAACATATATTTACGGAAAATTATTTTTATTCGATAAATTCTTATATACCGATGGTAATTATTTAAATAAGCAAATTACATTTTCCAAGTATTTCAGAAACGATAAAATAGTCACTATATAGGAACTAGAGAAAATTATGCAATGTTAGTGTAATTACATAAAACCGCGAAACTTATGTTTAAAATAAGAATATTTTTTTTTAATTTGAATTTTTCGTTCGGATTTTTTTCTATTTATAGTTATACTGAAATTTTCTCCTTTCACGGAAATATTTTTTCTTAATTTCATTTTTCTTGTTCAATTTTATTTGAACGCTGGATTTATTTTTTATTTGTAATTCAATTTTGTTGATGAAATAAAAATCAATTTCATTTTTTGAAATTATTCTATAAAATTTGTATTCATCAATAAAAAAAAGTGTTTATTTGACCGTGGCTTACATGTTAGATTAATCGCAAATTTTACATTTTATGGCTATGGAAAAATATTCTAATTCTTTGTTATTCGTTCTTTTTTAACTGAAAAGTATTTTAATTATACCCTATACAGAAAATTGACGTAAATTTTTTTTAATTGTTTCCTATTTGACGTAAAGGCGACTCACCATATGACGTAAAATGATTTTTATTATTCACTATTATTATTCAATAATAATTATTTTTCTTATAATAATAATTTACCAAAAAATATTCTAATGGAAATTTTTAGCTTATTTTTTTTAGATATATAATAAAATTAATTAACTGTTAATTTTTAGTAGTTTTCAATTTTGCTTTCATATATATATACATATGTAAATGTCAAATTCCTGAATCTCGAATGGGAATTTTCAATAATTTCACATGTTTGGTCAGTGGAATAATAAAGGCGGATATATCAACATCAAGCCTTAATATTTTACGTCACGAGGTAAACCAAAGCCTCAAGCATTTGGGAATCTCCTAAAAAAATATATATATATACAAAAACCTGATCTTCGCTTGAGGTGTGAAAAATTCAGTAGTTCATTGCTTTGCCCTCAAAAAACAATTTTTATCCAAATCTATTAATTCTTTTCACGAAACTACAAAAATGTGTATTTATAGAAAATAAATAGAAATGAAATAATTATTTAAATTAAATAATTCAAAAAATAATTAAATTAAATAATTACAAAAAATGTACAATAATAGAAAATTGAATAAAAGTAAAATAATAATTTCAATTAAATAATTCAAACTACAAAAAAATATTTTAAAACTGAATAAAAATAAAAAAATTAAATAAAATAGAAATAAAATAATTATTTAAATTAAATAATTTACTAAACTATAAAAGAAAAATTTTAATAGAAAATTGAATAAAAATAAACAAATAAGAATAAAAAAATAATAAAATAAAAATAAACAATACAAAATTATTGATGGATAATTTTTTTTAAATTAAATCATCAACACACGATTGATCGATTTCAAAAAGAAAAAAAAAAGTGAACATTAAAAAGCAAACATAAAGAAATTTCTAACCAATTCAGAAAATTGTCCAACAGAACGGAACTGCAATCTCTTCGACCGGAAAACAATTGAAACTCCGAGGGCAACGACTGATATGTGACAAAGAATTCATGCCAACATTGTGCGCACCATTTCCGATTTTCTATGGGTGAAAAATATCTGCATTTTTCCTTTGTTCGACAATTTTTGTTCAATTCTTCTTCTCGCACTCCGATTTCAACCATTCGGCAAAAAATAAATCTGCAAAGTAGATAATTTTTAATTTCAGGTAATTCACCTATAACACTTTCGGTAAAAACAAAAAATAATTTTACATTTTACATTTTCATTATAAATGCAAAATTAATTTACATTTATATTTTTATTATTAATGTAAAATTATTTTACATTTATATTTTGATTATAAATGTAAAATTATTTTTCGTTTTTACAAAAAGTGTTGGAGTTAAAAATAGAATTTTGATTTTTGATTTTTAATTAATATCTCAATTCAGTAGCTAATATTCAATTTATTTAAATCGCTTTTCTTTCGTAAAAACGTTCTTCTTTTGAAAAAATAAATATTTAAATGTATTATTTATAAAATTTAAAATTAGAAAAAAAATTTACATTGACGTACAAAATTCGTTGTTTTGTCAAAAAATCCCCAAGAGTCACTACTTTTAAAAAAAAAAGTGTATAAACAAATTTTTCTTGACGAAAAGCCAAGAAATTATATACTTTAAATCTTAAAATAAAATTCAAAAAAGCAAATAATTTATTCAATATTACAGAGAAGAATAATAATTGTTAAAAATGAAGAAAAATTTTTCTCTACATTTTTTCTTGTCTAATTTATTTAAACCAAACAAAATGCAAATGAATTTCCAAAATTGGAACTCGAGATTAAAATTCAATTCAGTTTTCAATTTCAGATTAGGTCTAGACTCGAAAATATGTAAAAGTGTCTCTAAGAAAAATGTATTTACAAAAAACGACTAATCTCCTTTCTTTCGAAATTAAATAATTAAAAGAAAATTTTCAGCACGAAAAATTTGAAAATTTGATAACAAAAAAAAATTCTTATATTGCTCCAATTTTTATATTTGTTGTTTTTTTTCACGGAGAAAAAAATAAAGATGGAGACAAACCGAAATATTGGAAATCAGTCTGTAGAATTTGTGGAATTTATGTAAATGAATAAAACTGACGTCAAGAAACTCAACAAACCTTCGGTATTGGCGCCACTAGGGATCAGAGAATTTCATGTTCATTTTTGAATAAGGCTGGGACTGGAAATTTAATTGATTCTTGATTCTTTGACATTGCCAAAAGAAATATTATGTCATCTTCGTTCGTACGAATAATAAATTCAATTTTCCTCCGAGTAATGTTTTTCTCAAAAATATTCTCAAGTTCCAAGGTCCGGAATAATTCTGAAAAAAGCGTAAAAGCAGAAAAACAATTATTAGAAAATTTATTTATTTAAAAAAATAAATCGATTGAAACTAAAATTCAAAATTGGATTTGAAAATTAAATTCAGAAAAGGGGAAAAATCCTTTCTTTGAAAAATAAATGTTTTTAATTCGAATTGCAAAGAAATTCGATAAATGGAAGGAAAGTAATTAAATTCAATCGAGAATATTTTGCAAATTCGGAATAAAAAAATGTAAACCAGAAAAATGTTATCTTACTTACTCCCGCATTTCAGGAAAGAAGAATTTTATATCTGGGTTACGACCTCATTAATATCCAAATCAAGTATAATGGCTCGCTTTTAAAATAATCTTTTACACTTATCTAATACTTTTCGAAAAAAATTCATACTTTCCAGTTAAATAATTAACGAAATTATTCCTAAAAGAATTACAAGTTTACTTTCAGAAAAAAATTGTAATCAATATTTTTAATTACACAATTTTTACTTTTTCTTTCTTTTTTTTTAATCATCATTCCTCTAAAAAAAATTAAGCCCGAATTTTTACCTATGAAAACAAATCGACAATAAATCTCTCAAGGAACATGCAACGTGCGAATTGTAATTTAAAGCCTATTTAACGAGTACAAGATTCCTGAATAAATTCTTGTTTTGATTTTTGGTGATTTCGCTCCTTGACGTCATTAAAAAGACTCGTAAAAATGTCGACACGATACATTCGCCTCAATCCTTACGTATTTCTCTCGACATATGAGATTAATTGTTTATTTCGTTAAATAAGAAAAAAGTAAACATATTTTTAAATCTGGTGAAATTGGAAAATTTCCCCAAAAAATATTTTTTTTGTGAATTTAAATAAAAATATCACTTAGAGAATTGTTAAAAATTAAGTATATAGCTAAATTTTTAAATAAAAAGGAAAAATAAATAAATATCTATAAAGATGTTATTTTCTACATTTGAAGAATTTTTAATAAAAAAAAATTTCGAGATGAATTTGAATTACATAAAATACGCAAATGTATTCAAATTTTAAATTCTTAGAAAGATCGATACGATTTTTATGCCTATTTTTGTCAAGCTTTAAATTGATAATAATAGGGAACATCTCATAAATCTTGAGAAATTTATCTTTAAAACAACTTTTTTTTAGTAATTTAATATCAAATTACATTCCGGTTAATTAAATTAAAGAAATTGTAGAAATTAACAAAAATTCGGTTTTTTGAAAATCATGATTTCAAATTTACATTTTTCGAATTTTTTTTTCAATTTTAACAATTTGAATAACAAATTCTAAAATTTACAAAAAATCGATTAATTTCAGGTTTTTTTCCAATTCCAAATTTTTGAGAAATGATTTCGATGCGGAATTTTTTTTTTTTTTTTTTGAAAAGCAAAAACAGAATGAATTCGTGTTGGAAATTTTTTGAAGATAACTGTAACTCTTCCTCGAGAGAAAGGAATGATCCATGAAGTGTTATTTCTTGATCTTGAAGAAGTAAAATATATTTTGTAAAAAAAAAGTCGAACGAAGGAATGTAAATTATTTAATCGTGTGTTACTGTAAAAATTCGGAAGGCGGAATCTCATTAATAAACCGCAATCAATCGTTCACAGCAGGCTTTGGCGCCAGACTTCATATTCTAAGTACGGACTTTGTACGGATTTTTGAAGGTCGTTTCCACTTTCAAGTGGCCTTGTCTGGAATTCTTATTGATCTCATTCCCTTGTAAAAGCATAAATTATAAATTATCATTTAAAAACCTTGACATCTGAAAAACTTATTTGACAAAATTGAATCGACTACATTCCATATACATCAAATTTTACAAGTTCTCGAGAAAAAAAAAATTATAATTACAAAAACAAAAATTATAATTCTTCAAAATTCAAAAAATTTTTCTGTAAATTTTATTATTTTTTCAAAAAAAATTTTCAAAAAGACTCACAATTTTCATCGTACGAAATAAAAAAATATATTTCAAATTCTTGAAAATTACAATAAATTTTCTATTTTCTCTAAATAAAACATTTCATAATCGTGAATTTTTGAAAAAACAGTCAAAAGGTGGATAACTCAAGACGAAAATTCCAGTGTCAAAAATCTTAATAGTATATATTTCATTGTATCAATTTTATAAAAACGAATAATTATAAATTTAGAAATCAATGACGATCGTACGCGTGATGCGACTGATGTGCTGAAAGAAAAAAAATACAATTATTAATTTTTCAAAATGATTGAAATTATAAATTAAATTTTCAAACTTACGTTTATAAAATTCGGCAGCGAATTCGATTTCCGGTAAAAGTTTGTGAATTTTGTTAAGAATCGTGGCTTTTGCTGCTAGTGCGGCATTCTCGTTCCAAATCTAATAAAAAAAAGTAAATTTAAATTAAAATTTAAATGAAAATTGAAAAAAAAAACTACAAAAATAATTTCATTTTGAGTTACAAAATAACTGAAGTGAATAAAATTAAAAATTTGATTTTACTGACGTGGAGAAAAATATTTTTAGAAATAAATTTAAATAACGAATGTAAAAATATATCCAAAGGAATATATTATGTTGGTAATAAAATATAAATTTTCGGGTAAAAAATAGAATTTAATTAACAAAAAATAAAAAAGTACCTGAACCAGATCGTCCCTTTCGCGAATTGAAACCGTGACTCCGCAAACTTCGTCTCCCTCTGCTAAATTTTCGGAAAATTGTTCTCCAATGGCTGCAAGTACGACCTCTTTCCACACAATAGCCTAAAATTGAAATTTTAAATAAAAATCATTTCAGTCAATTCGATATTAAAATAAAAATTCAAAAACTCACCGTTTCTTTTTTGTGGCACTTTAATCGCCAAGTGCCACCCCTTTGATTAATTGGCTCCTCCCATAATGGATATCTTTCCTCCCTCATCAAATGATAACTATATCGGATCTAGAAGAACAAAAAGACAAATTTATTTATTGTATTTTTTTTAAATACATTTTAAATTATTTTATAATTTAATTATTTTAATTAACATTTTACGTAATAAATAATGTAACAAATAATGTAATATAATAATAATGTAAAATCATTCAATAATTTTAAATTGTAATTTTGTTTTACTCACCTGTATTTGTGAAGGGTTTGGAATATTATTAAAAACAGCCCAAAAGCTCTGTACAGTATTAAATGTATAAATCTTTTTTAAATTAGCCTTATACTCCTCGGTCGTGGTTCCGGAAATCGCCCTATAATTTTTTTAATTACTTACAAAAAAATTATCAATAACAAAATACAATTAAAATGTGTGTTGCAAAAAAGCGAGAGAATCTTTGGAAAATTAAAATGAAATAGAAAATTTATAGAACAAATTCTATAAAATAAATAAAAATAATAATCAATTATGTGTCATACTTATCATATTAAATTCCATTGATATTATTTTCTCTTTAAAAACCATTCACACTAGGTACGAGAGAATTATATCTCATTTTTACTCACTATATCACTATTATTAGATTTATGTATGTACGTTTATTGAAAAACCTCGTAAATAATGAGTAGTAAAAGTTTCATTGTTTATAATTAGTGATGATAAAAAATTTTCATCACTGTTTAATTTTATCGATAAGATAAAAATAACAATATGTCAACAAAGATTTCTTTCTTGTTCGAAAACTTCTTTATAATTTTTATCTATTTTCATCAATTTTTAATGAAAATGAAAATTGAAATTGAAACTAAAATTTACTTGATTTACTCTATTATACTGCTATTTACTTGTATGCTAAACTGTAATTTTTATTACGCATTTAAATTATATATTGTTTACACTACATAACCTAAAAATCGATTTCATTAATAAACTTAATAATAAATTATGCCAATCAAAACAACCCATCAATACTATAGTATTCTTGCATTAATTCTATTTATCACCTTAGTTTCTTTAATTAAAACCAGTTTTAATAAAGAAATTCGAATAATTGTAAATGTCAAGTACATTATTTACAAGTCAGTTCGTATACTATTTATGTCAACAACAACAAATGGAAGCTTTTGTAAAAAAAGATCAGAAATGTCGTCAAACTAGTATAAATAAAATGCATAAAATGTAAATTAAGTCTTCTCTGGAAATAAAAAGTGATTTAAAAAACAAATTGTTTGTTAAAAAAGTTGAAAAAAAGAAAAGAGAGCGCAAAAGCAAGTGGCAATGAAGAATTAAGAGAAATTTTTTTACTTATCAAGCCAGAATGTCCATGGTGTCTGTAGAGGAATTCCCGTATTTTCATGTTCTTTGATATTTTTAACAGTTTCATTTGAAAAAACAGGCGATTTTGATAATTCCGAAGGAGGGTCGTCTTTTGTTTCACATTGCATTGCAGCCATCTTTGAAGACACGAATTTTTACGAAAATTTGCGAAAAGACACGAAACGGTTTTTTTTAATTTAAAAAATTTATTATTATCGAAATGTTATCTAAATTTCAATAAATATTGTTCAATGTAAGTCAAATAATCATTTTTCTATTATTAATTTCCTGTTTTATATTTTTATCTAGGATAGACAATTTCAAATTTTTCCCGCACTGGAAATGGAAGAATTTCACATTGCGCTTGCGCAAGAACTGTCATGTCTTTTTAAATCTCTTCCGGTTTTATCAGTGGTGTTAAAAGTGCTGTTTTCGGTAAGTTTTGTTTAAATAAATTGAATTTTCCCCATGTTTCCTGTATATTAATGTTTAAAAGTTCAATTAATTGTTTTAAACAAATTGTATGATTGATTTCTGGAACTTAGATGTTGAAAATTGTTTCGTTTTGCACTAGATCGAAAGTAAGGCACGTGATTGATTGTTGATACTTTTCTTACTTTTCTAAAGCTAGTATAAATCTAGTTTTTGTCTGTTTGGTTTAATTTTCTGTACAAAATGTGCGTAAAAATAGATTGTAAATGTTAATCAAGTAGTTCTTGTGAATGCAATAGAATTGAAATGGAAATTTTTGTTTATAGTCGAAAACAGAATGAAGTTCAACAAGTTAGTAACCTCTTCGAGGAGGAAAAATCGTAAAAGGCACTTTACTGCTCCTTCACACATTAGGAGAAGGCTAATGTCCGCACCATTGTCTAAAGAACTTAGACAGAAATATAATGTTCGGTCCATGCCCATTCGAAAGGACGACGAAGTTCAGGTAACATAACCTCACTTTCCATATTGTCGTTCATTTATTTTTCGTATTTTTCAATACTGTCGATGTTATTGATATTTAATTAGCTTGTTTTCTTTTTTGCAGGTAGTTCGCGGACACTACAAAGGTCAGCAAGTTGGCAAAGTAATCCAAGTTTATAGGAAAAAATTTGTCATTTACATTGAGAGGATTCAAAGAGAAAAAACCAATGGAGCCACCGCTTATGTTGGAATTGACCCCTCAAAGGTTCGCATCTGCAAAATTTTTATTTCTAATCTTTTTTATTTTTTTATTAGTCTTTCTTTTAATTTTCTTTGTTTAAACTATTTTAATTAATTTGAATGATGAACCAAACCATTCACAGAAATCGAGACAGATAATTTGATTTGCAGCGTCTTGTCAAGGTATTCTTGATTAAGATAAACTTATCAAATTTGGTCTCATTAATGAATTAAAATGGCACTGATTTTTTTTAATATTTCATTCAACATTTTGAAAATTAAAAAATTGTTTTATTTGGAATTAAAAAATATATTTATTTCCAGACTGTTATTGTCAAATTAAAAATGGACAAGGATCGCAAAAAGATTATCGACAGGAGAGGAAAGGGCCGTCTTGCTGCTTTGGGCAAAGACAAAGGAAAGTACACTGAAGAAACCGCTGCTGCTATGGAAACGTCGTAGGTTAAAGCACCATATTTTGTACTACAAAAATAAAGTGTTTTAAATATTTATTATTTTTGTTTACTCTTTCAAGAAAATCAAACCTAACAAAAAAGATTTTCAAATTTTAAAGCAGGAAAATTAATTTTACCATTATTGCTAAAAGAAAAGAAACTTGTTTTATATATATTTTTTTTAATTCATACACTCAGTATAAACTTTTTCTTAATCTACATAATAGACAAGTATTTGTAATACATTTATATATTTTATTTGAATATCTTATATCTAATTTTCTCGAAATGACTTTAAGGACAGAATAATTATATTTATTCTTAAACAAAAAAAAGGCTAAAAATCTGTGTAAAAAATAAAATGTAACTTGATGTTTTTAAGCACTGTCAAAAAATTTAACCAGAATTTTATCATTTATCTGGTTATATAAAATCAATCACAGCAAATCTCCGTCAGACTGTTTTTAAAAACGTTTTATAAACATAAAATAACCCTTACCTATAATAAACTTTCATTATTTATAATTGAAATCTTTGATTACAATATTTATATATATTTTTTTTAATTTGACATCTATAGCCACTTTTCTCTCTCTCTTTAAAAAAAAAAAAAGACTGTTATTTTTATCATGCGAATGTTTGAATAAAGTTTACCATATTATTAATATTAATGTAATTTTGCCACGTAGATTCTTTGAATGTATTGCTGATGTCTAATGACGTCTTTTTATAGTGGTTAATTTAAATGCTTTTAATTTCAATGCAAATGAAATTCTTCCCAAAAAAGGAAGAACTTATTTTTTAGCTGCTGCTAAAATTCGAAGAATATATAAAAATAGATTGATGATATCTAAATAAAGTTCAACGGTTACAAGGACGTATTCCTCTGGGGAGTGTTTGTGCATTAACATATGCGTATCGTAGATAATGTACAGGGAGAATATCATTGCTCCAGCGATGCATATTGTCATTTCTAAAATTGTATTTTGAGCAAAAATTTGAATGAAACCGCCTACTATCAGAACACATAATCCTGCGTACAATCTGTGGGAGAAGAAATTTATTTAGTTTTTTAAAGAAATTATGTAATTTAGAGAAAAAAACAAAAAAAAAACTTACCCTGCACCCATGGAAGAGAAATCTTTCTTTGATTGGAAGGTGTAGAGCGTCAGACTCAATACAACAAAGAATGTTATGAAAAATGCTTCAATTACCATCAAGGCATCGAATAAGGATACGACAATTCCTATGAGTAACGACTCCGAGAGTGTCTAGAATTAAAGAAAAAATAGTTTTTCAATTATGTTAAATAATTGAATAATTATTTATTAAATAATTTATTTAATTAATCAAAATATAAAATTAGCGAAGTCTAAAATAATAATTTACGTACAAACGCCGTTAGGAGAATCAAATTCGTTGGATGTTCTCTTCTTTTGAAATGAAGTGCGATTAAAATGATAAACGTCACGATACAAGTCGTAAAAACTACCCAGGAACTGAAATAAGTTTTTTGAATTATTTTCCTTCTTGACAATAATTTAAACAAACAAAAAATAACCTACTTTTCAAAAACATATTCTTTAACTGGGTCCCCGGAGAACATGAAAATTGCACCAACTCCCACGGTTATTAACAACTGTATAGAGAGAAGACCGTAGACTTTCTTTAAAAAACCTGCAAAACAAAATATTTTATTATTAAGAAAATAAAAAATTTATTCATAAAAACCCTTTTAATAATAAATAATTTCGCAGTCAATTATTAAAATATTTGTAATCTTATTGTAATGTAATAAACATAATTACCTAATCTAATACTCATGTTGGCAGAATGAACATTATTATTGTACGTAAAATCTCCCTCAATTCCATGATTTGAAAATTCGTGTTTATTTCCCCCCGCTTCGATGTCATCTTGAGATAATACTAAAGGGGTCGTCATTTTTATAATTCACGAAACCCTTGCAAAAAAAATATTAATTACACAAAAATTTAGTAGAACGTGTCAAAGAATAATATTTTTGATTACAAATCATATTGTAAGAATGTTGAAACAACATCAAGAAACGTGATATAGATATATTATATTTCACCTACTGATAAGAACTAATATGTTTCTACTATACAAAATTATTTTCTCAATATATCATAAGGTTTGTTCTCGCTAGCTACACTTTCTACACTTTGTACAAAAGTGTACACTACGGCGTTCTCGTTACCAGAAGTGACGCAATAGTGTACACCTAACTCCCTAGAAGCCCGTGCACTTTTCCCTATTTTACTACACCCGATTGCGAGCGAGTGGAGCGAGTGTAATTGAGTGTTCTGATTAAAATGTCGGTAAATGGACATTTTATTTAAAATGCATTAATTATTTTATGAACATAAAATTATAATATATTTCTTAGTGACTTTTAATTTGTAAAATTATTAGTAAGCAATTCTTATTTTGTTAATATTTATATAAAGTACCACATTATAAACAATTAACATTGGAAAGCAATTTTTAAATAATTATTTTCCCATTTATTAAAACCAAACTTTATTTACATAGAATTTAAAAAAAAATTTCTTAATTTTATGATGGTAAACATATTTTTTTAAAAATAATAGAATTTATGAAAAAAATTAAGTTTGAAAGATAACCTTTAGAATATTTCAAAGCATGTCGCTTCCGTCTTTCTTGAAACTTATGTGAAAATGAAGCTTAAAAATTATAGTTTTATTCTCTGTAAACATTATAATGAGCAAATCGGTTGAAATTAAGAAATTAAATAAATTTCACAAAGATGTCAGAGTTTAAACTGTGTAAAAATTTGAAAAAATAAAAAAAAATAAAATTTAATTAATATCTCAAATTTCCATGAATTGCCCATTATAAAGTTTACAGGGAATAATAGGAATAAATCCTATTATTTAAAAAAAAAATTTTGCCATCATAAAACTGATAAATTTTTCTCTTAAAATCACTAATAGTAAATAAATTTTGGCTTTAATAAATGAGAGAAATAATTATTTAAAAATTTGCTTCACAATGGCAATTGTTTATAAGGTGGTTTGTTTTAAATAAAATGACCCATATATTTATTTATAAAACCTAACTTACAATTAACATAGCGTTAATTTTTTTTTCATTTTTTCGTGCACTTTCTCTACACTTTTGCGTTCTCGCTAGATTCAATTCAATTCAATTCACTTTAACATTGGCTTGTGCTTGCTATTAAGGTACTCTCTCACCTCTACTGCCTGCCTGCCTGCGCAGGCAGGCGCAATGAGAGTAAGGGAGAAAAAACATTTAATTTGAATTTTCTGACTCTCTTACTCTTATGTGTTACCATGACGACCTGCAGGCAGGCAGGCAGGCAGTAGAGCTGTGCGAGCGCCTTTACAGCTTTGCGCGCATATGGCCATGACCAGGTTTTAAGGTGGGTTCACTAGTTATATGTTCGAACGTAGAGAAACGCGCGCAAATATGAATTATACACTGTTTGTAGATAATGTAAAAAAAAAAACTTTGAAGTTCACTATATAGTTTCAGTAATTGATGTAATTAAATTTGAAGTTTTGCTTGTTTTAGAAATCTGAATATGTGTGAAATAATCCGTAAAGAGGGGTTTGTTAAGAACTGAACACTTGAAAATGGTGGAGGGCACTTTAAGGCTCTTGAAAGTGCTTTCACTAAGTTCTTTCGGTAAGGTTCATATTTGGGACAAGCCCATAAAATATGATCCAAGTCTTCTTCAATCTCTGGTGAGCAGGAACACGCACCAGAAGAAATATAATTTTTCCTTGCTAAGCTGGCATTTGACGAGTAGTGGTTACTTCTCATACGACAAATGGAAACAATCCATTCTCTTCGGGCGGCGAGGTGAGCAAACCATGATTTGCGGCTAGGTCTGTAGTATTGTTGGGTATATAGGTTGCCTTTGAATCTTCCTATTTCCAAAAGATATAGTTCAAAACTGCGTTCCATGTCTTCGCGTACTGTTGCATAAAGATCAGATGGAGGAATTTGAAATTCCAAGGTGATATCATTATTTGCAGCTAATTTTGCCATTGAGTCTGCCTGTTCATTGCCTGTGATACCTGAATGCCCTGGTATCCAAACCAATGTCACTGAACGTCCCAAATTCTTAAGGACATTTAAGCGATTTCTGATGATAAAAATTAAGTTGGATTTGATTTTATATGGGACCTTAGGCATAAGAGCCTTGAGAACACTCAAAGAGTCTGTGAAAATTACGGTGTTGATGAAAGTAGAATTAGCCAGTGGGCACAGGGACGTCTAAAAGACGTCTTAAAGACGTCCCTTTTTGTCCGCGGACGATTCGGGGACAATGATGGCAATGTCTCTGAGTCATCAAAAGGACAACTAAAAGACGTCTAAAAGACGTTCTATGTCTGGTCCAAAAGACGTCCAAAAGACGTCTAAAAGACATAAAAAAGGACGTCTAAAGTACGTCTAAAAGACGTCTAAAAGACATAAAAGGGACGTCTAAAAGACGTCTTTAAGACGTCTTTTGGACGTCCTTTTTACATTTCTTCAGATCTTAAATAAACATTTCTTTTATAACATTTTCTAAGTTGAAATTCAGTAATATTGTATTAAATTTATTTTAAGTTTAATTTTATTTTTTCTAAAATGTGGAGAAATAATGAAAAAATCCCTACGAAGCTGGGATCGAACTCGGATACCTTGGGCTTGAAGTACTGCGCCTTAAGCACCTCAGCCGTTCAAGACAGATATGAACCTCTACAAAGTTAACGATCTCACTTGTCAATGAAATGCATTGGACTTAGAAAGGACCCCGCACCAAATACATTAGAAATTGCTCTCGGTGGATTTTGTCTAAACTTTGTAGTTTTGTAGTTCATAGTATTGTGAACAAAAAATCTTAATACCAAAATTCAAAAAAATGGACAGTTTTTTTGTTATAAACAATTGAAAATGTGAAATTCGCATTCAGCGAAAAAACGAAAAAGTAAAAGTAATCGAAAATTATTTTCAGTTTTCTTTATAGAAGTCGTGATGATTTATTTTTTTCAATTCATGAGTACAAATGCGAACTAATTGATCGGTTTTTGAAAATATTTACATAAAAATAGAATATTAAAAAATGCTATTTATTAATATAAAATATATTGACTGACAGTGTAAGTAAAAAAACGTGTTTCATACAATCTTTAAAACGAATAATAATCTATGAATAAACAGAGAAAGAAAAAACTCAAAATGAGTAACAAAAGTAATTAACTAGGACTTGCATTAAAAACAAATCTCGTAGATGGCGCCACGTTCTACGTCATTTCACATGGACTCATCCGATGTTGCAAAAAATGTACAAGATTTTTTTGAGCATGAAAGAAAGTGAATACAAAGTGTGTTTATTTTCTAAAATGCACAATTATTTAAACTAAAAAAAACAAACATAAATAATCAAAAGAGTATATTTTTTTAAATACGTGGAAAAATCAAACGCTTTTTCATGAACATTTCTCTAAACAAACTAAAATAAACAAAAATAATTAAAAGAGTATGTTTTTTAAATACGCGGGAAAAATCAAACGCTTTTTCATGGACATTTCTCTAAACAAACGAAAATAAACATAAATAATCAAAAAGGTATGCTTTTTTTAAATACGCGGGAAAAATCAAACGCTTATTCATGAACATTTCTCTAAATAAACTAAAATAAACATAAATAATCCCAAAAGTATAACTTTTTTAAATTCGCGGGAAAAATCAAACGCTGTTTCATGAACATTTCTCTGAACGAACGAAAATAAACATAAATAATCAAAAGATTGTCGACAACTCTCACATTTCCGCCAGCGTTCTCACAAATTCTACTCCAAAATGAAACGAATTCCTTGTCGCACTCCTCCTGATAGGGAATCACCAGGAAGGAAGAGTAAGGAGACCGAACTCTGTGTAGATAGCGCTTTGAAAATGTCTGAGAAATATGCACGAAAAGTGCCAGGCTCACTGCCAGGAAGGAAGAGTAAGGAGACCGAACTCTGTGTAGATGGCTGTTTACGGCAATTACTCGGAGTTACTCCTAGGAGTGATCAGTTGTTCTCAATATTGTAAAGTTTACAAATAAAGTGTACATTAAGTAAATAAAGTTACAATATTGAGCACCACTGATCACTCCTAGGAGTAACTCCGAGTAATTGCCGTAAACAGCCGATAGCGCTTTGAAAATGTCTGAGAAATATGCACGAAAAGTGCCAGGCTCACTGCGTTCTAGTTGACCACCAATTAAGTTGATCATGCGCATAAGCTGTGTGTCTCTGTTTCTCGTAAAAATTGTGCGAGTGAGATGTAAGATCTAATGTTTACATTTAGCCGGCCTTAGTGAGATACATACATATATATACAATACATTACGTTTTAATAATTATTTATTTATTTTATTTTAAAAATGTCGTGTTGTGTGCCAGGATGTAAAGAAAGAAAAAGAGTCTAAAAATATTAGTCTCTTCTATCCTTTTACGGAATGTAAATATGCTCTAGTTATAAACACAATTCTTCTTAACCTTCGCAAAATTTTTCCCTTTTCATAAATATATTATTAAATTATTTTGGAAATCTAAATAATATCATAATTGCAAATAAATAAATTTGCTTTTAAAATTAACACTGTTTAAACTATGTAATATTTACCTTGACATAACCACACTTTTCATCTGTCAACACTGAACTTTAGTTCAATGCGCACACTGTAAAAAAGACCAATGTTGAATTACAATCGGGTCGTTAATTTTAAATTTTCCAGTTTGTAATTTTACTACGGTACACGTAATAATTTAACACCCATATAGTATTTTCACAATTAAAAAGTAAAATTATTACGCTTATCGTTGTAAATGTGTCACGCGTTAGTAAATGTACATCCCGAATGTTTAATCATTTCGTGATACATTGGAAACTTTTCGCTTCACGTATAACGTTGTATGTTAGCAACCCAACCGTAAAAATATTTTCGTGTGTTAAGTAACTTACAGCTGATAGTTTTACCGACAGTATGTAGAATTACGTAGTTGTCTGCAAGTATACATTCGAATATGATATTTTTTGCCCGAATGTTTTTCTACACTGCGTGACGATGAAGTGGCATATAAGAAACTATGCGCATAGGCAAACGTTAATATTTTAATTTTAATTTATTAAAATTTCGACAATTTTAAGAATTTAAAGATTAAAGGAAATTTGTAAAGGTAAGTTCAAATTCTTAACATTTTTCATTTCTTAAATTTGAAAGATTTCTTTTTAATTTTTCATATATATCAAAGTTAATAAGGTAATGTCTTTTAACCTAAAAAGAGACACGTTTTTAATGATTTTTTATACTTAAAAAATTTTATTCAACTGTGTGAATTTTCTGTATGAAAATAATTTTCAAACATAAAAAAATTTTTCAGAATATCTTCATGGACTCTATTGCTTAAGCAGCTCGTATTTTTTTAAAATTAAAGTGGAAAAAGTATTTGTTTTTCCTGTTCTGTTGGGGAATTCGTTAACTTTGTACAAATGACAAAAAAGCTACAAATGTGATTTGTATATTATAAATATTTAATATATTTATTTATTTCTTACATTTTTCCTTTATTTCCTTTTTATAATTTAACCTTTATGTAATACAAAATAAATATAAAAAAAGAATAATTTTAAAATGCAGCGAAATTATTATGTAAAATTACCGACGAGTGGTCGATTTACAATTTGATGCGAAATCACATAAGAGAGGTTATGTTACGAACGGTAAGTAAGTTAACATTCGGGCTGTAATAGTACTACGTCATACGTGAAGCGAAAAGTTTCCAACGTTACACGTTGTAAATTTACATTGGGCTTTTTTACAGTGCATGATCAACTTAATTGGTGGTCGCCTAGAACACAATGAGCCTGGCACTTTTCGTGCATATTTCTCTGACATTTGTAGAAGCAGAGTTCGGTCTCCTTACTCTTCCTTCCTGGGAATCACTACAATTGTATGCATCAATGGTTTTTGATCTCGTCGATTGAACATTTCAACGTAACTTCTCCTATCTATACTCCAACCGGCTGGCAATTTTTCTTCCGAGGGATTCACAGGTTTGTTCTGAAAGTATTCGAATTATTTTTAAATTTTCGAAAATAAAATTGAAATTTAAAAATTATTTTTTAATTATTTTCAGTCTTCGTAATATTTTGAGGAAAGAACTTACATTTTGACACGATCGAATCACCCACATGTGATTGGAAGCAGAAATGCCAACGGAAAGGCAGAGCAAACTCTTTGCAGTTAAATTTGGCAAATTTGTAATGAGTTTAGTACTTTCATATTCACTAACTGGTATGAGATCAAAACTTTCGTAAACTTTACCACCGCCAGCGACAATTTGTTGCTCCAAACGCTCCCTAACAAATGGCCGACCATTCCAAACTTCCTCATTTTCAGTTCCAACTTCCGATGAATTTGAATCAGTTCCATTGTCGACATTGTATCTATCGATACTCTCCACGGAAGCGCAAGTCAATACAAAGGACATTCCATCGAAAATTTTTGAATTCGCCTCGGGAATTGGTCCAAGAAGATCAATAGTCTCTTGGTCGTCGCTCTTCTTTCGATTACGTTGCTTTCCCTTTATTCTACTCTGTGGGCCCTTTGTTGTTATTTGTTCATTAGCCGTACCAGGAATTTCCTTTTGAACTCCATGCACTCCATTTTCATCGATAATTGAACAATTCGAGTCACTTGTCTTTCCATCTTTATCGACATCTTTATCTTTTTCCGCCTCTTTCGATTTAGAAGCAACGCCCGAGACAAATGGCTCATCTTCAGTTGTTTTATTAATTAAGTTTGTCAATGATTTCTTTGATTTCGGTGTTGGTGCTGTTGATGTATTTCGTCGTGAACACCGTTTACCGTCCACCATATTGTCCAATGTCACCTGTAATTTCATTGCAATTCTTTAATTATTTTCTAAAAAATAAAATATAATATAATTTATTATTTTTCAAAAATTTTAAAATTAAACAACTTATTGTAAAACATGAAGAAATCGATCAATTTTTTCATGTTTTATAATAATTAAAAATAATCCATTATTATTTTATATTATAAGAATATCGTTACTGTAATTTCTTCAAAATTATTTTCAACATTCCAATTCAATTATTATTTTCTACAATTCTTAAATAAAATTCTTCTTCAAATCAATTATTTTAAATACTTTTTGAAAATGGTCTTTGAGAATGAATTTTCACATTAATTTGTTTACAATTCAATTTTACCAATTTTACGAAATTTCATCGATTATTCGGAAATTCTTCAATTAAATAAATATTAGAAAATAAAAACTTCAAATAATTAAAAAAACATCCAATTAAACTTTTTGAAAAAAATTAATTTTACAAAATTGTTAGTTAAATGAATGAGAAATTCAGATTTTAAAAAATTTCATTTTCAAAATTCAATTACAATATCTAAAAATTCACTCTATAATACTTTGGAAATTCAATTATTATTTAAAATTTTAAATGAAATTAATTTTTAAATCAATTCTTATTAAAAAAATCTATACGAGAATTCAATTATTTATTAAATAATTGAATTTTTCTCAAAATTGAATTCTCATAAGGAATTTTATCGAAAATTTTATAAATAATTGAATTTTTTCCAGGAATTTTAATAAAAATGTTAAGAATAATTTTATTTTTCGAGGAATTAGATTAAAATTGTAGGGGAGACTGGGGCGAAAAGTTAAATTTTGCATAAATGATTTTTTTTTGCAATATAAGCCGCTTAGATGCAAATATTTGTATATCAATATTGTAGGGCAACTTGTCCCCTACAACTTTCAATAAAAAAGTTCCTAATATTTTCGCAAAAAATACATGTTTTGTCCTTTTTTGAAAATTTTGTTTTTTTTTAACTTTTCGCCCCACCCTGGGGCGAAAAGTTAAATTCTATTTTTAGCCTACTAAAATTATTTTCTGATAGGTGATAAGTAGTAGATAAGTTAAAGTATACTTAAACAAGTAATTTAGTAAATAAAAGATCTTTGTTTATTTGACAAAAGCTTTAGAATAGTTGTAAAGTCAAATAAATTATTTTTAAACAAATAAACCCAAAAAAACGAAAAATAAAAAAAATTTTTTTAATAACATGTAAAAATACATTTAACTTTTCGCCCCAGGGTGCGTTTTTGGCTTTAACAACAAATATAAAAAATCTGACTAAAGATATTTAGCAAATTCCTTTTGGTATCTCTTCAGGGGACCCAAATAATGAAGTAAAAAAATCGCGGTGAGAATAAATGCAAAAAATATACTTAAAAGTTGATATTTTCTTTTTCGAAAAAATTTTCAAAAGTAGGTTGAAAAAAAAATTTCAATATCGACACCACAAAAATAAACAGAATTGCACATAACTCCGGACATTTATTTAGGGTGATAACACCCTTCTATAATTAAAATTGCAATGCTCTAACTATTTTTGTTCGAAAGATAATGAATTTTAACGGTTTTGGCAGTTTAACTTTTCGCCCCAGTCTCCCCTATTAAAAATAATTGAAATACAGTGAGTTCTCGCGAGTCGTTCAATTCTCGAAAATTTTCAAGATCATAAAACTCACGAGTCGTTCAACGCATAAGCCACGCCTCCAAGGCGATTTCAGGGATGTGTGAAACATATTTATCGCCCCGAAAGACACAATATTCAATGACTTTGGTCCGTTTAAATTACACAGCACTGAGCACCGGCGCGCGCATGCTAGAAATTGAACGACTCGTGAATCGGACACTGATCAGCTGTTGAACGACTGGCGAGTTTGAACGACTCGTGAGTTGAACGACTCGCGAGAACTCACTGTACTGCAATAAGTTTTATTGTTTCTGAAAATAATCGAAATTCATTTTTTAATCAATTCCTATTTGGAAAATTCTTCAAAAATTCAATTAATTAAATGCAAAAACAAATAATTTATAGAATAATCGATTATTTCTTAAAATTAAATACTTATAAATAATTTTATCAATATTTTTGAATACACTGAAAAAAATTAAAGGCAGAATGTACTTTTTACTAAGGTAATTTTTGCCTAAGTACAAAAGCAATACACGAAAAGCAATTGTTTCTTTTTAAAAAAGGCAATTTTTGCCTTAGTTAATAAAGTAACAAATTCTTGTCATTTATCAAGTAAATTGTTTACATATGTCAAATCGAATTTTATAATTAATTAAAATAATGGGTATTAAAGGAAGAAATTTATTACTGAATTGAAATCGAGAAAATTTTCTTATTTTCTTGAAATATTTAAAGGTACTAATTTCATTTGTTTAATAAAATTGTTAACGCATAAAACTAGACCAGTTTGGTTATAAAGATTGAAATTGATAAAGTAGTTCTATTATTTTCAATATTTAATTAAAGTAAAATATTATTTGTATCATAATAAAAAATTGTCTTTAAAAATAATTAAAATCGTGTGAAGAATTTTGTTATTTATGAAAATAATTGAATTATTGAGGAGAAATTAATAAAACAAAAATGTAAATAATTGAATTCATTTGGAATTTTTATAATTTATCAAAATAATTAAATGTTTGCGTACAATTTTATCAAAAATTTTTTTTTTTAAATAATTGATTTCTTTTGACAGGTTTTATTAAAATAGTAGACATTAAAAATTATTGAGGAAATTTTGACAAGAATTTTATTACAATATTTTTGAAAATAATTGAATTTTGTAGAAGATATTTATTATTTATAAAAATAATTTGAATTTTTACGATAATTTTTTTTAAATTTAAATTATTTAAATACAAAAATTAATAATTCATTGAATAATTGAATTTTTCTTGAAATTGAATTCTATTAAAGAATTTTATCAACAAATTTTTAAATGATTGAATTTTGGAGAAGAATTTCATTATTTATAATGCTTATTGAAATTTTTAGGATAATTTTTTTAAAACTTAAATTATTTAAATACAAAAATTAATAATTCATTGAATAATTGAATTTAAATTCTAATAAAGAATTTTATCAACAAATTTTTAAATAATTGAATTCTTTTCACGAGTTTTAATAAAATTTTCAAGAAAAATTACATTTTTCAAGGAATTTGATTAAAATTGGATTATAAATAATAGAAATTCTGCGATGAGTTTTATTATTTATGAAAATAATTGTTTGAGTAGAATTTTATTAAAAAAATTTTTTAAATAATAGAATTTTTTTGGAAAATTTTATTAAAATAGTTAGATATTCAAAATCATTGAACTGAGGAAAATTTTTGAAAATAATTGAAAGTTCGCTAAGAATTTTATTAAATGTTTTAAAAATTATTGAATTTCGTAGAAGGATTTTATTACTTTTGAAAATAATTGAATTTTTTACGAGAATTTTTATAGATTTTTGAACAGAATTGAATTTCTGCGAAGAATTTTATGAATTTTGAAAATAGTTAAATTCCTCCAATGAATTTAAATTTTCATCGAAACAATTATATTAATTTTCAAAAATTTTAATAAAAATCTTAGCAAGATTTCAATTATTTTCATAAATAACAACATTTCTCAAAGAATTTCAATTATTTTCAAAAATTCTAATAAAATTCTTTCTAAAAATTCAATTATCTTCATAAAAAGAAAAATTCTTTTCAAGATTTCAATTATTTTCTAAAATAATAAAATTATTCCGAAGATTTCAATTATTTTCATAAATATAGAAAAATTCTTTTGAAGATTTCAATTATTTTCTTAAATAATAAAATTCTACACAAGAATTCAATTATCTTCGTAAAAAATTTTTTTCTTTTATGATTTCAATTAATTTTATTTATAACAACATTTCTCAAAAGATTTTAATTATTTTCAAAAATTTTAATAAAATCCTTCCTAAAAAATAAAATTGTTTGGAAGATTTCAATTATTTTCAAAAATTTCAAACATATTCTTGTCAAGAAATCCTTTCGAAGTAAAATTAATAGCAAAAATTAAATTACTTTTTATAAATAATAAAATTCTACTGAGGAATTCAATTATTTTCAATACAATTTCAATAAACATAAAAAATCAAATATTTAATTATAACTTTTAACAGTCATGATTCTTTTAAAAAAGTTGAAAAATTCTTTGTTTAATTCAATTATTTTCAAAAGTTTGAATTAAAATTATTTTAAAAACTGCATTATTTAAAAGAAAAACACACAAAAAAATTCTTCATAAAAGAATTTAATTATTTACAAAAACTCTAATAAAATTGTTTAAAAGAGTTGAATTTTCTATAACAATAATTTTAATACATTTTTAATCGAAAGAATTTATTTTCTATATTTTAATAAAATTCCTTGAACGAATGAATTAAATTATTTTAGAAAATTATAACAAAATTCTGAAAAGAGTTTAATTATTTTCTAAAAATTTTAATAAAATTTAATAATTAAATATTTAATTTCAATTATTTATGAAATGCGATTATTTTAAAAACTTTAAAAAAAATTTAATACAATTTTTCACGTGATATAGATTATTTTCATAAATAATGAAATTCTGCGAAGAAATTCAATTATTCTTAAATTTTTTGCAAGAATTCAATAATTTTTAATAGATTAATTTTAAAATTGAAAATATTTGAAGAGAAAAATTGAGGAGCAAGTTCTCTAAAGTTGATAAATCCATTTTTCAAAAAAATTGAGATAAACTCATATTTAAAAAATATTAAAATTCTTAGAAATCGATTTGTTACTGTTTAAAATAAGAAAAAAATTTATTATCAAAGAATTTTCATTTTAAAAAATATTTTGGCCTAACCTTGATGATTTTTAATTTTTTAAATGAAAATTAATTTAAATTAAAAATTAATTACTAAACGATTATTAATATAGATTGAAAGAATAAATAATTTACCTGCGTAATCGAGTGAGGCGTTGATGGAAGACTCTTTTGTTCGCTCCACACTTCCTCCTTTAAAACTTGAGCTTGATCGGGCGTGAGGAAAATGTCTTTAATTTGAACAGTAATTTTTTTGCCCTCATCTGGCTCAATTACATAAGACACTTTATTATTTGTCTCGACAATATCAACAATCATTCCGCATGGTCCATAATCCCCATCCTTTGTCAATGTATAAACAGAGAGTCCATTGCCAAATGTCTCCGAAATTGGAATAATAAATTCAGCTATTAATTGTTTACTCTTACCATCGAGAAAATTAACTTTATACTTTGTCTTATTCGTATCCATCACATGTCCAGCGTAATAATTATTATCAGACCATTTGGCAAATACTTGTTTACCCAATAATTCATCAGGTTGATCGACGGCGAACGATGAATTTCTCAATCCTTCCAATGATTTTTTCACTGGAGTGGAAAAACCTGCTTTTGTCTTATTAACCTTAATTGCGAACGATTCATCACTGTCCTCAGTAATTGATTCAACAACATTTGGCGATGTTTTTGTAGTGGCGATAATTTTAGTCCTTTTTCTCGTTGTTCTCGTCTGCAGTCTCTTTGGTGGTCTTCCTTTTTTCAACGATCTCTGCGGTGTCTCTTCTGCTTCTGGTGTTGATGAACGAATTATAATAAAAATAATATATATATATATATATAATAATATTATATAATATAATATAATATATATAATAATAATAATAATATATAATATATATATATATATATATAATAATAATAATATATATAATAATAATAATAATAATATAATAATAATATATATATATATATATAATATATATATAATATTTATATATATGACAAACATGGCTGCCGAACCGCATTTTCACTGCGAACGAAAATACTGTTTTGCTTTTTTCCTTTTATAATCTTTATTTTTCATCGAATCGGTTTCATTTTTTTTGGAAAAACTTCCTGATTAATAAAGAAAAAACTTTCTCGCGAGAAGTTTTCATAATTCGAAAATTCGTCGCATACTTTTTCTCCTTGAAGATTAAAATTCCTGTTATTGTAAATAACAACTTTCAAAATTAATAACTAATGAACAATTTGTTTTTTTGGACTTTTTATTTGTTTGTAGGCTTCGGTAAGATATATTGTGCATGCCTTAAAAAAATCGGTTCATTTCATTAATATTTGACTGAGAAATGACAATATATTTATCAAAAGGTAATTAATTTTTAAGAGAAAAAATTTTTAGTTTTTATTTTTTAGTGTTAATAAATTGCATTTTAGAAAAAAATTGTAAATAGAAAAAAGATGTATTTTTTTCTCCTCTACAACGTCATAATTTTAAAATATTTTTTTTTTGAGTTTTAAAATTTCATAACATAGCTGAGGGTTGGACAATACTTCTGTGTAAGTTCGAGCGAAGAGCCGGTTCTTCGATCCAGCTCCTCAATTTGGCAATGTAAATATTACACAGAAAAGGAAATTAGGTCCTCTTTGAAAAAAACATTTGATAAAAAAAAATTTTTTTTTGAAAATTTGATCAATTTTTAAAAATATTTTTAGGTTCATCCGCCATTTTGAAAATTTAAAATTTTGACTTCAAATTCGTATTCAGCGACCTCAAAAACCCACTAGTAGCCAGATTCAAGCAAATTTGATCAATTTTTAAAAATATTATTTTTAGGTTCATCCGCCATATTGGATCCACCATTTTGAAATTTAAAAATTCGATTTTAGATTCTTATTCAGCAACCTTAAAAACTTCTTTTTACCAAGTTGAATGAAAATCTATTAAAATTTGTTCAAGTTATTCAAGTTTTTACATTACTAATTTTGTAATGGTTGATTGTTTATTTATATGATACATTATCAGTCAACTGGTTGATTTACTATACATCTACGAAGAATTTTTTTTCAGTTTTTCCATCCCTTAAAACAGTAGTATACTTGAAATAACTTGTTTCTTAAACCTCGCTTAACTACAGTGGTGTTTACATTTACCCCGAATTTTAGGAAAATTTCAAAATCTCGGGGTAAATGTAAACAGTCAGTTTTAGGCGATTCAGGTGCATAAATATTTATTTGTACCTCATAAAATTTTTCTAGGGAACACTAGCAACAAGTTCATGCAAAAGAAATCCGTCCGTTTTACATTTTAACAAAAAAAAACTAATGTTTTTGGTGAAACATAGATATTCCGTTTACATTTACCCCAATTGACCCTAATTGATTTCTTGAAAAGAATTTTATTAACTAAATCTTGTAAAAAATTTTGTCAACATTTTTTTTAAATAAGAGAATTTTTAAAAGAATTTTATTTAAATTCCTCGAAATAATTGAATTTCTCAGAACTATGTTTTTCAAAATTCTGAATATAGTTGAATTCTTTAGAGAAATTTCATTAAAAAATTAAAAATAATTGAATTTGTGCGATGAAAGTTATAAAAAAATTGGTAAGTAATTGAATTCATGTGGAATTTTTTATTAGAATTTTGTTTAAATAATTAAATTCTTTCGGAAAATTTTTTAAAATCGTAGTTTTTAAAAATAATTGAAATGAGGAAAATTTTTTAAAACAATTGAAATTTTGACAAGAATTTTATTAGATTCTTTTAAAATAACTGAATTTCAGAGAAGAATTTTATTATTTATAAAGATAAATTAATTCAAATTTTGACTAGAATTTAAATTTAAATTTTGACTAGAATTTTTTAAAAAAATTTTTGAACATAATTGAATTTATGCGAAGAAGTGTATAACTTTTGAAAATTATTGAATTTTTGAAATTAGTTGCTTTTCAAATTTCTATTTAAATTCATTAAAAAAAATGATATTTACTAAAATTTCAAATTGAAACCTGTCAAGTTTATCTATTTATGAAGAATGTAAACGCAACTCTTTTGAAATCCAATTAATTTTGAAATTTTTAAGTAAAATCATTCATTAAATAATTTCTAAGTAATAATTTTATTATAGTTCAAGAATTAAATTATTTAAAAAGAAATTATTGTCAGAAATAGAAAAAGTTGATGGCAAACAAACAAGACTCAAAAATTCAGAATTTTCTTAAAAATTCTAAAAATTTAATTTTTCCCAGTACTTTTAATAAAAATCCCTGACTTTTCCCTGATTTCTCTGACCAATTCTAATTTCCTTGACTTTTTCCTAAATTTCCTGACTTCCCTGACCTGTGGCTACCCTGTATTAGATTAATTTAAAAAACTGTTTAAAAAAATCACTTTTTAAAAATTATTTTCTAAATCTTTTTCTTACCATGTTTTTTAACACTAATCTCCCCAAGTAGTTTATAAAATTGATGATCTGATGTCTCGACCGTGGAAGTAGAAATTCGTTTTACAACTTGACTTTTAGTTAATTTCTTTTTCATCAGTTGACCAACCGAGCTGAAAGAATTTGTTTATTATAAAGTTTTGTAATTTTAATGTAATTTAATTAATAAATGAATTATTTTCATAATAATAATTCTTACTTCAACAATGTTCCTTCAAAAACGAGTTGACACTTATTGCCAACGAATGTAACGAGTGGTATCCAATTTGTAAAAATTTTCGGATTCTCCACAGAACCAAAAGTATCTTGAGATGAATTTTTACCAATTTCCCCAATTTTCTCTTCTTGATTCTGTCTAACTTGAGATTGTTTCAAAACATGTGGATTCTGTTCAATTGTTGGATTTTGAGGTTTTTTAAAATTATGAAAATTCACATTTTCCGTATTTGTAATTATTGGTTTTTGATTTTGTATTTCCTTACGTTGCGTAGAATCTGGATAGTCATTAATATCTCTTCGTTGAAAAATATTATCGTCGTCTATATTTTCCTTATTGACAATTGATTTTTTATTATCGTTATTTGTATTTGGCAATTTGAAGAAAAGGGGAATTTTACTGGAACTTTTATTATCATCAATAACGTGATTTTCTCTTAGTGGATCTGCTCTTCTTTCTTTTAAGAAATCATCGACTTTTGAATGATTTCCGGTGGTCGAATTTTTCGAATCTACTCGTACAATTCTCTCGTTATCTGTGGTATTTTTATGAAATTCATCCTCGAGAATACTAACACTTGAATCGTAGTGTAAATCATTTTTAGATTCTTTATTAGTGCTTCGTATTCTACTTTTTCCGTTAGTGTCAATTTTTCTCTGTCGTTTGTGATAGATTTTCGATTGTAATATTTTCTCCGATATTTTAGGCACACCGGCATATATTTCACTTTCGGAATCTGTTTCTTGGGTTTTTGTTTTAGCATTAAAATTTAAATTTAAATTCTTCTCGACATTGGAATTTAATGCATACTCTTTATTTTTATTTTTGCTCAAACCTTCAGTATCATTTTCTTGTACTATTTTATCGGTTGTAATTTGTCTCATCAATTTCTCATTAATATCGTTAGAACTATTTTTTGTGAGTTTTTCACTATTTGCCTCACATTCATCCAGTCGGGAAGTATAATCGTCATCTTGTCCTAAACAAGAAGCTGGAGTAAAATTTTCTGAATCTTTCGTGTGAAGATTGTCCATGAACTTTTTTAAGGTATTTTCATCTTGATCGCCAATTTTAACGGAAAGAATATTATTCAAATCTCTAATTGTTCTACTCACACATTGAACGTATTCCTTGGGACATTTTTCGTGCAGTAAATTTTGTGTTATGAATGTGAGTTTATTTTCGAAAATAATATCCTTTAAACTTATAGCGTAATTTAGTGCTGTGTATAATTTTCCCGAGCATGAAGTATCCATAGTCATATTTGTCTGATTTCGAGATTCGTGTAGACTTCTATTTTCTTTTTCGCTGAATTCTTCGGTAATTACTGTAAAATTATTTCCTATTGATTGATTTTTTCGGGCTTTATCGATAGTTTTTGTTGTTTCTCTTTCATGGGGAAAATCAGAACTGTAACCAAATGATCGGAATTTCTTTGCTGTTTTTTGCATATGAGTAATATCTGTTATTTCACTGTTTAGATCATCATCACTGTAATTGACGTCCATTGGCCAGCGAAAATTTTCACTGCATCCCTGAGCGACGTAGTTTTTCCATATTACATGAACATTTCGCCAATCGTCGAGAAATCCATTATAGAATTTCTGGTAAATATATTTTGGTAATTCTGAAAAAGAAAAGAAAATCAGATATTTAAAATCGTTTTTATCTTTTGTTTTGAAAGAATCTATATTTTCTATATCGCTGTATTCCGGCAATCTGTTCGCAGTTTGAAGTTAGTTGCTGTTTGCTCTTTTGTTTCCCAACTTTTCAAATAATTTTCCTTTTTAAGGGCATTTGAACCTTGATGACGTCACACATGCTTTGCACAATCTGTAACGTCATCAAGGTTCAAATGCCCTTAAATGTTTTCAATTTTAAAATTAATGTACTGAAAATCATTGAATTCTCGCAAAGAAATTTATCAAAAAATTTAATAATAATAGAATTCCATCGACGAATTTTATTAACATTTTTTTCAATAATTAAATTCTTTCGAGAAAATGTATAATTACAATTGTATTGAAAATAATTTAATTCTTCGCAAGATTTTTCTTAAAATTCTTTATAATAATTGAATTGTTTTTAAAAATTTATATGAGTATTTTTGAAAATAGTGAATTTTTTTAAAAATAATTTTTAATTAAAATTTTCAAAGTAATTGAATTTTATGAAGTATTCAAGTATTTTCAAAATTTTCATTAAAATTCTTTGCAAAAAGTCAATTTATAAATAATAAAAATCTTCGTGAAAAAATTAAATTATTTTTATATGAATAATAAAAATTGAAAATAAGGATTTCACTTATTTTCAATACAATTTTAATTGATTTCTTCGAAAATTTCAATTACTTTTCAAAATCTTGTAAAAATTCTCCGAGAAAACTCAATTATTTCAAAATATAATTTAATTTTTTACAGGAGTTCAATTATTAAAAAAAAAAATTTAAGAAAATTCAATTCAAGTATTCAAATATTTTCATAAATAATGAAATTTTCGCTGAAATTCAATTATTTTAAATACAATTTTAATTGAATTCCAGGGATAAATAAATTATTTTTAAACATTTTTTTTTAAATTTTTCGAAAGAATTCAATAATATCAATAAATAGTAAATTTTTCACAGAAATTCAATTATTTTAAATACAATTTTAATAAAATTCTTCTCAAAAAGCCACTTATTTTTTTTTTTTTACTTTTGCAAAAATTCATAGAACATTAAATTCTTTTAAATAATTTTATGAGAGTTTCTCTGAATAATTACATTTTTTTAAAAAGAATTTCATTAAATTTCGTAAAAAATCTGTCCGCGCAAGCGCGGACACATTCTCATCCGCGCTTCGCGCGGGGGCTCGCTTCGCTCGCAAGTTTCAGCGCGCCTCGGGGCGCGCAAATATTGATCGTCGCGCTTCGCTCGCGGTGGTCTGCCATTGTTGTACATTATTTGTTTTCTTCTTTCCTATTGTATGTTTCATAAAACATTTTTTTTTTCTTAAAGTTACTACGACTTTAAGGATTACATTCTCATCACATGTTTTTGTTTGCTGATGATTGCGATATTAAGTGAATTTAAATGTATATTTTTGGTCTTGATGATTAAAATTGTGAAGTTATTTTTAATTATACAAACTCTCTTAGTAAAAACATGATTTGCAGAAGCAGCTAAAATATTTTTAAAGAATTAGTATCAAATTTTTTTTGTAGTGTAGACCGGAGCGTAATGGCTAACTTTTTACTCTTTGTTGATATACTCAAACATTTTTGTTTTAATTAAGTGTTTATCTCCTAGAAAAGTTACTCTGGAATCTTAGCTTTCTTTCAAAAAAACGAACTTTCCTATATTACTCTTACATTTTTTTCTACAATGTCGTCGGTATCGTAGGTAACAAAAATAGTCAAAGTTTTTGTCAACGGACAGACAATCACCGTAACCATGTTACATCACCGGACCATGTTCAGGGTGTCTGCAAAATTTCATTTTCAAAATTCCCTGATTTTTCCCTAACTAATTTTTGATTTTCCCTGACTAACAAATTTTTGAATTATTTAATATTGTACATTGAAATGTCCATAAGAAGGTTCAAACTTATAAAAAATGTGATGGGACCATTATAATGAGCTATATTACAAAAACGTCTAAATTAAAAACTGAATTGACATTTTAAGTACCAAAGTTTTTTAATTTGTGGTTTTTTTCGATCAAAATTCTCTGACTTTTAAAATTTTGTTTAAAATTTCCTGATTTTTCCCTGATTTATCCTTGACTAACAAAATTCCTTGACTTTTCCCTGATTTCCAGTTTTTCCCTGACTTGCGGCCACCCTAATGATTTTGGAATCAGGGCACATCAAAAGGCAAAGATTTCATAAAATTAGCAAAAGTCGATTTTCCACCAAATCTAATACCTTCTCATGTGATGAGAATGTAAAAATTATTAAAAACAAAAAATATATTCGAATAATGCAATTCAAGACGAAAAAATCATATTTCAAATTTTATATCGATTAACTAGAACTCAAGAAAAAATTTGTTTAATTTAGAAATATAAAAAAATTAAATTTTTAATAACTTTAAAAAAAAAATTTTCTAAGCAATATGTAAAGCAATACTTCTAAATAATGTTGAGAGTCAAAAAAAAAATTTTTTGATTTTATTAGTTCTAGATAAACCGTTTGGCTAAACCTGGCCCAAAAACTTAAAAAATATACCTGGCCCAAGAACTTAAAAAAAAAAAAAAAAAAATTCATAACTTTTTTGTTTTTTGTTGAACAAAAAAGTGTCTAAAGGAAAAGTTGTTTGTTTTTGTACAAATTTTAAGGAAAAAAATTGAAAAATTTTTTTTTTTTGCAAGTCGATTCGTTAAAATTTATTCGAGTTATCGTCGAGACAAAATTTTCTACAGACAGACAGACAGACAGACAGACAGACAGATCGACAGACAGACACTTCTCTAAAAACCATTTTTTTGGAATCAGGGGGTCATGAAACGTGAAGATTTATCAAAATTAGAAATTTCTCAAAATCGCACAAATCCAAGACTTTCTCATTTTTGATGAGAATGTAATAATTTTTTAAAGTAATTTTAATTGAAAGTTTTGAAAATAATTGAAATTTACAAAAAAATTGTATTAAAAACTTTTGAGAACAATTGAATTGCTTACAAAAATTGTATTACAATTTTTTAAAAATAATTGTACCTGTTAGAGAAAGTTAATTAAAATGATTTTGAATACAATTGAATTTTTTCCTAGAAATTTTATTAAAATTGTATTGAAAATAATTGAATTTCTCAGAAGAATTTTATTATTTACAAAAATAATTGAATTCCTTTATAGAATTTTATTATTTATGAAAATATTTTAATTCTTGCAAAGAATTTTCTTATATATGAAAATAATTAAATTCTTGCGGAGGATTTTACAATTCATAAAAACAATTGAATTGTTTCAAAGAATTTTTTGAAAATAATTTAATTTTTTAAAAGAATTTTATTAAAAATTTTGAAAATAATGATTTGTTTAAAAGAATTTCATCAAGATTGTTAAAAATAATTGAATTTATATTAAAATTGTATTAAAAATAATTGAATTTCTCAGAAGAATTTTATTAATCACAAAAATAATTGAATTCGTGACAAAAATTTTGCAATTCGCAAAAAAATTATTGAATTGTTTCGAAGAATTTTATCAGAATTGTTGAAAATAATTGAATTTAAATTATATTTTTTAAAATAATTGAATTATTTCGAAGAATTTTATCTGAATTTTTTAAAACAATTGAATTTTTTGAAGGAATTTTATTCAAAATTTTAAAAATAATGATTTTTTCAAAATAATTTCATCAAAATTGTTGAAAATATTTGAATTTATTTAAAAATTCTTAAAAAATAATCAAATTTAATCACAAAAATAATTGAATTCTTGCAAAAAATTTTGTAATTCATAAAAATAATTGAATTGTTACGAAGAATTTTATCAGAATTGTTGAAAATAATTGAAATTTTATTAAAATTGTATTGAAAATAATTGAATTCCTCCGAAACATTTTATTAATAATTAAAATAATTGAATTCTTGCAAAGATTTTACATTTTATAAAAATAATTGAATTATTTTGAAGAATTTTATCTGAAATTTTGAGAACAATTGATATTTTAAAGAAATTTTATTAAAAATTTTGAAAATAATGATTTTTTTAAAAAGAATTTCATCAAAATTGTTGAAAATAATGGAATTTATTTAAAAATTCTTGAGAATAATTGAATGTACTTAAAACGTTTTTAAAAATAATTGTATTCTTTCGAAAAATTTTATTAAAATTGTATCATTTTCTCATTAAGGGGACATTCCAGTTCAAAACAGGCAAAAAGAAGGCTTTTTTAGTGTATATTATTAAAATAACTATGACATTTATTTAAAAAATATCTTTTACATGTAATAAATAATTTATTTAAGAATTTGTAAAAAAAAAAATTTTTCATTTTTATTTCAAAATGGCGGCGATATACGCCATTTTCGAAAATGCCCATTTTCGGTGGTACGATCGATTCCAAACTTTCTAAAACAGATAAAACCAAAAACGAAGTCGCACATTCTCTTCGTTAGATATTTCTTTAGGGGTGGAACCTCAAAAAAGTGGAATTTTCTTCCCCCCCTTTTTTTAGAGTACTTTTTCCCCAAAATATTAAAAAAAAAAGTGTTTTTATTCAGAATTTCTCTTATAAAAAAAAGGGGGGGAAGAAAATTCCACTTTTTTGAGGTTCCACCCCTAAATAAATATCTAACGAAGAGAATGTCACTTCGTGTTTGGTTTTATCTGTTTTAGAAAGTTTGGAATCGATCGTACCACCGAAAATGGGCATTTTCGAAAATGGCGTATATCGCCGCCATTTTGAAATAAAAATGAAAATTTTTTTTTTTACAAATTCTTAAATAAATTATTTATTACATGTAAAAGAAATTTTTTAAATAAATGTCATAGTTATTTTAATAATATACAATAAAAAAGCCTTCTTTTTGCCTGTTTTGAACTGGAATGTCCCCTTAACTAAAATAATCTGATAATTCTCTCTGTCATTCAAATTTCGTTTGACTGATCAAAATTAAGCAAATTTGTCTCCTTTTTATTTATAAAAAAAATATTAGAAAATTGTTATTTGTTCAAAAATTACGATAATTTCAAATTCTATAAAGAAAATACAAAAAATTACCATTCTTTTCATCGATTATATTCCCATTAAGATAGTACGTGTGCTGATATTTCGATTTCAATTTTGTCGGTGACAGCATTTCTGCAACTGGTTTACTGCGAGCCCATATTTCACTGAAAATAATAAATGATATTATTTCATCTAAATTACTTTCATTGCAATTCACTGACCACAATTAAAAATTTTAAATCACTCACTTGTTCAGTAATCCTTTAATCAATAATTCTCCCCGATCATTGAGAAAAACTCTCCATCGATAAAAATGTCGATCGCTGTTTTTCTCCTTTTGTGAATCAGAAGGACCACCGACGTGATCTTCTGAAAAATCTTCACTCGAATTTAAATCAAAGTGCGTTGTTTGTTTTTCTTCAGAAAAATGATTGTTATCATGCGTCGATTGACGGGAGAATTTACTTCGTTCCTGTGGAGGATCCGCGGAAGCAGTTCTCTTGAGAGGTGTTCGAATTCCATAAGAACTTGGAGGTGGCATAATTTCTTTATCATTTGAATTTTTTTCATTTACACAAAATCTCTTGACACTTGACGTTGCCATTGGTGAATAACACGATCGTTTATGAATGAGATTTTTTAAATTTCGTGAAGATGTGATAATTTCTCTGCCAGTCTTTGAGAATTGTGAAGCTAATGTATAATTCGCATCTGACGGATCACCATTTATACTAGAACAACTCGACCATGGAATTAATTGTGATTTTGCATTTGTTATTAAACGAGTTACTTTCAAACTTTTCGCTAGATTCTGATAGCGTTCTTCCTTTTTTAAATCACTAAAATCAGTCTAAGAGAGAAAAATAATTTTAATTTTCTGTTAATAAATAAATTAAGTGCTAAGAATAATAAAATACTACATAAATGAATGTGAATAGTACATTAAATATAAATGAATTTAAGAAAAAAAACAGAAATGTAAAGCGACGCTGACATTGTCAGGAACTGTCAAAGCATTCACTCTGTAACTATAGTGAATTAATAATAATAATTTAATGTCGAATTCACAGATATTCTACTATGGATAATATACAAACTTAATCTGTTTGATCCATTGATATCCATTAATATTGATAAATATTTTCACCGCGTCATTTTCTGTGTAACAACCATGAAGTAGTATAAGGAGACCCAACGCCAATAGTTATAGTGGCAAAAATCAGCATCATTTTGGGGGATCATAGTTACTATGAGAAAATATAAGGGTACAGTCACACGATCAATGCATCTGCATGATGCATGTGTGACGGCGGGGTGCTACCCTTCAATTCATTCAAACTCTTTTGTCATTTTTTTTTGTTTTGGTATTCAACCAATCAGAATTCAGATATGTTTCAAATCTTTGTGAGTAACTTCACTCTAAACTTTGTTCACTTTGTTAAAACTGTAGGTATTTGTAAAAGACAATGACTTTTAACCTAAAACGATTATAATTTATAATTATTCTTTTTAGAATGTTAATCATAAAATTTTTACAGTACTTTTTACTTTTTATTCCAATCAGTGTCAATGGTACCAACTATATCAATATGGAAAAAAGAAATATTGACAGAAAATAACTACCATAACTACTAATGTCAAATTAAAACGAGAAAAATTATTAGCAAAAAGGTAAAACTTTATTGAAATTTCTATTCTTTTCTAAAAGTAAGAAATTGTTTATTAATCAATTACTAATTTTCCTAATTTCAGTACAGAGAATAATTATTTTACAATATCGTAATATCCGGTTCCGGTTTTTCGCGTCCTGTCATTGGTCGAAATGCGTATTTTTAAATTTTATAACACTTTTCCCGCCGTTTTTCAACAAATCAAATCATTTGTCATTGCGCCTGTGCAAAAAAAACCTTTGTTCCTCGTTTTCGTTTCCGATCTGTTCCCTTTTCCGTCTTTTCCTTTCTGTCTTGGGGCTGTGTAGAACTACTGCCTACCAAACGACGCCATGAATCAACGCTTTCTTTGTTTAATCGGTTTTATCGAATTGTACAATAAAGTTATCATGGAAATTTTATAAAATACGAACATTTTATTCAGTATGGATAACGTTGTAACGGCAGAATGCCTTACGCTAGACTTTGGTCCATTTGCAACTGTTCATTCATGGGAGCGAATGCCGGATTGCGCCGAATTTGTTGGGGCGAGGTAATTTTACTATTTATTTTCCTTCTTCTATTTTTATCAACAAAAAACTGTCTACTTGGTAAAAATAATTTAAAATGAAGTATTTTTGAGGTTAAAATGAAATTGCTTTTTCAGGCGTAGCAAGCATACTGTTGTGGCTTATAAGGATGCGATTTATGTTTTTGGCGGTGACGATGGTAAACGAATGCTAAATGACTTGCTTCGTTTTGACGTTAAAGAGAAATCTTGGGTCAAAGCTCTCGCAAATGGACAGGAGATCTCTCCGCGTTACCATCATTCTGCAGTGGTGCACGACTCGTCCATGTTCGTTTTTGGAGGCTACACCGGCGACATTCATTCGAATTCTAATCTCACGAATAAAAATGATTTGTTTGAATATAAATTTCAAACTTGCCAGTGGACCGAGTGGAAGTTTATCGGAAAGTAAGGTTGTTTAAAAGTACAATAAATTTGTAATTACAATTCTTTGCAAATTGTAAAGAAGTTAATTAATATTTTGTTGAAAAATAGAACTCCAGTTGCACGATCTGCTCACGGTGCTGCTGTTTACGACAATAAGTTGTGGATATTTGCCGGTTATGATGGAAATGCTCGCCTTAATGATATGTGGACAATTTCATTATTGGTAAGTATTTTAAAATAATATAGATGTTTAAAAATATAATATAAATATTTAGATATATAGAAATATATGTAAATATTTGCCTAAGCGAAAAGAAAGGAAACAAATTTTGATAATTGTTTTTAGCCCGGAGATCATAAAGTTTGGGAGGAAGTGGTCCAGTCGGGAGATTGTCCACCGACTTGTTGCAATTTTCCAGTCGCAGTTGCTCGTGAATCGATGTTCGTCTTCAGCGGTCAAAGTGGCGCGAAAATTACCAACAGTTTGTTCCAGTTTCATTTCCGAGAGAAAAGATGGACACGAATTTCCGCTGAGCATATCCTGAGAGGTGCCCCACCTCCACCTGCACGTCGCTACGGTCACACGATGGTAACTTTTGATCGGCATCTTTACGTATTTGGAGGAACTGCCGATTCGACTTTACCCAACGATCTGCATTGCTATGATCTCGATACACAGACGTGGAGTATTGTGTCACCGTCGTCTGACAGTCAGGTAAGATTTAGAAAAGAAGTTACTTCAAGTAGTAAGATACTGAAAAGTATCTAAACTAAAAAATATTTTTCTTTCCGAAAAATATTTTTTATTTTTCTGATTATATTTTTGTTTGCAGATACCATCGGGTCGATTGTTTCACGCAGCGGCTGTGATTGGCGAGGCGATGTTTATTTTCGGCGGTACAGTCGACAATAACGTTCGATCTGGTGAAACCTATCGATTTCAGTTTTCTTCGTATCCAAAGTGCACTTTACATGACGATTTCGGAAGGTTATTGAACAATCGTCTCTTCTGCGATGTTGAATTCAATGTCGGTGAATGTGAAACAAAAATTCCTGCACATATTGCAATCGTAGCGGCGAGATCACAGTCGCTTCGGAATCTAATTAGACAGGCGCGAGAATGTCAGGAAAAAGAGGATACGATTGAGAACACCAAAGTAGCCGTGAAGGATTCTCTCCTAAAGGTACTTAATCAGAAATATTTTTGATTTGACAGAAATATTTTGATTTTTTGAATTTGACAAATATTTTATTTCTATGTTTAAAAATAATTTTCTATATTTCTAGGTGAAGTTAACGGACGCAGTGCCCGAGGCTTTCGAAATGGTATTGAATTACATCTACACGGATCGTATCGATCCGACTAAACGCATAGAGGATCCATTGAGTAATCGAATTGTATTGCTCATGATGGACGTCTACAGGCTCGCTGTTCAATTCAATATGAAACGTTTGGAACAACTTTGCGTCCATTATCTCGAAGCAACTATAAGTTACGCCAATGTTTTGGAAGCACTACACAATGCGGCCCATTTGAAGCTCTACTTTATTAAAGAATTCTGTCTCAGTTTCGTGGTAAAGGAGAGCAATTACAATCAAATAGTAATGAGCCAGGAATTCGAGACATTGGATAAACCCCTGATGGTTGAGATAATCAGACGTCGACAAATGCCACAAGCGAGAACTTTTACGAAAAACTATGAATTGGGAACAGGCACAACACTAGAGCAAGACATGGAGGCATTTCTAAAAACCGTGGGACGTGAATTTTGTGATATTACCCTGATCTTGGACGGTGTACCAATTCCAGCTCATAAAGCAGTACTCGCTGCGAGGTGCGGCTACTTCGAAGGCATGTTCCGATCATTTATGCCTGAAAATAACACAGTTAACGTGAGTAAAAAATAAAACCTAGAATTCTTTTTCACTAGAAATGTATTTTTCGAAACTAACGATTTTGTTTATCTAGATTCAAATTGGAGAAATGATTCCATCGCCTGAATCTTTCGACTCTCTGCTGAGGTACATTTACTACGCGGACGTTGCAATGCCACCTGAAGACTCGCTCTATCTCTTCACGGCTCCGGTTTTTTACGGTTTCACAAATAATCGTCTGCAGGCGTTTTGTAAGCAGAATTTGGAAATGAACGTCACGTTTGAAAATGTTATACAAATTCTAGAAGCAGCTGACAGAATGCAGGCCGTGGACATGAAGAAGTATGCACTAAATCTCATTGTACACAATTTCAGCAAGGTACGTTCAAAATTCCAATGCTTAATTAACCAAATTCTTCTCATTTTTTAAATACAAAAAAATTCGCAATTGATTTTACGAAAGACGGAACTTCTTCTAAATAAAAGTATTTTTTTACAAAAGGTTGCACGTCTGCCGAGATTGAAACAATTAAATAGAGATTTGTTGCTGGATATAATAGAAGCACTTGCTGACGAACAAAGTGAGGCTCGAACTTGTCAGGATATGACTAGTGATTGCTGACAAATCCTAACCATTATTGATGGTAGATAAAAAAGTCCAGTATGAATTGATCGGGAATATTTCAAGTAAGTAAATTTAATAATTATTATGAAAGTTATGGAAATTTATTTTTTTTAATTTTCAATAATATTTTTCGAAAAAATTTAATTTAAAATCTTATAAAATTCTACCGCAAGAATTCAATTATTTTCACAAGCAATCATATTTTTCATATGAAAATTCAATTATTTATGAAGATTTAAAAAAAAATTTAGGCAAGAATAGAATTATTTTCACATAAATAATAAAATCCTTCTCAAGAATTCAATTATAAAAATTTTAATAAAAATTCTTCACAAGAATTTAAATTACTTTCCTAAATTAAATAAAATTCTTCGCAAAAATTAAATTATTTTCATAAATAATGAAATTCTCAGAAATTCAATTATTTTTCTAAATAATAAAATTTTTCACGAGAATTCAATTATTTAAAAAGAATATGATTCTTAGAAATATGTTTTATATATTATGAATGTTTTGTAAAAAAAAAAAATTACTGAATTTGTTGCAGAAGGCTCTATCACTAACAACTCGATGAAATATTCTTCCTCCAAAGCTGCGAGAAGTATTTCCTACGTCATTCTACTAGTCCTGGAGAATCCTTTCAGAGGTTGGTTAATAGTACTCTTTACATGTTTTCTGGTTGGCATCCAGAATTCGAGAAAAGTACACAAACATCTAATTTACGACATGATGTCGTTTTTTGCTTTATTTGTCATTTCAATCGAGAGTTTCGGTCGAAATTGAAGTGCAAAACTTTTATTGACAAAAAATGAAGTTATCCGAATAATAAGAAATCTTTTTTCAATTTATATCATGATTATATTTTCACTTTAATTAATTTACTTTCATAACTAATTGTTTTCATCTTGATTCTTTACAAGAATCAAATGCCAAATTATCTGGCACCTTCACTATTCATTTATTCTGTAATTATTTTAAATATTTACAGAAAATTTCATAAATTCACATTGAAAAATTCATTTATTTAAAGAGTTTTTCGTGTGTTTTTTCGAACTTATCCCAATGGAATTTTGAACATATTTTCTATTGCTTTCAGAATTGAGAGTGTTACGTCGTATAAGGCGAATCCGTTTATTTTCATTTTTTGATATCATAAAATCATGCATTCCTAAATTCACTCAAATTAAGAGAATGAATCATAAACTCCTTTTATTCAACAATAAATCAAACTCAATAATCCTGGAGTGAATATATTCATGTAAATTGTCTGTATGTTCATCATCGATTTTTTTGAAAGGAAACTTTCATTCAACAATAAATCAAACTCAATAATCCTGGAGTGAATGTATTCATGTAAATTGTTAGTATGTTCATCGTCGACTTTTTTGAAAACGATATTTTGAAAGGAGGTATACTTCTTTCCGTCTGTGCTTAGAGAAATCGTTCCAATAAGTAATGTCTTTTAGCATAACAAAATTTTGTATAAACAAAATACTTTTAAACTAAAAGATTCATATATTTTTTTATTTATATAAAATCGTTTTATGAATGGAATGGAAAGAAAATTGTTCACAAGGAGAAATGAAATAAAGAGATTTAATGTTAAATAATAACAGTAATTATTGTTTATTTATTGCAACCTATATAAAATTGAAGTTCTCATTACAATATTGTAAAATCTAAACAGTTGTTTTGAAGTATTAAACAGACCTTTTTTAAAAAATGACTTAAAGTTTATAATTGTGTGTAAAAATTAACTAGTTAAAAGAACGAGTCTTTCTTTTATCTGAAACATTGACAATAAAAATTCTTTTTTTTCTTTGTAAATAAATATTCATCGCAAATACCGACTCGTAACTGCCTGCTCAACAGGAAATACGATACCAAAAAAACACCATCGAAATTCAGTCGTCATAATAGTCAGGCTTTCAATCACAAAATGTTACATCAAGTAACATAATAAATGAGATAAATATCTTTGTTTAAAATTTCGGCCAAGGATAAATTGCAGGTATCGATGATGTGTAACTGGTGTCATACAATTGTGCCTTGATAAATTCTTCGTAATCTTTTGGTTCAGGATGTACAGATGCTAAAGCTGCAATTATTTATTATTATTAGAAAATCTTTACCTACTCTATTAATTACTATTATTATTTTATTTGTTTATATTTATTATCATTTTTTTCGATTTTGAATTCTCGAAACTAAAAAGCAAGTTCAGAGTAAATAAAAAAAAAATTATTTATAAATACTAATAAGGAATTAAATATTAGATAATATAATTTTAGTGACTTACATTTTCGATACGCGTATTCCATCAAATTAACCGCAATTCTAAGAGAGCATTTTTTAATATCGTCTAGAGGAGGATAGACATTGCCACTTTCCAGATCTTTGTCTGTAACTAATTCTGCGAGACTACATGCAGAATTCAAGAAAGTTTCCTCAGGAATTGTCTTCATACCGGCGCAAATTACAGCAAGAGCTATTCCAGGGAAAATGTAACTGTTGTTTCCCTGTCCGGGGTGATACGTTTTGCCATTGTATTCTACTGGTGGGAAAGGAGAGCCACTGGCGAAAATACATCTTCCCTGAAATTTAATAGTTCAATTTACAATCAAGTTTTTACTTAACGATAGAATTTAAATATTTATAAAAATAATTTAATTCTAGCAAAGAATTTTATAAAAAATTTTTAATAATTGATTTCTTTCGACTAATTTTATACAAAATCTAATTTAAATAATTGAATTCCTGAGAAATTCAATTCATTTTTATTATTCATGAAAAGAATTGAATTCTTACGAAGATTTTTACAAAAAAATTTTTTAAATAATTGAATTCTGTTTGGGAATTTTATGAAAATAGTATAAATATTGAAAATCATTGAATTGCGAAAAGTTTTTAAAAATAATTAAATTTTACAAAGAATTCTATTAAAATTTTTGACAATAATTGAACGTCTGTGTTTTAAATTGAATTCTTTTGCGAAATTTTATGAAAATACTGTAAAATTGTGAACAAACCTGAGTGTGTTTGTAGGCATCCTCGGCAGTACACTCTGCTTTACTGGTGGGATTGCTGAGAGCGAAAATAACAGGTCTATCATTATTGTTCCCCATTGTTTTTAGAATTTCTTCGGTAAATGCACCGCCAATTGCTGCGGCGCCAATCAAAACGGTTGGCTTTGCAACATTCACAACTTCAGCCAGAGTTGAGATTGGTTCATTGTCACGGGCAAATTTCAATTTATGTACAGTGAGACCTCCACTCGGACGATCTTTTACAATAAGACCTTTCGAATCCACCATCCAGATTTTATTCTTCGCTTCATCTTCGCTCACTCCTTCGCCCTTCATCGCCATTACACAAAGACTGGCAATTCCCAAGGCGGCCTGAAATTTTTTCATTACAACTTTATTCTTTATTATTATATTAGAATTAGAATTAGAATTAGAATTTATTTATTTTGTCCCAGGAAATCATGAGGACTTATTTGCATTTGTAATTATTATTTTTTTTTTGACAATTCTTTACCTCTCCTGCGCCTTGAAAGACAATTGTATTTTCCGACAATTTCGTCCCGGTTATTCTTAGAGACGCGATAAGTCCGGCCACAGCGACGGCAGCAGTTCCTTGAATATCGTCGTTAAAAGTACAATAGTGATCACGATATTTGATTAATAATCTAAAGGCATTTGAATTTCCAAAGTCTTCGAATTGAATTAATGTATTTTGACCGTAACGCTTCACAACTGCTTTCATGAATTCGTCAATAAATTCGTCATACTCTTCACCAGTAATACGCTTGTGTCTGTGACCGATGTAAAGTTCATCATCGAGTAATGACTGAAGTAAAAAAACAAAATATTAATTTCCATCAAAATAATATTTAATAGACAATAATAAATATTTATTATTATGAATTAATATTTATTATTATGAATAAATATTTATTAATTCTACCTGAGTATTTGTTCCCACATCTAACGTGACAGGTAAACATTGATGAGGTTTAATTCCAGCTAAAGCAGTGTAAAGCGATAATTTCCCAATGGGAATTCCCATTCCATGGGCGCCCAAATCGCCAAGGCCGAGAATTCGTTCGCCATCGGTAACAACAACCGCCCTGACGTCGTGTTCTGGCCAATTTTTCAACACATCGTACACGTGTCCCTTGTCGTGGATACTGATAAATAGTCCTTTAGGTCGACGATAAATTAAACCAAATTTTTGACAAGCAAGTCCAACGGTTGGCGTGTAAACTAAAGGCATCATTTTCTCCACATCTTCGCCTAATAAACGGTAAAATAGCTTCTCATTTCGATCCTGTAACAAATTTTCTAATTAGTATCATAGATTCCTTTTTTAATTACTATTATTAATTATTTTTGGAAATCAAATTATAATGAATTTAAACATTTTTTATTTATTATTATTTATTAATTTAGAAAATTAAAAAAGTAAATAATTCTATAAAAAAGTAATTACATTTTTATTAATTATATTTAAAAAATCGATTACTTTATCATTATCAATATTATTAACATTTATAACATTTTATTATAATAATGGTGATAATAATTAATTTAATTAATTAAATTTCTAATATTAAAAAAGAAAATAAAAAATTTTAAACGAAAATAGAAAATATTACAAATATTTCATAATATAAAAATGAAAAAAGAAATTAAAATATTAAGTCCGTAAATATTGAAGTTATTGGAAAACAAATTTACGTTCTCTTTCTGTAATGATTAAGCACTTTTTTCCCTACAAACGCTCATCAATTTTTCAATCCATCACCCAACAAAAGTTGTATAAACTAAAAATCTACAAAATACGTGAGTAAAGAAAATTCGATTCAAATTAACTATTTAGAATATTTAACGTAAAAGAAAGTAAAGGAAATTTTTTTAATTTTCAATCGTAAAATACTTAAATTTTAATTTAATAATTTACCAAAAGTCGCGAAACTTGATTTAAAAAATTTAATTATTATACTTAATTTACTCATTAATTATTATTTTTTTTCATTATTTTCATAAATTTTAATAAAATTATTTGCAAGAATTCAATTATTTTTTATAAATAATATAGTAAAATTCTTTCAATTATTTTCAACACAATTTGAATAAAATTTCACGAAAGGATTTAATTGTTATTTTAAAAATAAAATTTTTCAAAAAGAATTCAATTATTTTATGAACTTTTAATAAATTCTTTGAAAGAATTGAATTATTTTTTTAAAAACTAGTAAAATTCTTCGCAATAATTCAATTATTTTCAAAACAATTTTAACAATATTTCAGGTAAGGATTCAATTATTTTTTTAATTTTTCAAAATAATTCAACTATTTTCTAAAACTTTAATAAATTCTTCGAAAGAAGTCAATTATTTTTAATAATAGTACAATTTTCCGCAACAATTACATTATTTTTATACTTAAAAAATTCTTCGAAGGAATTCAATTATTTTTAAATCTTTAATTTGCAAAATCTTTGCAAAAATTCAATGATTTTCAGTGCATTTATTATAAAATTGAAAACATTTTCCCTAATAAAAAAATTTCCATGATTTTCCGGTCTTTGAGGAAAATTCTCAAAAAAAAAAGAATTCTATAAAATTGTGGTCAATATTGAATTCCTAGTTTTTCCTGATCCAAAAAAATTTGCTGTTTATTTTACGGTTCAACGATCACCCTGAATGGTAAATTTATTTAATGATAATAATTAATTATTATAATTATTATAATAATTAGTTATTTAATAATAATATTTAATAATAATAATAATAATAATAATAATAATAATAATAATAATAATAATTTTAAATATACGAATGCTCACCATTAGACTTGAAAGATAAATATATTTAGAAAGATCGTCTGGATAACGATCAAGATTCAATTTACAAAGTTTCAATTGTTCATCCTGAGTTTTAACGGCTGCTGGAAGAAGTCCATGGATTCCAAGGGTCTGCCTCTCCTCGATCGAGAAAGCCATTCCCTAAAAGCATAAAGAAGAGAAATTATTAAATAATAAAATAAATAAAATATATTGCATTTCTTATGGTATATAGATAAATATCAAAAATAAACTGCGAACATGTGTATAGGAAATAGACCGTGACCTAGACAATCGTATAATTATATTCTATAGAGTGTGCGTTTCCTGACGATCGATAGATTGACTAAAAAATTGTAACATTATCACGGTGAAGTGAACGAACAGGAAAAGTGATCAGCTGGCTCCTGGCCTGATTTACACTGGCAGAGACAAGGTGAATAAATTTATGGTTTCACAGAAACTTGAAAAAGAGAAAAAAAATGCTACGTGACCATTAGCACTCTAGATGAAATTTCAAGGTCGCGGATACAATCGTCACGCAATTTTTTTTTATTATTAATTATTAAGCACTTTTTTTTTTACTTGTAAGCGCTATTTTATCAACTAACGAATCTGAATTCAAATAACGGTCTCAAATAATTATACGTCTCAATCGAAAATAAATAAAATTACAATTAAACTAATAATAGCTAAATAATAAATTAAATAATTTTTGATGACTTTTGACGACCACTTCAAGTTAAATTAAATATTTATTATTTGTAAGTAATTTGATATTTATTATCCAGTAATTACTAGTCCGATTATTATTTACTTTAATTTTGATTGAGGTATTCTTAATCGTTCCATCACTGGCCAACTGAATAATCTATCTTTGGTAAACTGAATAATTAAACTTCACCTAATGGATCTTAGTTTTGCCCGAAGCAATTTAATTTCAATCGGATAAACTTTAATCATTCACATTCATCGATTAAAATGTAATTGAAATAATTCAACTTTTTTTTCAAAGAATCTCCATGAAAAATTCTATTCTAATTACAATATAGTGAGAAGAGAATTGTTCAATAAAGAAGATAAGTTTTTCTCATCGTCCAGTAAAGGAATCTTTTTTTGATTTCGCTCAAGGTTCATGATTAATTGGCCTTTATTTGATGCCTCGGGGACTGTGTCACTGGCACGGCTACGATTTTTTATTTTCTCATGTAATTAAATTACATTTGATCATTTGTCGAGAGTGAATAATATCTGAAACAAAATTGTAAATTTAATAAGAAAATATAACAAACCAAAGATTCCAAAAAAAAAAAATAAAAAATTACAAAAGATTACAAAATAAAAATTACAAAAGTACAGATAACATGAATTATTATAACGGTCAAGGAAGAGAAAATGATGTAATATGAAACGAAAGTTAACGAGAAAATTTGACTGATGAAATCTGATGGAAATTCGTATAATAAGCAGGGAGTTTTGCAGACTTTCAAAAAATACCTGAAAATATTCTGCAATAATTTTTTTACACCAGTAATTAACTGCAAAAATGAAGGAAAATAATAATTATTGATTATAAAAGTCATTCGCTGAGGGAAATAAATATTTTTTTTAATAACTAGGAAACGGGTATTTTCGAAATATTTATAACAGTCTGAACTATCAATAAATTATGCTATTAAAATGACCTCTCCATACCTCCTATCGATTTTATTTTTAAATTACTTTTTCCTCAAGTATTGTTTTTTCAAAGAATGTGAACGACACATTGCAATTATTTTTATTTCTTATGGAAATAAAGAATCATGACCTATGATTCTTTCATTGTTAATTCATTCGTTTCCATAACTTTGCTGAACCGTAATGAAAAGAAGAGTTAAAAAATTATATTCAGAACTAAAAAAAAATAATTTTTATTCATTATAATAAATGAATAAATAAACAAATAAAGAAATAAATAAACAAATAAAGAAATAAATAATAAATATTCATTAAATAATAAATTCCACTTAAAATGGTATTTAATTTTAAAGTTAAGGAAATTAATGAATCAAAACTGATTAATTTAATGAATTGAAAAAATCTACATTCGAGATTTCAAGAAGTGGAAAATGACAAATTTTGCCGAAACTAATTGCAATTTTTTCCTTATCTCCACCAGACGGAAACCAAATTCCAATGAAATGCGAAATAATTCAAATGATGAAACGATAAAAAAAATGTCTAGACTTTTATGCTATAAACGCAATCGACGAAACTGTTTTCATTTTTCAACTTTAATGTAAAGAAAAAAAATGTTCTACTTTAAAACACGTAAGGAAAAAAGTGCATAATTTTTCTTTTTCAAGACTTATGATTAGAGATAAAAAAAAAAGAAAATTTTTTGCAGCAGTGAAAATAAAAGAAAAAGGTAAGAATATTTTGCGAATGAAATAAAAATTGAAAGTGAATGTATAGAGTGAATGAAAAATGTTTGTGAAATACCCGTCCATCGAGAGCGAGAAGTGCCTCTGGAATAGAAGGAATTCGATCTTCATTTGGCACCAAGGACCACCAATTTTTTTCCATGGTCAAGAAATTGCCAAGTTTCTTGTTCTTTTATACCTGCACCCCATATCAAACAGAAATGAACGAATGGTCGTTGTTAGAACCGTTGCCGTGGGGCTCTTAAGAGGGTTTTCCCTAGACCAAGGATCAATATTCTTACTCAACGATTTTCTTCACTATTTGGGGCGTTGCAGTTCAAACTAGCACGATATGCAGGTGTCTTAATCAAATATTTTTTTCACAAACGATCAACCTCAATCCTTCCAAACAAGTTGAGCAGGGGGGGACTTTATTAAAGAAGACATCGTTCAAATAAAATTCTCTTTCTCTCAATTTTCTTCTTTACTCTCTACTTTTAAATCTGAATTTTCTTATTCTTTACTTCCAATTTATCTGAATTTTTTATATTCTCCTCTTCCAATTTATCTGAATTTTCAAAGTCTTTTCTCAAATTAAAATAGAATTTTCCATAAATTTTCTCCTGCGACTCTAAATTCCGAATCAATTTTCCTGATAAATTTCCTTTACAATCTATAAATGTTACTAATTATAATTCTTATTCTTTGGAACTGTCGAGTGAATTATAAACAAAATAAATCAAACGTCATGACAAAAAAAGCCCCCCACGGAAAATAGAGAAATACCATAAAAACATCTGTTGATGATTTGTAATAATGAAATAAAAATTGATTACAGCAATATTAATTCCAGCTGAACGGACTGATAACTATTATCATGAAACTATGATGAATGCATTTTAATATAATGAACTGATTAAAGTTGAAATAGTATTGTTTCAAAGTCCAAAGGCAAATGTATGAAAAAAGGCATAGAAAAATACAAACTAAAATAAAAACTAGAATAAAAACTAAACTAAAAAAGTTCAAATAGAAAAAAAATAATAAAAATCTATCCATTTGAAATAATTTTCACTGCAATTGCAAATATTTAAAAACCAGGAAATGGCATTTTTTATTATTCTGTATTAATAATGGTAAAATAAGAAAAGAAGAGAACAAAAAGAAAAAAAATCGAAAGGAGAAAAAAATTTTTCATGAAAATAAAATTGACGAATTAACGGAAAGAGAAAAAGTGACAAATTTTCAGTCAGCGCGAATTTTATCGCATGAGGTAAATGACTCAAGATAACTGGTTTTATAATCATTGTCAACAAACAGTGACCTTGAATGGATCTTTAGTTATGTAACACTATAAGATCGCGATGCAATAAATTACTCTCGAGTATATACTATGTAGAGCAGACTTTATACTCACATTAATCATTTTAGATTCAAAATCTTTCAATCGTGTACTTTAGATATAATTTATTTTCCTCAATTGCAATTTAATGACATCAGAAAATTTAAAAGAAGTTTAAAAAATTTTAAATATTGAAAAGAATTAAAAAATTTTTATTAAAATTGAAATTAAATTTTTCTTTTTAATTAAAATTCAAAGACATTAAATTTTTCTATTTAGTTAAAAGAAAGAGAAAGAATTAAAAAGAAATGATTAAAAAATTTAAATCGGAATATTTTAACAAAATGGAAAGTTTAAATTAAAAACGATACAGAAAATGTATCAGATATTTTTTTTTTTAGAAAAAAGAGTGATGCGTAATAAAATAAATGCAAATATGACGCTTGCATTACCGCATCCTTATTTTATTACACCAAGTTTAGAAAATGCCACTTCCTGTTATTTTAAATATTTGCAATTGCAGTGAAAATTATTTTAAATGCACCAACAGATTTTTTTGATCCATTCTGTAAATTTGAATTAGTTGCTTTTTTATTTGAATTAGTGACTGAATTTTTGCTTTCGAATTAGAAAATTTTATTTTTAATTTGCTAATTTAAAAACAAAATAGTAGAAATTTATTCGTAAAATTTACTAATTAAAAAACAAAATAGTAAAAATTACTATTTATTCGTAAAATTTACTAATTCGAAAACAAAATAGTAGAAATTACTATTTATTAGTAAAATTTACCAAATCAAAAGCAAAAAACCAGTCACTAATTGAAATTAGCAAACATTTTTACTAATTCAAATTTATAGAGAGCAGAGAAAATTATTTGAAATTCATCAACCGATATTTTTTAGACTAAATTTTAGTGAAAATTATTTCGAATTCATCAACAGATTTTTTATAATAATACTAGATTATAATAATAATACTAATATCTTGAAAATGAAAATAATACCAAAAATAAATCATGAATAAAAATATAATTATGTCGAAAAAAAGAGGAATTTACCAATCGATTAATATAATGAATTAATTTCAGTAAATTCCAATATTTTTCTATCAATATTTTTATATTTTCTTCTTATATTCAATATTCGAAATTATTTCAAGAAAGATAAATTGTTTGAAATAATAAAAATACAAGAAAATTCGAAGAAGAAAATTCGAAAGAGAATTTGAAATTGAACTGTAGAGAAAATTTCCCCTTATTTCTGTTTCAATGAACTCAATTCAAAATCAGAGTTCAGTTGCATCATGAATTAAATTAAGGGAACGGTTAAATCACCTGACCTAATGCTAGATATTAAATCTCGAGTTCATTGGTCTCAATTCAAGAGGAAATAATGTGCCGAGATTCACACGATATTTTGAAGACGCCAACTTCCTTTCCAGTGGAAATTTCCACAGAGCCCAAATCACGTGTTCCCTACAGGAACCTTATAATAATTTGGCCTATGCCTCTCTATAGAATGGAGTTTAAGAATCTGGACCTGCATTTCTTTTCATCTCAAACCTCTCTAAGCAAAGAAAAAAAATATTTTAACATTTTTGTCTAAAAGTATTTGAGATATTTTATTTATTCTTTTCGATATTTAATTATTAATTCCTTTTGTTTATAATTCAAAACAAAAATTACTTTTTACTGGAAAGTATTTTACTCTAAGCAAAAAAAAATTATCATTTTTGTCTGAAAATAGTTAATAATTTTTAATAATATTTTTATAATATTTTATAATATTTTTAATAATAGTTAATAATATTTTATTTACCATTTTTTTTATTGCATTTATTTATCTTTTTGATTTTGTTTTATTTTGTTTAAAATTTAAATGAAAAATTAAGATTTTGTCTAAAGATATTTAATAATTTTTCATTTATGTTTTATTTTATTTTTTTTTCATTATTCTGTTAATTTAAAACGAAAATTAAAACTTATGAGCGAGCTTTTAAGTTTATCATCAAAATTATAATTTCGCTTGTGTCTGAAAGCAATGGATAACCTTGAAGAAATTATTCCCTCTTTTTCCTAAAATATCTAATAGAATTTAATTAAAATGACAAAACTGCGTGACTTGCAATTAAATCGAAATCAAAAGTAATTAATAGAAATTGTAAAAATTCTTTGAAATGATTATGGAGAGTTTCTGTGGGAAAATTAGGTCAAAGATATAAAGTTCTATTTGTTTCATTGTTTAACTTTCCTATGGGAGAATTAAATTCAAACACTGCTCGTTTCAAAATTAATTTCAACACAGATATTACATTAAAGTAAATTATATTAGACGAGGTAACAGAAGGAAAGTTTTAATTAAACAAAGATATCTCGAGAGTTTGAAAAGAAAATAAGAAATAAAGAAAAATAATTTTTTTAAAAGAAAAACTCTTTCAAAATTACTGTTTCTTTTTCTTAAAAATTTTCCTTCTTTTAAAATTGAAATTTAGCATATTCAAACAATACTAATTATGAATAATTTATAATACAAAAAAAACATGATTTATTCAACAAATCACTACTTGGAATAGAATTGAGTGCAATTTTCAATCGCATTGAATGTGTGAATTTATTACTTTCCTCATTTCCCTTCGATTTTTCAATTTCTTCGGCACTTTTGTTAATTTTACGAAAACTATTTTTGTGAGAAAGAAACACAAAAAATATTTACAGAATTTTAAAATAAATATTACAGTAAAATATTTACAGAAATTAATTTAAAAAAATAAAGAAAATTTTAAATTTAGTTTCAAGAATAAGTTTGAGGAAAAAATAATTCCTGCAAAGGAAGTTTCTCCAAAGTTCATGGAAAATAGGATCGAGAATTAAATGTTAAATCGTACAAATATCAATGCAAATATTCACTAGAACGAAAATTGTTTTCCTGTTAAATGTAGAATTAAATTAAAAAAGAAAGAAAAATATTACCTTGTTTAGTTGTGGATTTTTGATGTGATCAATTCCCCTGATGAGACTCGATGTTGTTGAATCTCCTGGACCACGTAATCCTAATTGATCTCGTTCCAGGCTCGACATGGTTGAAGGTGATAATCCCGGTTCTTGACGGTCACTGTCAATTAACCTGATGCCGGGAACGGGAACTCTGAAAACGCAAGTGCGACTGTAAGTCGACAATTGCTGATATACTCTGAAGAGGTAGGGTAGGAAACCAGCTGAGTTGCTCGTGGTAGGGTGAAAAATAGAGAAGGGAATGAATCAGCTGAGCGCAAGCGCATTTTTAAAAATTTCATGACAAAATTCCAATTTTATCCATTTATGCGAGCGATGCAAGCCAAGATCTTCTTGATTGATTAAGATAAACACACCGTTTCAGTTTCAAAACAAATGCGCACATTTCCTCAATTTCTCTTTTCTTCGTTAAAAAAACTGAACATAAAAAATTTAGAAAAATTTATTATAATTGTCTTTTATTTTAGTATAAACAAAACAAATTCTAAAAAGAAATAAAAATTCAATTCTAAGGAAATTGAGGAAAATAATAAAAAAAAATATTTTCAAATTCACTTTGTCATTAAAATAATTAAATTATTACCTCATTAGTTTTACATATTTTCGGCTTATTTACTTTTGCTGCTACATGCTATTTATTCAAATAATTTATCATCATCAAAGAAAGTAAATATTTTTCCTCAAAATAGTGCATTAATTTCAGGTTAGAATTAGCCGAATGATTTGTAATACTTTCTACCCTTTTGACATTTTCGCTATAAATATCATATTTTCCTATTTATAAATGCATTGTAAATAACTCCTTTTATTGAAATTAGACTTCTCGGATAGGAAATACTTTCAAAATACCAAGAAACAGAAAAATTTCGCTGTCGATTACATCACGCGATGTCAAAATTAACCGTCGTCATAGCGTCAAAAAAACGATTTGAAGTTGTCTACAAATTTTTTGTTTTTGCAATAAAAACCAGTGTTACCAATCTCCGAAAAAAAGAGACATAGAAATGTCACTTTTCATCTAATCTTCTGCTTTTAAATGGATTTAATTAGTAAAATTAACAATGAATAATATTCTATGCGGACCATGATCTTGTAAGTTTGATTCAAGGTCACTCGATTCGAGGTCGCGAGGCTGAGAGAATGACGCAATAGATTATATTTTTATATTACTCATTACTCATTATTGTCATTATTCGTAATTCTTTTAACAAAGTAAAAAAAAATAATAATTTTATCAATCGATAAAAATTGAAAATCATGCTAACAATGTTTCTCACAGTATATCGAGTAAATCTTTCCGAGGACTATTAAGGTATGAAAAAAACATTACATTTTGATTTTACAATTAAAAACGTAAGTTAAAAATACAGTGTCCGGAAAAATTGTCGAAGCCAAGAAAATTTTCCACTATTAGCCTCTGGATTATAGGTGTAATAAAACAGAAAGGAAGGAAATTCTATAGAATGTAAAAATAAATCTCGGGTCATAAAATATTTGACGAGACTATATAGAAAATTGTAAGAAACGTTCATCCTCAAATTCTATACACCTGAATAATTGCAGAAGTAATTATTCCTAATGAGCCATAATAATTTTGTCCCTACTCTGTCAATAAGGATTTATTTTACGCTAGCGTTTATTTTAACATTGAAATTTTTCTAATATAATAACACGCTATCAAAAAAGAATTAGCTCAAGGAAAAAAGTATGTAATCAAATGATTAATTGCAATTAAAGAAATTAAAACATTTTTCGAAAATTCTGTACAATTATAATTGTTTTCGTTCACAGAGATAATGAAAACGGAAAATATAACCTTAAATTTCAGAAAATTTGAGTCATTTGAGTCATATAAAAAAATGAAATGTATAAAATTGAACTTTGATAAATAACTCGAATCTCCCTAATTAGAATTTACAAAAGGTATGAAGTGCATTTATTAGTCTGGGTCGTATTTGCATTTATTTACCTCTCGGAACTTAGACTTCGAACGCATGCAACTGGTTCAATATCCTTTGTTGTGAATTGATGAATATTTTTTCTGAAACGAGACGTGAGTCGCGATATGAAAGATGACATTGTTTATTTCCGCAAATGAAAAGAGAGATACACACACCAGAAAAGAGATAATATTAACGCAGCTAAAGGTTTGCGATGCACTCGGCATATTTTGCAAGACTGAAATATAAAGCGCAGAGAAATCGTTGAAAAGGGAAATTGACATTTCAAATACAATTTCCGTTATTTCTTTTTGAGCAACTGCAATAGATCATTGATTATATTCTTCAAATATAATAATCGACTCTGATATGATTATTATGCACAGCACGTGTTTTACACGTGTAAAATTCCTTTTTTTCAAGAATAATATTATTATCACACTAACTATTAATCTCTCTCAGATTTTATATTTGTAACGATTTTAATTCATTTTTAACTACAATAATATTGTATTTGATCAGATAGTCTTGAAGATAAGAAAAATAACTAATAGTTGAAAATTGCTGAATTCAACTTTTCTGGTAAAAATAAAAAAAAGAAATAAAAGCAAAGAAGTGATAAGGTCAAAAGAATTGATATCTAAATCATGATTCTAATCAAAGGGTTCCGAACATACGTCACAGAAATTTTCTTCTATAATTATTTTCACTATATTTAATATTATAATAATTTCTCTCTGTTATAATCAATTTTTATTTCATTGGGGGAAAAAAAATACGCAAACAAGTGAAATAATTTCATCCGAATTTTGTTTTTATTATTAGGAACCTCGGAAATTTAAAAATTATCTTGGCAGGTAACGGCCGTAATATCGTGTTACGTAATACACTTACACGTGGACTTGAAAAATTATTTTTTTTTTTTTTGGTAAATATTGCAGACACAATTTTGTAAACATAGATATATCTCGAATCTAATAGAAAAAATTCACTTATTTCGAGATAATTTCACTTATTCGTTTACAAATGTTCACAACTTTTCTCACAACTCTTGTAATAATTTACAGGCAACATTTTCGTGAAAATCGTCTAAAAACTCACTCAGTTTGTATAAATTATAAAATATAGAAAAATTGGAAAAATTTGATAAAAAATCGAAATTAAATTTTGATTATACAAAAAATTGATTCACACAGAAGAAAAAAATTCCACGGAGAAAGGGACTTTGTTTTTGACAGAACCAATTTCTCTTTCTTCCTGGAAGGTCACAAATAAATCACTGAATTTCAACAGGAATTGAAAAATTAAAACTTTAAAATACTTAAAAATTGGGTACTGAAAATACTTCAGTACTGACAAGTATAAAGATATTGAAAAAATATACACATATATACACACATAAAATTACGGTAACTTGACGACGAAAACTATCAATAAAATTCATTCAAATTGAGAAAAGTAAAAAATTTCAATAAACAGTAATTATCGAATTTCTATCAGAAATTGAAAAGTTTTATTTTTCTGAATTTAAACTAATATCTACTTTAGTTATGTAGTCTTAATTAACAATTAGAAATTATGAACAATTTGCACTAAGTTTTTTCTTAAAATTAATGATAAATTGAACTACATACATGATTTTCAATGATCCTGAGAATGTTCCGTAAACAAAACAGTTTTTTTTTGTTTCAAGGACAATTTTATAAGTACGCAAATACTCCTAATTGAAAACTAATTATTACGTGATAGGACTCAAAATGTCTAGATTTGCAATTGAGTCCTGAATATTTGTATTTGCGACCATGTACTCCGAGACTGAAATATACACAGCGACGAGTACTCCAATCAAACCCGCGGCATATGTATTTCTTTTGAAAATAATTGAAGTCGCTACAACGAGGCCGAAATATGTCACGTATCGAGTGACATTTTCTGCTTTCTTTCGTCCTAGAGTATCTGAATCTGGAAAAGAAATTTTAATTAATATTTTATAATTTAGTTTTTACTTTCGATTTTTGAAATAATATAATTTAGTTTCTATTTGTCTCTCCTGAAATTTGTGTAGCAAAATTAGAGGCCTTACTTATGCAGATATTGTCCTTTTTGTGATAACCAATCGCACACTTGGTGCACATGTCGGGTCCATCGCCTATGCATCCATTGCATACTTTGTCGCATTCTGAAAATAATAATTGGAAAACATGTTAATTTCTACGAAACGGAATTAGGAAATATAAATTTCTAAGAAACGAAATTCGAAAATATATTAATCTTTACGAAACGAAATTAGAAAATTTGTTAATTTTTACAAAACTAAATTCGAAATTGAATTTTTATGAAACAAAATTTGAGAACTTAATTTTTTACGAGAAGAAATTACAAAACATAATTTTTAGGAAAAGAAATTACAAAACTCAATTTTTAGAAAAAGAAATTCCAAACTTAATTTTTAGGAGAAGAAATAAAAATTCCAAAATCGATTTTTCAGAAAAAAAAAACAGTAAAAGGTAATAAAAAAACAAACCTAAACATTTATAATATCCCTCCTCATTAACACAGAATTGATTAGACCCACAGGGTCTTTCGCTCATAATACACTCATCAATATCAAAGCAACCTTTATCCTTCACATATAGCCATCCTTTTGAGCAACTATCGCAATTCCTTGGTCCAGGACCCTTGCAAGGTCCGTCACATGACAAATGACAGGCGGTGCATAAAAGTTTTGTCTCATCCTTGTAAGTTTGATAAAATCCCGTGTCACATTCGGAACAATCGTTGCCTGCGTATCCTTTCTCACAGACACAGTGGCCATTTCCTTTTCTCGTCCCCGAACCTTTACATTTGCCATTATTGTAACAAACTTTGTCCGGATATCCAGGACATGCATCGCAATTTTTGCCAAAATGCTTCTCTGGACAGCAGTGTTGTAATTTTTTGATACAAACAAAAGCGTAAATATCTGGTTCATTGTCCTGTTCCTTGAACCACCAATCTTGTAAAATATTCTCATACTCGTCCGCTAGAAAGTGACACTGATTTTTACCCTGTTTCACGTCCTTACACAATAGTTCCTGAATTTCCGTGAAACGCAATTCACTGCGTGAATAGGAGCCTAATTTATCCTCTTCCCAGGCACTGTCGCCTCCTTCGTATTTACCTCGTTTCGTCGCAGTCATTCCCTGAAAGAAAATATTTTTTAACCTTCTATTACATATTTTAATATTTAAGAATAATTGTAATTACAATAAGTTTAATTACAATAACTTTAATTTTATTCGTATGGTTTTGAAAAACATTGTTTTTAGAAACAAATTCGTATTGTTGAGAATATAGATAACAATCGTGGCAGCGTTTGATTGGAAGATACGTGATTTGTTTACACGTGTGTAATTTTGATACATAAACAAAAGTAAATTTCAAAAGCAATAGCTAAAGACTTACGGAATTGAAAGACTTTATGAGTGCCTTGCAAGCAGCACATGGTGGTAATTGAGTGGCAAATAATTCCTCGTCGGTTATTTTCGATTTTTTATTGCCAAACACTTGACAAATGATAATTAATAATAGAAACACAAAAACTGGGTGGAAGACGAAAAATTTAAACATCGTTTTTTTTTAGGGGAAAATAATAAAAAAATGATTAATTTAAACTCGAGGACGTTAGTTAGAGTTATTAGTTTTCGAAGATAAATCAAATAACTTAATAATAATTTTGAAACAAACTTAAATTATACTCAAATTACGGAAGCACTTCTGCTCTTGATAGCAGACGACAAAAGTTTGACAGGTGCCGACCACGCCAGTGTGGCAAACTTATGAAACTTTTATTTTTTATTGGCAATGCTGATAGTGTTTCGCGATCGCGGGTAACTTTTAAGTTTGTTTTGATTACTTCTTTTATTTTATTTTATATTTTTGTGATAATTTAATAATAATCCATTTTTCGGGAGCACTTTTTCGACGTTTATATTTATATACCGTTTATACATGATCCTAAAGAATTTTCTGCGCATCGTGATTCGTGACCAGTCAGGAACCGGAAGTCGTTCGGAATTGCGCGAAGTTCAACTCTCTTTTTAGGATTTCTGCTCGGTTTGAAACGTTTGAAAATTACAATTTCCGCAATTACATTTTACATTAAAAAAGTTAAATTACTTATTTCGAAAGTAAATTACGGTCAGTGTAGAAGATTTCTTTGATAATTTTGTGTCTGAAGTGTTTTTGTTAATTAAATATTGACCAATGTAGTACATTGGACTCAGGGGGCCAACATAACGATAATAATAATGATAGTCCAAAAATGATGCTGATAGCAATTAGTAGGAAATGATAACTTTTGCAAGACGGTTTATAGTGAGATTTACGCTTCTTTTTTTTTAATTAGTAGATGAGTTAATTTTGAAAAAATTATTCATACCTTTTTTTTAAATACAGACCTCATCGATCAATATGCATCCACTACAAAGTGCAAAAAAAATAGCAGCTTTTAAAGCTGTCGATGAATACGTAAAGGTTAGGAAGCATGTGTTCATATTTTTTATCATTTTAATCATTTTAATGCACGTGTATAAATCGTATATTTATTTAATTTAAAAATATGTTATTTTCTCAAGACTGATAGTGTTATTGGAATCGGGAGTGGATCAACTGTTGTATATGCAGTTGAAAGACTAGGTACGTTAAATATATTATTATTATTTATAATTTATACAAAAGGAGATGTTACTTTTTTAAAAATCTATTTATAATGTAAAACAAATTTTACATATTTATTTTTAATCAAATTGAAATATTCAAAATAAATAAAATTGAATTTAAATTTTGATTTCTGTTTCAGCCGAAAGAGTAAACAATGAAAAATTAAACGTAGTTTGTGTGCCTACTTCATTTCAAGCTCGGCAACTTATTGTTAAACATGGACTTACTTTAGGAGATCTGGAAATTCATCCGAAAGTAAATAAAAAAGTTTAACGAATTTATTTGTAATATTTATGTTTTAAGCTTTTTTTCTGTTTATTGTAATTTAAAAAATGTTTTCCATAGATAGACTGTACCATCGATGGAGCGGACGAAGTTGACTCCGAAATGAATCTTATCAAAGGTGGAGGCGGGTGTTTACTTCAAGAAAAAGTCGTCGCCTCTTGTTCAGAACAACTTATAATAGTCGCTGATTACACGTGAGAATTTTTCTTTAAAATTTACAAAATAGAAAACAAATTTTAAAACTAAGAAACTAATTTAAAAAGTAATTATAGAATTTAAAAATAAAAGAAACAATTATGTAATTGACAGGAAAAATTCTCAAAAACTAGGCGAACAGTACAAAAAAGGAGTGCCAATTGAGGTCGTTCCTATGGCGTACAGGCCAATTCAACAAAAAATAGAAGAGACGTTTGGCGGTTCAACTGTATTAAGAATGGCAGTAGCGAAAATGGTACATAAACTTTAAAGTCAAAATCAAAATAATTCTTTCCGCTTTGAAAAAAATTTCTTTTCAGGGACCGCTGGTAACGGACAATGGAAACTTTATAATCGACTGGAATTTCCCAGAAGAAATCGAAAATTGGCCGGAGGTAAATACAAAATTAATTTCAATGCCAGGAGTCGTAGAGACCGGACTCTTTATAAAAATGGCTAAAAAAGCTTTCTTTGGAATGTCAGACGGAAGTGTGAAAGAACGATCTTAATATTAAAAAACAGATTCGTTCGAAAATGAATACATTGTTACTACAAGAACAATTAAAACAGTACAAATTCTATTTTATACAAACTACAAAATATTTACTTTAGCTTATTATAAGCTATAGAAAAAATAGATTCTTTTTTACAACTATTTCCCTATTTTCGGGACATAAATAAAGAAAAAACCGGGAACAATTATATTTTTAACCAATTTTTATTGAAATCGCTTTAAAAAAGTTGATTATAATTGGAACAATACAACGATGTTGTTTCTAAATATATGACAAATAAATGCTTAGAAATACATTTTAGTTCTTTTTTTTAATGTTTCCCTCCATTCCAAGGTGAAAAAATATCAGCTAAAATATAAATATAAATAACCCTTTAACTACAGTCTGTCAAATGGAAATCTTTTCAAAAAATGTCTAGAAGTCCTTGAAATTTTTTTTTATATATAAATGGAAGTTATTCATGGACTGTATAATCAGATACATGGATATTTAAAAATTATCATTTTCGTACACGTTTTTTTTTTTCTAATCTAACTTGAAAAAGGGAAGTTTTTAAAATTGATTTAGCGACTAAAATAATATAAATAGTCGGCAATTCTTCCTTTATTCGATAAATAAAAAGTCTGTTGTATAAAGTGGGAGAATTGAAATTAATTAATTAACTGGCTTTGTTATAGGTCAAGGGGGTATAAAAACAATTTTTTTTTTTTTAATTAAACGCATGGTTCGACGTAATTTCCAGGAAATAAGCCTGTTATTCCGTCCATTACTCCCTCCCACCAGCCGTCGTCATTTTTCTTCAAAACGTAAATGACTGAACTCTCCTGGAAGCTCAATTCGTCCTCTTTGTCGGCGTAATAGTCGTAAATTGCCACAACTGGAAAATTTTTGTTTATTTTAATCTTAAATCTGTTTTTTTTTTTAAATTTGAAATGGAAAGAAATGTGACGCTCCTTTTGTCGTGGAGCAAAAAAAAAAAAAAATAGAAAATAAATTATAATCGATATTTCTACCTTTTTCTATGTAATTCTTTGGCACCCATCCAGGTAAATCCTCCTCGTCGGGCACGATGGGCATGATAGCTCCACTGGATTGTGTCGGTCTTCCGAATTGAGAGTGTTCCTCATTTTCTGGAGGTGGTGGCGGAGGTAAGGGCGGACTGTTGGCACCACTGCTGCGACTCACCTGATGGGACAATCTGTGTGGCAGAGTGTGATGTCCGGTGTAGTCCCCAACATCCGAATTCATTCCCACTAACGGCGAAGGAGGAGCTGTTCAAAAAAAGACAAATTAGCAAAAGTGTAAGTAATTAAGTAAATTAATTAAGTAAAAGTAAGTAAAGAAAGAGAGTAACAAGTAGTAATTAAACCAACAAGTAAAAAATGACAAGTACTCCTGTCATTTTCTTCTAATAACAAAGTTTACACAACACTTAAAATAACAAACCAATCATATAGTTCACTTAGTTAATTTGATAGGAAACTTTACCTTTAAACCTTACTGTTGTACCCATTGAAGGCCAATTAGGACGTGAACCAGTTTCTTTGCAAGTAAGGAACACACAAAGACATTGATTTCATTTTTTACATTTAGTAATTTCATCAGAACGAAAAAAAAATTATTTTCAATTATGAAAAAAACGAAAATTAATTTACAAAAAATAAATTAAATTACAAAATTGAGAATCTTTTTGAATTTTAAACATTTTTGTGTTTGATTTAGTGGAATTTTAACAAATTTAATTTTCAACAGTTTAAACAATTAAAAGTTGCATTTGAATAAAAATTTAAATTTTGTCGATAAAAAACACTTTCGGTAATAAAATCGAAAATTAAAAAATATTACTTGACAGAAATAGAAGTGAAAAATACTGGAGAAACTTACGAGGCATGCCATTGTGTTGATCCTGAATTTGCACGTAATTTGTGGAGCCAGTTACACTAGGAGGAGCCGGTGGAGGAGTTTGAGGATGACTCTGTAGGGGATGAACGGTTCCGACTTGTGGTGGCGAAGTATGTTGATTCCCTGTATTTATCATCGTATTATGATTCGAACCGAGATTCTGATGTTGAGTTGTGTGTGCGTGCAAAGGCAGAGTACTGTATCCGGGACCACGTTCTCGTCTAGGATGTCCCAGTGGGTAATTTGGTGCGTAATGACTCGGCACTTGCGGCGGAGCTACTGCCGGAGGTGTTCTGTACTCTCGAGAACCTTTGCTCAAAGTTCCTGGAATTTAACAAAAGAAATGTTATTATCGAAATTAAATTACAGTCCAAATCCGAAAAAATAAAAAACTAAAATTAACCTTAAATTAAAATAAATAAAATGAAACTAAAATTAAAATAGAAAGAATTCTGAATCGAATAGTAATAAAATCACCTGTCCGGACACTCTGGGGAGGTGTGGGAGGTTTAGTAGTCGGAGCAGGACCGACGATAGTCGCCGCCAGGGCGGAACTTTGAGAAGCAACTCCCAAACTTTGCACACTTCCCTGACTTCCTCCCCTTTGTTTACTCCTCGGCGTTCCTCCGCCACGAACGCCATGACCAATATCATCGAGAATTGTATAATCAATGCTCTTCCTCACATACTTAATCGGTTTCTCAGGATTAGCCGGAGCGATGATTTTATACTGACGACTGGTCATTTTATTGGCAGTGAGAACGCCAATTTCCCTCCTGGCAACTTTTTCCTTGTGTATCATTACTGTTTGAGCGATATGATTCATCTGACTCTCCATCTCGTCAAGTTGCGAGGTCTGCAAGTCGAGAAGCTGGAGAAAATTGTAGGCGAGTGTATTTATCTGATAGGCGACACTGGCAAGTGATTGTGTTGTATAATTTTTTGTCTCCTCCAATGCGATTCTCTTGTTTTCAGCTTGAAAATAATTTGCCTCGCAATATTCAGCGACACGCTCTAAATTCGTGTGACTGTCCGCGAGACTCCCACGACCCTCGGGAATCTCCTGACGTAAAAGTGCTGCCAATTCGGCCATGATTTCCGAGTCGCTGCCTACGCCCGATGACACTCCGCAGGATCCGGTACCTATTTCACTCGACGATACTCTCTCGTTAGTTATTTCGACGTTATTCTAATAAAGAAGGTCAGTAAAAAGGATTTTTTGAATGTTATTTTCAGGAAAAGCGAGCAGTCTAGTGAAACCAGTCATTTTTTTTTCATACTTTTACACAAAATTCGATTCAGTGAAAGATTAAAAAGAAATAAAAGTAGAAAATAAATGTATTAAATAAATAAATAAAAGTAGAAAATAAAATAAAAAAGTAGAACAGAATAGTTAGAGGGAAATTTATCTAAAAATATCTTCTTGTAAATAGAACAAGTCTATACAAAATATGACACTTAGAAAAAAATTAACTTTTCTTTTTTGAAAAATTGGGGAAACTAAAGATATGAATTAAAAATAAGGAAACATTAGAGATAAGTAGAAAGAGTGAATTATAAAAAAGGTTTTAATAAAATAATATCTCTGTGAAAATGACAGTTCTATGATGACAGAAAACAATATGGTGACCAATCAATGTCGTGCAGAGTGAAAAAAGAAAGAAAAGCAGAAAAGAGGAGAGAAAAGAAAGAAGGAAAATAATAAAAAATGAACTAACGATATTCGGCCATCATTGTGACTGATAGTTATAACGCCTTCATAAGTTTATAATTACCAAATGTTCTATTTACAAAAAAAAGAAAATTGTCACACACCCAACCATATCCATTGACCATTAACTATATGCCGGTTTCCTCCTACTTGATGGGCATTGCGCAAGTTTAATTTGAAAACGACACGAGCGCCACGTAGCGGCGAATGTTAGGAACTAAATTTAAAAAACCAAACGAATTTTCATTATTGAATATAGATCTATTAAATGATTATTCATTTGTTTACATTGTTTATTATGAGAAAATGGAGAAAATAGAGAAAATAAATCAAAATAAATAAAAATAAATATAAAAACTCTGATTTTAAAGTATATTTTCTTGTTTTTTTACAAGATTATCTCGAATTTCAAGATTATTTCTCTAGAAACCGAAACATTAATCGCGAACTGCGTATTGTCTCGGGACTGGAATAATTACTGCAAAAGATTAAGATAATAATTAAGCAAGTTGTTTCTGTATCTTTAAACATTGCTTTTGACATTTCTTTTCTACATTTTCTGCCGGATATAGGTAAATATATCTATCAAAATATATTTCGTTAATATAATATACAAATTATATATTTCGTGTATTATTCAATTTTTTTGTTTCAATACTTAAATACAATTGATACAATTTAAATACAATTATTATTAATTAAATAACTACTTGTTTATAAAAATCAGTTTCTTAAATTTACAAATAAGCTTAATTATTTTAATTTGACATAATTTTCCCTTTCATTAAAGGAAAAGAAATAATTAAATGTAAAGAAAATTGAAAGTTTAAAAAACCAATTATTTTTTCTTTATATATATTCAATTAAAAAAATCAGAATTATTTCCATTAGTAAACATGAGAGAATAAAAAATTATATACTTTTCATTTTTTAATAATTTCAATTATACCTGATTATACAATTTATTAAAAAATTATTATTAAATTATTTATTCACTAATTTTTACTTAATGTTTTTTGTAAAAAGAATTTTTTTTTAGTAAAAATTAATTGACAAATAATTTAAGTAAAAAGATCCTTGAAAACTATAAACATCACTTAAATGAAAGCGAATGTCTGAAATTGAATATAAAAAGGTTGCTTAGGTCTCCTGTTCCATGAGTTGATTAGTACATTCCAGAGTGTAAAGAGTTTAAAACATGATAAAAATTTGTGGCACTTGCATTTTTGCATTTCTTTTCCCTTTAATTGTGTCCTCTCAGTGAGTAGAAAATTAATTAAATTACTCAAATAGCATTTATGACAATGCTATTAATAATAATTAATTAATAAATAAACAAGTAATGCAACTAAAAAAAACAAGAATTTGTAATATAATGAAACAGAAATAAATTTAAATAAATAAATGTATTTCAATTAAATATAATAATAATAATAATAATAAATATATTTGATAAGTTTATGTATATTAAAATATAATTTTGAGAAATGATTTTATAGTGTTTAAAACCGTTTGTCACTTACATGCAACAAAATGTATAATAATGCATGTAATTACTATATTTTTATCTTTATTTGACATTTATCTTTTCCACATGCGCGCAATATTCTCTAAACTCGTTTTTTGATAATTTCATTTTTGATAATTACCATACACAAAAAATATTATACATTGTAAAATATTCTTTTAAAATTTACATATGGTATATACATTGCAAAATATTCTTTCAGAGAGAGAATTTTTTATTTTTCATTGTAAAATATTCTTTCAGAAATTACATATACATTGTAAAATATTCTTTCAAAAATTACATACATTGTAAAATATTCTTTCAAAAATTACATTGAATTATGGAGAAAATATTCGTTAAATAATTATAATAATCATTGTTTTGTAATTACCATTTTTTTTTCTCACGAAAAGTATGCCATTTCCTCACAAAAAAAATTTGCCAATGCCAGACATAAAATAGTACAATCACTATTATTATTCAATCCCAACTGGCGATAAAGGTCTTAAATCGAATGCCATTTTTTTATAGCAAAAAATACATTTGTAATTATAGTGAAAATTTTCAAGTTTAAAAAATTAGCGAACATAAAATATTTAATTAATAATTTCTATAGGTACTTAAAATTGTCGTTGAAATACCGCGAAAGGAAGTTAGAAACTAGAACAGTAATTAAAATACCTAATAAAATACAAGTATTTAGGCGAAACATTTAATTTAATTTATTTATTTGCAAATACAAATTTATTTATTTATTTACATTTATTATATTATTATTACTATATTTATTATAATTATTAAAAAAAATTATTGAAATTAATATTAAAAGTAACAATTAAATCCTTTATTAAATAGTATTTTCAATTTTCCAGAATGGACGTTACTATTAATCGAATTGTGGAGGCAAAAGGATTAAGTGAAGGTCCACATTGGGATCATCGTTCTCAAAAACTCTTCTTCGTCGATATCTGGAATAACAAAATTTGTCGTTATGATCCAGAAACTTCTCAAGTGACTTCTGCGTATATAGGTAATTTTTAAATCAACTAAATTTCGAGTCATTTAACATAATTTAAAAATTAAGAGTCTAATTAAAATATTAATTATTAATTTCAGCAAATGGACCAGTGGGTGTGGCGATTCCAGTTGACGATGGAGATCAGTTTCTGGCCGGTTCGGGTCTTGATTTTGTTTTAGTAACGTGGAATGGAGAAACAAATACAACAAACCCACCAATTAGAACATTAAAAAGTGTTAAAAAAATTAATAATGGGACTCGATTTAATGATGGCAAAGCCGATTCTTCAGGACGAATTTGGGCAGGTAATTTCGATTTTAATCAATTTCTGTTATTTATGAAAATAATTGAATTCTTGCGAAAAGTTATATTTAAATTTGTATTTTCGCAAAAATCTAATTAAAATTAAAAAAAAATTAAAATTAAATTAAAATTGCAAAATCTAATTACATAAAAGAAATGTTTTTTACTTACTATCGTTATTATCATTATAGGCACAATGTCGGAGAATAATGGAGATTTCACGCCAAATGGAGGAGAATTTTACTCAATGGACAAAAATCTGACAGTGAAAACGCAAATTACACCTGTTTCCATCAGCAACGGTTTAGCCTGGAATTTAAACGACGACACATTTTATTACATCGATTCTCCGACGAGGCAAATTGTCTCCTATGATTTCGATTCCAAAAAAGGATCCATCGGTAATTCTATATTTTAGCGATACATAAAATTTAATTTTTAATTCCTTTTAATTTTTCTCCATTTACAACTCAATTTTTTTTCTCTGCTTTCAGCCAATAAGAAAGTCGTTTTCGATCTGGCGAAGAATAATTTACCAGGAGTTCCGGACGGAATGACAATCGACTTAGATGACAATCTTTGGATCGCTCTGTTTGGCGGCGCGCAAGTAATTCGAATTCTACGACAAAGTCTCATTATTAAAAAGAAAAAAGGAAAATTATAAAAAAAGAAAATAATAAAATAATTTATTTACAGGTAATTCACGTGAATCCAAAAACGGGAAAACTATTGAGATCGATTCAAATGCCAGCGAAAAGAGTAACTAGTGTTGCGTTCGGTGGACCAATGTTGGATATTCTGTACGTCACCACTGCAGGTTATGGAATTTCTAATCCGGAGGAGAAAACCCCCGAGGACGATAAGAAGGGAGGATCGCTTTTCGAAGTTAAAGGAACTGGAGTTCGGGGTGTTTTGCCAAACACTTTTACGATGACTGACGATTAAAGTAAATCTATAATTTCGTTTTTGTGACGTGCTCTGAAGAAAAGGATCTTGAAACGAATTTTTGTCACAAATTTATCCTTTTTGTTACTTTTTAAAGATTAAAAATCGAAATTAGTATTTGGCGTAATGATTAAAGGTTTTTGATACTAATAATTAAATCATTAAAGAAATAATTAATTAAAGTCCAAAAAGGAAATACTTCCATGAAGCAATAAGTTGCAGGCATAAAAATTTCGGCTAAAAATTCCTTTCTTCAGAGCGTAATCACTTTTTTGCATGAACAGTTGATTTAAGAAATTACTTCTTTAAGCAATTATTGCTTTTTAAAAATAATTGAGTTATTAATAATAAATAAATGAAGTCAATTAATAATTGAATTGAAATTCATTAAGAACATTGAGAATCAATTATTAAAATATCGAGAAGGGTCAGTTTCACAAACTTAAAAAAGTTTAAACTGATAAAAAGTCAATCAATGCGAATAATACTCCCAAAGTGAAAAACAATCCTTTTATTTACACAAAAAGCACTTCTAACAATATAATTTTAAACATATAGTTAACAATAAATTTTATACTTACAACAAATTTAAATATCTTGCAAAAATATATTTAAACAGGCATTTAAATATTCTCACCGAGACAAAAATACATTATATGAGTGATATGTATTTTTTTCACGAGTCAGTCTCTATAAAGCTTGGGCAAAAATGTTTCGATTTTCTTTTTTTTTCTTTTTTTTATTCACAAAGACACATGATATGCCTCAGCGTTTGGCCTCATCTCCTGAAATTCCTGTGGCCAAAAAATAAAGCGATAGAATAATGACGCGAGCAATGATCCAACGAAGGGACCAAACCAAAATACCCAATGATTCGACCAATGATTATTCCAAATTGCAGGCGCTAAAGATCTAGCTGGATTCATGCTGCAACCAGTGTAGGGACCAACTGCCATGCAAATTACCGCGACTGCCAGGCCGAATTTTATTGAAACCGAATCTCCAAATTTCGTTTGTCTTGCGTCCCAAACTCCGCACGTCATCAACATCAAAATCCCCGTTGCAATCACTTCAATGACAAATCCTTGAAACATTGAAATATTGTTGTGTAAATCAGTTACACAAAATTCGGAACTTGTCGTTTCGTTTCCGCTGTGTAGAAGCATTTCGGGAGTTACACTCTGAAAATATTTTTTTTTTAATTATTTAAAATTAAAAGTTAATTAAAAATTAATTAATTTAATTAATTTTTTTTTTTTTGAGTGAAAAGGTTGAAAATAGAAATTTAAATTTAGTGACGCAGGGGAAAAAAAGCTCGCGCTGACGCTTACGCGCCAGCGCGAGCTTTTTTTCCCCTGCGTCACTAAATTAATAGCAGAAATTCCTTTTTTATTAATAGCAAATTCCTTTTCGCAGGAATTTTATTCCTAAACAATAGGAAGAGTACCTTTAATAAACCGAAACCAATAATAGCACCAACGAGTTGAGCAAAAATGTAAAGTATCGCAATTGGCAAAGATTTTTTTCCAAGGACAACTGATCCTAGTGTTATTGCTGGATTTATATGAGCGGCGCTGATGTGACCAATACTCTGAAAAATTGCGTCAACAATAAAACTTAATTTCTTGAAAAAAAGAAAAACGAAATCGAATAATTTTACTATTTACTATTTATGAATAACAGTTATTGCAGGCTTCGAATTCATCTACTAAAACCTACTATTTACTACTTTTTTTACAATTTGATACTTTTTTCAGATTTCTGACACTAAAAGCTACTTTTCTTTTTTTTTTGCTCCAAATTATATTAGTTTAAATTCACTAATAATAATTATTGAAATATAGAAATTATTCTCCAAAAATTTTAATAGAATCAAAAACTAAATAATAATAATTGGAAAAATAACCAAAAACTGGATTAATTTCTCTAAATCTGAATTAGAGTGGTAAATAATTGCAAATAATTAATTATACCTGTATGATGACCATGACAGCCAATCCGAAAGTAAAAGAAATTTGCAACGGCGATGGTCGATGTCCTAGACTCCCCACACAACCCATACATCCCAAAAATACTAGAATTCCAGTTCCAATTAATTCGGCAAGGCACATTTTGAATATTTCGGATATTCTGACATCTTCCTTCAAGTACTTCTTGATCCCTGTAATTTACAAAATTTATAGTACATTAACTACAACTAGAAATTTTTTATCACTGAGATAATTAATTTTTAATTGAATTCCTGTTTTTGTTTATAGCAAAATTTTCATACAAATGCTCTATTTAAACACTTGCGAATGACCGGTTGCGGTCGTAAATTTTTTAGTGCCTGCAACCTGACGTACAAATGTGTCAGTTTAAATACATTTTTTCTAAACAAAATAAAATGTGTCTTATAATTAATAAAAATTATTATTAATAATAATAATAACAATAAAATAATAAAAATAATAATAATAATAAAATAATAAAAATAATAATAACAATAAAATAATAAAAATGTCTTTTAATTAATAACAATTAATAATAAAAATAAAAAATAAAACAATAACATAATGTTCAATGAATAAAAAAATCTCATCATTCCTTAAATTTTCAATTCAGATTTTCTCAATTCGGATTATTTAAAATACAAACAATTGACATTATTTCAAATAAATACAGATCGATTTTTTGCTTCTGTGATTAAACTACATATTAAAGAAAATACTAATTAGCAAGTTGTGTCCACAACTTTAATTTAATTAACTGACGCTAATTTTATTAGTAATTTTCTTTCTCTCTGGCGAACTTGCGAGGCGAACTTTTTGACAAATACCTCCATTTTATTGCATTTTATACATTTTTTTATTATACATTTTGTTATACATTTAAAAATGTAATTAAAAAATGCATAAATTTTAAAATGATAAAAAAATTGTTTCAAGTGGACGACGTTTTTTAAATGAATAAAAAAAGGAAATGTATATGGTCCACATAGTCTGAATGAATGGATAATTATGGAATTGTGCTATTGTGTAACAGATAATAGAAAATGATGAGAGATGACATTGTACTAGAATAAACTTCATGAGCCAATGCATTAGATTTAAATTCTTCTGCGAAAGTAATATTGACATTAAAAATAAATTTATTAAAATTACTCAAAAATTGTTGTTGGAAAGAAGAAGAAAAGTAAATAAAAACTAAAATACAAATAAAATAAAGAAAAATAAGAAAAAAACGAATAAATAAAGACTAAAAAAACAAAACAAATTAATAAAAACTAAAAAAATGCAAAAAAATAAAGAAAAACTAAACTACAAAAAAATTAACAAAAATTATAAAAATACAAGAAAACAAACAAATAAATACTAAAGAAAGCAAAAAAATAAATAATAATTAAAATGCAAAACAAAAACTACAAAAAATAAAAAAAATTGCTAACTAAAATAAAAAAAAAAATTAAAACTAAAAACCAAAAAAAAAATTAAAATTAAACTAAAAATTCAAAAAAATTATTATTTGCAAAAGCTTTTATTAGGAAATGTGTAATTACTAGCTGTATACTCACATGATAATTTCAAATCTTTGTTTTCACAATGAATTACATTTGGAGAAGAAAGACCATTTTTTAAATTTGGAGACAAATTTTCCGAGTGATTTTGATAAGACATGGTGGTAAATCCAATTTTCTTCGAGTGTAGACAATTTTAATTTAATTCCGTCTGAAAATAAAAATAATAGAATCAATTTATGGATAAAAATCGTTAAAAAAAATGATAAATTTTAAAAGAATTTTCATTAATTCTTTAGCAGGATAAACATTTTCTAAAACTTCTATTTATTTCTATTTTTTTATTTTTTTAACGAGATTTCTATTCATTTTCAAAAGTTGAACGTAAAAGAATATAATTTGACACTGAAATTTGTAGAACATGAAAAAACAGGATTTCAACAATCACGAAAAGTACGGAACTAGATAAACTATTATAATAACAAAACTTGATACTTCTCAACTTACAGCAGATTTAAATGAAAATTAAAAGTTATATTTTTACTTTAAAAATTTGCATTCGATTCTTTAATTTCGAATTTTTATTTTAAATTCAAATATTTAAAATTTAAATTTTTTGAATTAAATTCTTAAATTAAATTCGTTTGTTAAATTTCTGTGTTTTAAAGTAATAAAATTGTTTAAATAAAATTTTTGTTAAATGAAAATTAAAAGTTACTTTTACTTTATAAATTTGCGTTCATTCTTAAATTTTGTTAAATCTAAATTTATTGAAATATATTTTTATTAGCGTTAAAATAATAAAATTGTCTAAATAAAATTTTTTATAATAAAAATTAACACTTTTACTTTATAAATTTGAATTCATTCTATAATTTCGAATTATAATTCTATAATTTTTATTAATTTGTCGCATCTACACTGTTAGAAATTTTTGTTGGAATTTTCAGAAAAATAATAAAATTCGTTAAATAATTTTATTTTCAAAAAAAAGAAACAAAGTAAACGAAAAAATCAAGTACAACGTATTCTCAAAACTATTAATCATTCAAATAAAAAAGGAAATCTTATTCTTTTATTGTTCAATATTCTGTTTACTAATAAAAAAAATACAAAGCCTATTTTTTATCACTCTTCAATTGTTCTGTTTATTTTAATTTTGATTTCCTATAATTTTTATTCTTCTTTCAATTTTCTTTATTTCTTTCGGATAAAAGTAGTAATTACTATAATAATTATTTTATTACCTTTTAATTCACTGGTCAATTTAAAAATTAACAATTAAAAATTTACTATTTTTGAGAAATTATATTATTTTAATAACATTTCGTAATTTCAATTGTCTGCTCTATAAAGTAATTACACATTAATTGAAGAAAATCACTGCAATTATTTTTTATTTTATCTGATTTTCGCTATAGACATTATTTAATGTATTTTTTTTTATTGCTCCAATATGCGGATTAATGTCGCGTGTGTGGTAGTTTAGACAAGACTGAACCGTTTCTCAGTTCATCATCATACTTATATGTACTTGGAATATAAATATGTTTGGATACTTTTTCTTTCAATCTCCCGTTATATGCATTTTGAAGCACTTTTTAAATATTTCAGAAATTTATGATCAAAATTCTTCACTGTTAAAATTTAAAAAAACAATTTTTTTTTCTTTTTTAAAATTTTTCTTTTTAATAATATTAACTATTATTTTTTAAATTATTCAATAATAAAATTAATTAAGGTAAATGTTCCTATTTACTTTTTTATTTCAATTAATTTATAATTTAATTTTTGTAATTGATTCCAAGTGATAAATGTTACATGAATATAATTAATCAGCTGTTAAATAATTTGTTACTTTTGATTAATTTTTCGAAAAAAAGGAATAGAAATATCTTCATGAATATTAATAATAATATTCAAATACTGATTTGCACTTTATTGAAATGACGTTATTAAAATTATATTAAATTAAAGAGCATTTATAAATGTTTAGAATGTCAATGAATTCCTTTGACACTATAAAAGATATTTTTGCTAAAGACACGTGCTATTAATGATTAATGTTAAAAAGAATTTCTTCGCATTTTATATATCCAAGTATGCAACTTAATTCAGCAATAAAAAATATAAAATTGATGGAGGTAAACAAAAATATGGGTTAATTGATATCTTTAACGCGACATTAAAAATATATTAATTATCGCAATTATCTAATAATGGAAAAATTAATTTCTAAAAGTTTAGCAATTTATCATTAATAAACAATGTGAATAATAATTATAACAAGGGTCAAAACCCTTGTTATAATTATTATTCTCATTCTTATGTTGACAAAAGTCCGTTGGTAAATAAAAAAAGATAGAAAAACAGAAAATAAAAAAAAGAAACTAAAAAAAATGGAAAAAATAACAAATAATAGAAAAATGGTGAAAGATAATTAAAAAATGGTTAAATAGTAAAAAAATATGAATAATTGGTAAAATAATAAATAAATAAATAAATAAATAAATAAAAATAAATAAATTTAACTAAAAATACGTAAAAGTTACGAATAAATATTACCAATAAAATTTTGAATTTAAAAAAAACGTTAAAAAAGAAGGAATGCCACAATTAAGCTTCCAAGGGATAAAAATAAAAACGATACAATTTAAAAATATGACAAACACTTGGTCACAATTAATCGCTATTTCTTTCTATTGTCTTCTGGGATATTATTTCTCTCAGAGTAGACATACCCGCAATGTAATTACACAATTTGTTTACTTCTTGCAATATGTAAAATTCACGGAACAAAATATTTTCCTTCTGCTATTTTCATCCACACATACACTTTAAATTTGTCTATATAATCGCATGAGAAGAAAGATATTATTAAAAATCGATAAAAAGTATTTAAACCACAAGAGAGAGAGAGAGAGAGAGAGACTTTTAAGCCTTTTAAGTGAAATTGTATTTTCCCATGTCGATTATAAAATTACGTTGAGCTACGTTTACGCTAAACATGTTCTGCTGCTGTTGCTGCCAGTTTCTAAAACGCGACTGTTTTCACCCTGCGAGCGCAAAAAAAAAGTATAGCACACTAAATACATTAAATAGCGCACTTCTGTTAATTTTTCTATTCACAATTTATAATTTACAATTTAAAATTTAGAAAATAGAAATTTAAAATTTAGAAAATAAAAATTATCGAAAAGAAATTTAATACAAAAACTTCAATTCGCGTCAAAGGAAATTTAGCAGTGAAAATTGAGAAATAAATTTTTTTTTGTCAAAATTGCGTCCAAAAATAGTAACGAGATTGTGGTGAATGAAAAAAGTTGTGCAAATATTTTCTTTCATTTTTAGTAGTTGAGGAAGCTGTTTGATAATGGAAATCATGATTTACACTCGTGTTTATCTCACTAGAATTGTAAATTTTGAAATTTTGAAACGTAATTTGTAAATATCCATAGGTACCTGTAACAATTTTTTTTTGTTATTTGAACGATGCGCATACGTCTTGTATCTTATCAGAACTCAAAGTTATAGATAAAATTAAAAAAAAAGGTTAAATACATAAAAAAAATTCCAATTTCCATGATTAATATAATTTACAAAAGATTTTGGGAATTATTTAAAAAAATCATAAAATTAGTTTAGCAACTGTGCAGAAATTGCAGAGATTGCGGATAAATTTCCCGGAAAAATATTATAAACCGCGAACAATTTTTCTTTTTAAATCTCATTAAATTGATTAACCACAAAGTTGAGAAAGTGGAATTTCCATTTCTGTTTATGAAAAAACAATGAAAATGAAAAAAAAAATTTTTAGCTTAATTGTAAATTAATAAAAATTATTTTTCCCTTTTTTCATTTTCGTTTCAATTTAATTGCAAATTAATAGAAATCATTTTTCGCTTTTTTTTTCATTTTTGTTTTTAATTTTATTGAAAATTAATAGAAATTATTTCTCATTTTATTTAAATAGTTAAAAATCGTCATCGATTATAAATAATTAGGTTTGTAATTAAATTATCTACTCAAATATCGTGATGAAAATAATGAACAAAAAGTATAATTAAAATTTCCAAAAATAAGTCAAATTTAGAGAACGTTACGTAAACATTTTTAAATAATCGCAAATTTGAATAAATTTCATTTACAGAAGCAATATTTCAATCATACAGAAACAAAGATAAGTGAAAATGTTAGTTCGTTGAACTTGGACAAACTTGTCTATCCCTTTTTTGTAAAACCAGAATAACTGAGAATTGTGCAAACTAAGGGAAAAAAGTTGTATGATTATTGAAAGCTTTATTTCCTATTCTTATTAGGCAAAAATTTATTAGACGAGAGCAAAAATTCTTTAGATTCGTAATTCTAAGTAATTCGTTTGAAACATTATTAAATACGACGTAAAAAAAATAAACATAGATAGAAGAATTCGCCTTATTTTGCCTAAAACTAAAATGATTTAGTGATAATATAATCATAATCAAATAAATATTATAAAAAAAGATCTGAAAAGATAATAGAAAAAGATCAGTAAGTATTAAGGGTATTAAGTAATTTAGATTTTTAGCATTTTTAGTAAATATAGCCTAACCTCAAAATTTTCTTTTTTTATCCCTTGTCATTATATTCTTTTATTTCGGTCCTTTTTTGTGGCTTTAAATAATTCCCTTATTAAATAGATTAAACTCGATGTATTTAACAAGTTCAGACACTGCTTGTGAGGGAAATTAAAAAAAATAAACTCGGTTTGTATCCCCGCACAATATGATAAATCAGAAATCTTTGAAAATATACTGAAAAAACGTTACCTCGGCTATACGTACAAGTTAAACAGTTTGCTGCTTCATAGGGGTTTCTTTATTATCTTTTATGAAAGATGAGGCGACTTAAGATTTCAATTTCCAAAGAAGAAGAAAGTTACTTTGTTACATTTATTGTCAATTAACAATTTACGTATTTTGTATTTATATTAAAATCACTAATACTGAAGGGAGAGAAATTTCACCATTTCACCTTTTATATATTTGAAGGGCAATCGACCGACAATGTTTGTCGGTAACTCCAACTCGCAGTAGGTAAAACAGGAAACTGTCTTAGTACCACATTTTAGCGCTAGGTGTCTCAATTTTAAAATCTGAATTCAAAAACGTAACGTTTTTCCAAATATTAATTATATTAGTGGTGATTAGTGGTTATTAGTGTAATTATCTGACAAACTGTGAAATGTCCGAAAAAGTACAACTTTTCTCAAATTGAATATTTCCTTTCGAATATTTTTATTCTATTGAATCGAACATGTGACGAAACAGTAAAAGTAGTAACAATTAGCAGAAACATTTAAAGTGCTGTGCGATAGTAAACAATGGTAAATATTGAATATTTTAAGGTTATGGTGTTTTAAACTTTTAACAATTCTGTCGAATCTTTTTGTATTTACTCGATTTAAACTAACTTATTTAAACACTAAACCATGTTATTTATTCAATTCGTTTAATCTAATTCGCTCTAACACAAACACAAAAAACGAAATCAGAAATAAAAGATATGCACGATATGCACTAATTATAAATAACCTGCAAAAAAAAATATAATATAGGGTAAAATAAACTTTGAATGTTATGATATTTAAAGTCAGTGGATATATGTTTTTTTTGTCGTAAAATATTCACTTTTGAATGTTAAAGTTCTCTATATTCTATAGAGGTAGTCGGTTCGATATCGGAAAGTGAAATAATAATTACCATATATGTGAAACTGGCAAATCGAATAAATTCATACTTTTATTATTTAATTTTTAATTGTTTCAATTTTTACTTGATATTTTTGCTAAAATATGTATTACTTTAAAAATTCGAATTCATGAAAATTTTTTATATCGCATGTACATATAAAGTCGAACAACTTTTTTCTTGGAATAATGATTCAATAAAACTTTACAGTGTATTTCTATTGGAAGGATGAAGGGAAAAACTCCCTGGGACTTGAGGCGATGATAGAAAAATTTACTTTTCAAAAAAGAGTTATACTCGAAGGGTGAAAGTTCAAAAAGGTATGTAATGAACAGTGTGTTACAAAACTAAAATAACAAAAATAAAAAAAAGAAGATAACGATTAGAATAAAAATCCTTTCGAATAATTATTTTTGTTTATTTTTTTATTTATTATTATTTACAATATTAATTCCATTTATCTATTTATTTTTTTCAATTAATTTTTTTTCCATTTAATTTATTTTTATTTTACTCGCAAAATAATTTATAGTTAATATTATGAAATTTGTTGAATTTTCACAGGCTCGGCTTGGGAATTGCCTTATCGGAAAATGTGTAGAGAAATAAATTCTAAATAGGGAAGTTATACTTTGGATATAGATGATTATTGATTTATTTAGAACAGAATTACGTGTGTTCATAAGTTAGTGTCATTGTACCGAAGATTATACAATTATTTCTTTAAATAGCCAAAGTATTAAGCATTCAAGAAGCGTGTAAGCTCATCCCAAACAGGTGTTGATCCCAACTGCACCTGTTATAGGCAGGTAGTCACAAAAAGTTCCCATTTCCAACATCTTTTGTGTCTGGAAAGTAATTAAAGGGAAAAAAGGAATTTTAGCTTAAAAAATCAAAATTATACTTTCCTTCTGTTATTAATTTTCTTTGTTTAATATACGTTTCATAATTATTTTTTTTAATAATTTTACAATTAAATTTATAGGTAAATAATAATTAAAATTCGTTAAATAATAAATAATAATTAAAGTTGGGTAAATAATAAATAATAGAAATAATAATTAAAATTAGGTAAATAATAAATAATAACAGAAATAATAATTAAAATCAGGTTAATAATAAATTAAGTAAACTTAGGTATACTTCAGCTATTTTTTTAATACAATTGAGTGTTTTTTTTGGGTCTAAAATTTTATATATATTTGGAAACGATAGAGAAAAATTATCTTTTTCCATCCAGCACTGTTCAAACTTAAAATTACACTTTTCGTTTTGTCTGCAAACTATATGCGAGACTCAGTTCCTAATTACAGTAATTATTCTTCTTAAACCCCTTTTACAATTCAAAAAATAGTCTCTTATTCCCCATTCAGCTAATTATTTCTCTATAGGATGAAAGAAAAAAGGGTCGATTGGGAAAAGCATAAGAAATGAGATCTGAAAAATTTATAATTAATTTTACTCATACATATTTCAGCTACTGGAACAGAAATTAAGAACTATATATTTTTTATTTTCATTTTTAAAACATTATATACGTTTTTCTCTGTAGACATTTTTAACTATAGAAATATTTTTTTTCACAGAATGGATTATTGTGCGATACAAATTTCTTTATATTCCGATACCCGCATGTCTTAAAATTCATGGAACTTGGATAGCAACCGCATGTAAATTTTGCTGGAAAAATGTGAGTACATTAGTTTTTTTGTTTTAATTTTATTGATTTAAATAATTATCAAAAATTCGAATTGTTCAAATAATTATTTTTTCTGGGTTGCCACTAAAATTTAATTTTGTTTTTTCGTGACTTTTCCCTGATTTCAAGACAAAATTTTCTTTTTTTTCCTGAAGCTAAAGAATATTTTATTATAAAACATGAAGAAATCAATCATTCCGAGTCGAAGACTCGGAGTGATCGATTTCTTTACGTTTCATAATAATTAAGGATGACAGAATTATTATTTTTTATTATAAAAATATTATTACTGTAACTTCTTCAAAATTATTTCCATGATTTCAATTTATTTATTATTTTCTAGAATTTTTTATTCGAAAATTCTACTAGAATTCAACTATTTAAATGCAAAAATAAATTAATTTATTGAATAATTGAATGTTTCTTCAAATTGAATACTCATGAAGAATTTTATCAACAAATTTTTAAATAATTGAATTCTTTTGACGAATTTTAATAAAATTTTTTAAAATAATTGCATTTTTCGAGGAATTTAATTAAAAATTTATTTGAAACTCGTTTATGTTCAAATAAATAAATAAATAAATAAAAATAATTGAATTTCTAAAAAAGAATTTTATTATTTATGAAAATAATTGAATTATTGGGAATAAATTTATAAAAAATTTGTAAATAATTGAATTCCTTAGAAATTTTTACTATTTATAAAAATAATTAAAATTTTGCCGAGAATTTTATTTAAAATAATTGAATTCTCTTGTAAAATTTTATGAAAATTAAAGTAAATAAATAAATATCTTAAATAATTGAATAGATAAATATATAAATAAATAGTAGATATTAAAAATTATTGAATTGAGGAAAATTTTAGAAAATAATTAAAATTTTGCCAATAATTTTATTAAAATTTTTAAAATTAATTGAACTTCGGAGAAGAATTTTATTACTTTTGAAAATAATTGAAATTCGGCAAATGAGTTTTATTATTTACGAAAATAATTGTATTCCTTAAAAAGAATTTTATTATTTATTAAAATATTTAAAGTTTTGCGAAGAAATTTTATTAAAAATCCTTTTTAAATAATTAAATTTATTTTGGAAAACTTTATTAAAATAGTAGTTATTGGAAATCATTGATTTGAGAAAAATGGAAATTTTATCATGAATTTTATTAAAATGTTTGAAAATAATTGAATTTCGGTGAAGATTATTATTATTTCTAAAGATAATTGAAATTTTAGTGTTTTCAACTAAAATTCTTCTATAAATACATTATTTTTAATATAATTAGATATATATATTACAAACTTTAACTAATTTTGAAAGAATTTGAACAGAATTTTCCAAAAATCTAAGTTTTTTACACGGAGAGAGAATATATATTAAATTTTGTAAAAATATTTTCAAATTGGGGAAAAAGTGCGACAAAGCGAAATTTTGATATCAAAAAATACTAAACTTTAAAAAAACTTATGTGAAATTTAGTATAATTATATGAAATATCAAGAATATTAATTAAATTCTAATATAACTTTACTAAATTTCATATAAGTTTTTTTAAAGTTTAGTATTTTTTGATATCAAAATTTCGCTTTGTCGCACTTTTTCCCCAATTTGAAAATATTTTTACAAAATTTAATATATATTCTCTCTCCGTGTAAGATTTCGAATTAAATTCATTAAAAATTGAAATTTTAGAAAATTAAAGAGCAACTCTCTTAAAATTCAATTAATTTTAAAATATTTAAGTAAAATTATTCATTAAACAATTTTTAAGTATTAATTTTATGATAGTTCTTTAAGTTTTGAGTTATAATTAAAAAGAAATTATTGTCAGAAATAGAAAAAATTGAAGGTTTTTTATTATAGAATTCGTGGTAATATCTCTAAATATCTCTAAATTCAAATTAGTAAAAATGTTAACTAATTTGAATTAGTGACTGACTTTTTGCTTTTAAAATTTAAATTAGTAAATTTTACTAACAAATTAGTAAAAACTGCTATTAATTAGTAAATTTTACTAATTCAAAAGCAAAAAGTCAGTCACTAATTCAAATTAGTACAAATTTTTACTAATTCAAATTTAGAGAGTAGAATTCGTGGTTTATGAGGCAAACAAAAATATAGAAATTTCTCATAAATTCTAAAAATTTATTTTACAAAAGATCTCGGACGTTAAAAATTAAATTTTTTCCAGTACTTTTAATAAAATTCCCTGACTTTTCCCTGAACTGCGTGGCAACCCTGTCTTTTGTTTCTGCAGGAATTGTGTTCGAAAATGATTTCCCTGTTTGATTAGATCCTAGGAAAAAAATGGTTATTCGGAATTTGAAAAGATTGCTGAGAGAATGTATAAACATTTCGTAGACATGAAGAAAGAATCTGAATGCGATGGTTTTAATAGCATTTTAAATGAAACGAAAGCAAAAGCATTCAGAGTGCGGGAAGGAACACATATTAACACGTTCTCACCTGGGGAACGTGCGCCTCTCTCTCTCCCATTCTCTCTCGCTGATTTTTAAAGGGCCTGAGGAGAAGAAGGCTCTCGCGAGTTAAAATAAAAGAGTCGTAGGGTTCCCCTTGTGAAAAGCTTGGTAGTGTTTCTGACCCCGGCGCCTCCTTGCCCCGGGTCACGCAAAAGCCCCCTTTTTCCTTTCCCTCTCGCGCCACTCTTTCCACCACCAGCCGCCCTCGTCCCCGCGGTTCCCGTCGCCACAACATGAGGCATGAGCCAGTCTATCGGCAACCTGCGTACTAGACGCGTCGCAGTGTTTACGTAACAGTTATTATTCTTACTTGTCAGTGTTAATTTCGATTTAAGTTAGCCGGTCTGGTTCCTCAAACCTTTTCCGTTCAACCCCACTGGTCCCAGCTGATAAAAAGAATAAAAAAAGAGTTTCTACAGAATTTCAAGAGCTTGAGTCTATCAGTCGAGGACTTCCCTTTTCCCCGTCCCGCATCCATTCTCCTCGAGACCATTTTCACCTGCTGCATGGGCCAGCCGGAACATCACCAGTATCCAAACTCCATCGCGCCTACCTGGCTCCCTATCGATTGCTCGAAAATAGACGCGAGGGAGCGTTACCTTTCTCTCCTTCTCGCCCGCGTTCGTCCATAGCGTGACAGGTGCTTCGTCCAGGAACAACGTGTGCGTTGGCATGATCGACGACGAACGCAGGAGGGAACGAGGACAATCTTCAGTTACTGTACAAATTAGCTTATACCACCACTTCTAGAAGGAAACAATAATTTTTAGGAAAGGCAAAAAAGGAAAAGAAAAATAGGAAAATACTAGCAGACGAGTACTACAAAGAAGGAACAAGGTGGATTCAGAGAGTAGAATCGGGGGAGGAAAAAGTGGAGCAGGAAAGAATCAGGAAGGAATTTTTTCTCCCGCAAGGGAAGGCATTCTCAAAGTTCCACGACCTGGAGGCGCCTGTCGTCTTCGCCGGTACAACCATAACGCCGCCCGCTCTAAAACGCCCGAGACGGGACACGGTGGACTCATCGCCGCCACCCGCTCGTAACGTCGCCCCCGGAAACCCCGGAACCTCCAGCGAACTCGCCTTGATTATGGACGCACCGCTGTCGCAGAGCATGGACTCCGTAAACACGGTGGCCACCGGCGAAGACGAGGTTCGTTATCCTCCTTAGTACATAGTTTTTTCATGAGTACCGTGTCAGTCGCCGCCAGAGCCGGTTGCGCTTCCGTTTCCAACCAACCCCTCATGTGTATCCCTTTCACGCATGCGGGCTGCATGCACCGACCATGCGCCGCACTTCCTGTCTATATCCTCCTTCTTCCTTCCTTCCTGATCATCGCTTGTCTCCTTGTTTCTTGTTTCTTTTCTCTCCTTCCTTACATTCTTACCGTCCATACAAATTCTTATCAATCATACATTTCTTCATCGTTTCATTATTCTTCTTCTTAGCCGCTATTTGACCCGTCAATCTCTTCGAAATCATAGATAATCTCTAATCTCTATAATCTCTGCATCTGCAATTTTAGAGCGGACAGAGCGAATGATTAAAAGGGATGATGCATCTACTAATTAATGGGATGCTAGAGTAATAGAAGATTCAACAAGTGCACAGGCTCTGTTTCAATCTTCGTCTCGTAAACATTGTTTTAGCTCACCGCACATTATTCCCAAATTTAATGCTCCGCTATTTCTTCACTTCCGAATTCCGCGAGATTTACAACTTCAGGGTCTTCCGCCGTTACTAGGAAAGATAATTTCTCATCTTTCTCTGATTCTTTCGTTTTTAAAAATATATGTGAATATTAGTTGCAATTACCAATTGAAATTTAAATCAAATTTTATTTCATTTACACTGAAGAAAAATTATTTAATTTAAATAGTAGGAAACGGAACAAAAATTTTATCTGAATACAAATTTGACTATATGTAACGCGCATTGAAGAAAACCTAAGAAGCAGAGGATTATAGGTTATGTTTGAACCAGATTTACCTTCATTGGGAGTTTTTTTTTAATGTTGTGAATTTGAAAACTATTTTTATTGACTATTTTCGGTGTAATGAAGACTGAGGGTCAATAATTTTCAGTTAATAATTGACTCTTTTTTTGTATTTTTACTCCGAAAATTGTGAACATAACCTGAAATTTTTTTGCGTCTTAGGTAACTTTCTTCGAAGTGCGTCACAAATTGTAAAAATCAGGGTGGCCACAAGTCAGTAAAGTTTAAAACAAAATTTCTGTCAGCAAAGTCAGGGAAATGATAGAAAAAAAAATTTTTGGCAAGGAAATTAAGAAAATTAATACATTTTTCGACTAATTTTAAAAAAATTGCAACTTTCTCGATTTTTTTTCAAATATTGCAACAAAATACCATATTTTTTTTAGCATAAATTCAATTTCAAGTGCGAAAAATAACTATATAAACAAATCTTTCAAAAATTATTTTTGAATAATTTTTCGAGATAATTAAATTGTTCAAATATAACTGCAATAAAAATCTTCTTGAATAATTTAAATTTTGTAAAATTTAATTAATTTAATTTAAAACATTTTTTTTTCAAGTATTTTATTACAAATTTTTGAAAATGAACTTTTAAAGAATTTTAATTACAAATTTTGAAAGTAATTTAATTATTAAAAATATTAATGAAATATCTTTAAATGTAAATTAAAAATTGAAAATTAATGAAAATTAGCTTTTAATATTTAAAATTCAATATTTTCAGTATTTTCAATAACAAATTTCCGAAAATTCAAATACATACAAAAAAATAATAACATTTTAGAATTATTTTTAATATTTTGGAAAAAAAATCATGTTCAAAAATTTTTAAATAAAATTCATCAAAAAATTAATTAGTTTTTTAAATTGCATATAAAATTTTTTTTAAGAAATTCAATTATTTTCGAAAAATTACATTAAAATTTATAAAAATTTACCCACTTTTTTCGACTTATTAAAATTTCTGAGAAATCATGGTTATTATTAAAATGTGATTTAAATTTTTAAAAAATTAAATGATTTTTAAAAGATTTTACCAAAGAATTGTTTGCAAATTTTTCAATTGTAAGAAATTAACATTAAAAACAAAAAATTATAATTATTATAAAAAATTGGATTTTTGTATTCAAATAATTGAATTATCGAAGAAATTTCGTAAAATTATTTTGAATAATTGATTTAGAGATGAAGTTAAACTGAAAATTGTAGAAAATAATTGAATTTAGGAAGGGTTATAATTGTAATTTTTAAAAACTATTAAATTTCATAAATTTTACTCATTTTCCGTTAACTTTCAAATTTTCCTGAAAAAAGAATTTTGTCAGGGAAAATATTTATTTGTTTATCGGAATATAAAATATTTTTTTCAATTGAACTTTATTTAAATTTCGCAGTGTAAACATTCTTTTAAAAATTGTTAAATAATCGACATTGCAAGCTCAATTTTGCTTAAAACATTTTACATTAGTCTAAATATTGACCTAATTTTAAATTAAGAACAAAGTTTTCTTAAAAATGTCAAACTGATACCAAGTTGAATCGAATTGATATAAAAATTTTTGGATCAAAATTATATTTTGATCGACTTTCTAGCTGTCAAATTCGTTATTTTCGTTATTTTTTATATTTTATTTTTTAGTCAATATTGAAACTAATTCTGACAAATTGGAATTTTAAGCACAAAAAATATAGTCTGAATTTAGGAAAAAAATACGTTTTAGCTGTAGTTGGACTTTAAGACTTTGGTTTTATAGTGCATCATTAAACTTTGAGTTATGAGAGATATAATCTGCAGTCACAAATTTCAAAAGTTTAAAATTTAAAAACCCCTGCACGTAAAAAAAATTTATTTGATTCAAGAAAAAATAAAGTCCGAAACGATTTACATCTTAAAACTATAAAATAATTGAAATCTACTGTTTTAAAGCTTAAAATTAGATTAAAGTTAATAATAATTCAGTTGAAATAGAAAAAAAGCTTTTCTAAACAGCGCAAATAACATGCAATTATCCTTTAAGAAAAGCACAATTCAAAAAAAGCACAAAAATCCAAGGAAAGGAAAAAAAATCAAGTATACTCATTTTATTAACTATTGAGCATCTTTCTCGAAATCCGATTGAAAAAAAATGAAGATAAAGTAACGATTGAATTCGTTGTTTTAAGACCTCTGAAGGTTATCGAGAAAGCAATTGGAAATTGAAATCTTCAGCTGTCTTACAAGAGCAAACAATCGAGACATTATTTGATATTCAGAAACCAAACAGATATTCTAGTTCAAGTTGCTATTGACTCGAAGCAAATAAACTTTATCCTTTCGTTTATATAAAAACTTTTTTGCTTTTTTTCTGTTTCCAAAAAAAGAAGGTAATAAAAAAAGGCGAAAGGCATATTTCGAAATATCAATTTAACAATTAAAATAAAAACAATTTCCTTCTCATTTCTGATATGCTGTTAATTTCCTTCTTGTCTCTCTTAAAAGGCGACAAATTATTCCTCCTTTTTTTATGGCAATGCCATTTTCGAACGGTAACTTTTTTTTATGCTTTATTACGGAAAGTGACTTCAAAGTTCTAGGCTGTATACAATATAATACCCAGGACACACCATAAAGGCCGAGTAACACCTGTCTTGAACACATGATGCGGTTCATGGAGAAAATAACAGTCGTGTATGATTGCCAAGTTCTTTAGGGTTCTTTATATAGGTTCCTCACATTTTCTTCAATTTATTGCAACTTGTTCGAAATTGCTACAAAACGCTCTAGTTTTCTATAAAATTTTTCCCTTTTTTTTAAAGATTAAAAATCAGAAGATTCTCGTCTTGATTTTTGTGAAATTTTCCCACCTGGTAAAGAAATTAAAGTTTGCGTTTAAGATGCAGAAAAGGTTCAGAAATTCGGATAATAGTTCAGATAATCGGATAATAATTCGAATAACAAGATAGTCGAGGTCTGAAGATAGCTTTTTTCCATCATCGAAAACGAAATCCGAAATCCTTTTTTTTGGATATTTTAAGAAAGATTTATCAGAGTTCTGAAGTAAAAACATTTCTTTAAATTTGTGCAAAAAAGAATCAATTACAGTTTCTCTGTTAACAAAAAAAAAAAAGGTTTTGCAATCGAATACAAACATTTCCTGTAAACGGCATTCGAAACATTTCTCCCTTGATCGACAAATCGAGCAGAAAATACCAATTAGTACTCAATTTCCTGCAGTCCTCTAAATTTCACTCTTCGATTTCTATGATCCGAATGGCTTGTAAATTGTAAACTTTTCTATGGACGAATTTTAATTGAGTTCATGTAGCGTGTAATAAATAAAAAAAAACCATCGAGAGGTAAAATTATATTTCTTCTTTATTTTATATACTGAACTCGCCATCTGGGCTTCTAGAACTATTGATTTTCCGAAATAGACGCTGTCTATTGATTTAGAAAAACTAGTTTTTCTTTTTGTTTGGAAAAGTTTTAAAGAAGAAGAAGAAGATCTTAGAAGAGGAAAACTTGACCTTCCAAAAGAGGTTGCATCATGTAGAAGGAGTGAACTCTTTTTCTGAATACAGATCTGAATGGTGTTGAAGAAGCATGTGTATAGAGGATTTCTATTTTTCTTGGAAGAAATTGAAGAATTCCGGGTATTGTCAATGGTATAAAACTATGAGAGGCATATTTGTTGAGTGCGCGCGCACAGTTGTACTTATTAGAAGGGCGATGCACACGCGCTTGGCTTGGTTGCTACATTCTATAGTCTACACGAACATAACACAATTTCATGTGGTTGCGAAGGCGGGAATTCGATCGTGTGTACAACGGTGCTGTGGTGGAAGCATGACACGCACCGTGCAGGTGATGTACGAACAACTTAGTTTCCGTACTCTCCATCGGTTATACTTTTGCCTTCTTGCTTCCATTTTTTAAAATTATTTTACGATCCTACTATCGGTTTGTCAATCGTTTTCTTGATTATTTGTCAGAAACTTCTTTGAATAATTGATCTTATGGAGTAAATGATGCAGCAATAGCAATAACAGTTTATGCAGCATTTGCTGCATAAGCTGCTATTGCTGCAGCATTTACTGCAAAAGCTGCTATTGCTGTTGCTGCAGCATTTAATGCATAAGCTGCTGTTGATGTTCCTGCAGCTTAATCGTAATT